CATTGACACCTGCTCAACATGCTCGTTGCTATTGTACAGATAACCCACCCCACTTCTCTATGTGATTTCTACTAAAATTAGCGTAAACCAGCAAAAGTGTGGAATATCATTGAAAATGGCTAGTTACTCCACGGTTAAGCTCCAGCCAGTCTGTTAGAGGTTAAAACAATCTGCTTATTCAACGAAAAGAACAAAGGAAGATTTCCCGTCCATGTTAGAAATAAAGCTATTTCACACCCGGGTGAACTCTAATACAATTGTGTCCTGACACACACTAATAAATATAAGAACAGTGGTCTCACTTTTTGCTAGCTGCAACAGATCAGGATTGGGATACCAAAACATACGTATATTACAGATGACCACCCCCGGCATGGAGGTGCGGCTAGAGATGATAAAATAGTCATATCCACTTATTCGCAATAATAATGATAGGGATGGGTAAAACAATGGGAACTAATCTTGGCATATAATCAACGCTCTAGATTATTGGAGGGTGGAGATTTTAACGGATTAAACACGCTCGCCATTTAACGATTTAATTTTAAAATGGCAAAGCGAGGCTACGTGTCGAATAACAAGTACCGTTGTTACTACAATAAACAATATTCGCTCAGAATAAAGTGTTTTGAGTGATTTTTTCAATATATTCATTTTATATTACCTATTTTAGAAATATTATAGCAAGAACGATCAGCTCTTTATCTAGTTCTTACATAATGCATCTTTATTGATAAACGATTTATGTTTAGTATACGGACCTGCAGTCGAATGTTCGAGCAAATTTCTATATTTGGCAGCGATGGACTTCCATAATTTAAAACAAGTTCGATAATATTAAATTTTGTCTGTGTTACACATTGGGTTCCGTTGTTCGGTTTTCTTGCTTTTCGTTTATTTATTAATAAACTAAAAGCTACAGAAGATCATTAGGGCCAATCAAAAAAAAGTTTTATTTTCTCGTAATTACGGCATAATTATCTCATTACGATTTGACTGACACCTATGGTCTTCCGTAGAGAGCCAGGGTTTTTTTGTGAAAGCTATATAAAACTCTTCAAAATACCAAAAAGGGGAGGAGGGGCCACCAGTAGCTTTCAGGGCAGAAATTCTATCGTATTTGTAGGCGAGAATTAAGAAGCATAACCACGCCTTGACATGATCGGTAGTTCGCAGCGAAATGGGTGCATCACTGTCAAAGAAACCCCAGACAAATTGTTTAATTCCACTGAGAAAGCTGAGCAGTATATTAAATACACAGAAATACACACGAAAGTATCGGAATTTCAATACAACTACCAAACTTTTAGTCAAATCCGCGTTGTAAATCCGTCGGCTCTGCGGGTAGAAATTATAGAATTAACTTTATTTTGAAGGTTTCGACGTCTAGGCTTCTATGGATTAAGTGACAAAAATAATACAACAACAAAAAAAAAACAAACAAACAACTATGTTGACGTTTTTTTTTTGTTTTTTTTTTGAGTAGCCTAGGTCTTCATTAATTGCCATGGTAAAGGGTAATATGGTACGCCCAGATAGGCTGCTATTACATAGGGGTATACGGTATTCGGTGTACGTTTAAAGGTATACGCGAATACTTGTGTTCGAACAACAGGAATTTGCTTAGCGGTTTACATCGGACTATACGCGTATACTTGCTTCAGGGAGGAGTGAATTCCATGGGATGAGTAGAAAATGGTCATTTGTGTTGTAAAAAGTTCGATTCAGACGTTCTGAACATTGATGGACATATCTCTAGGCATGGTAGATTATTCTAGATTATCATGATCAGTGATTTCCAGTTATCCCCCCCTCCCCCTCAATATTGGAATGAGCCGACTCAAAGCCTGACCTTCACGCCACCATACTTTACGCCTCCGCAAGTAAAAACCAAGTCAGAGTTTCCTCTTCTTCTGAATCCATTCTGTTTGGATATGCATGAGCCTCGATGAACTTACCAAAATCGGTGGGAAACATAAATGACCAGGCCAATATACCTACGTATAGTATATGCCGTGTAAACCGCCGTGCCCGTATACCGTATATCGTATACCCATTATATGTAATAGCAGCCTTAGGCGTTAATAATAATATTCCAACTTATTTTTATTTTCACCTGATTTATGTTATCGAGATATCAACTGTGATTTGGCACTGTATTATTAATATCGACAGGGGTCATGGCTGATGGGTCTACTACTAGGTTGATAATGGGCTTGGCATGTGCATAAATGTAGCGATCTGCATTAGGCAAAATTAGCCCGAAGTAGCATATATCGTAATGCATCTTTATAAATAAAGCATAATTTTTTTTCATTTTATTTTTATTTTATTTTCATTTTTTCTTCAGGGTGATTCTCTGATTAAAATACAGATCTGTATTTTGTTTCGTTTTTTTTATACTTTCGATGCCCTACACTACATGAAGATCTGAGACAATCTGTTTCACAGAGTATACGAAAGTCTCCCAATATCTCTGTAAAAGATGACTGCCTTGAACACGTGACGTCATATCACGCGGCGTCAATCATTGGCTCAATGCCGCGTGCATTGTTTACATAAGACGTTACTGGATCGGGTAGAATGGTTCCTTTTACTCATTTTAATACCCATTTACACTAAATAGGAAATAATTTTACCTTCAAATACTTCAAGCGTCTTTATGTATTTTTCTAATACATAGAAAAAATGTTTTGGAATTTAATTTGTCGGAGGAAAAAAGTTAATATTTGTGGCTCACTAAGGCGCATCGATGTCATCCATATCAGTGATTGTAGCGGCCTAGCGAATATTCACTTCTGATCAGTGTGGATCCGACCAAATTTAGTGGGAGTTCACGTCAGGGGTCAAACTAGATGGGCTTTTGACCCTATGTCGTCAGACATTGATTATTCAATCAGCATTGGCTTTTCTGGTGGTTTACCAACAGTTCCGTAGATCAAAAGGCCAAGAACTCGCAGTTACAGACTGTTTCATTAGCTAATCCCTCACATCATCCGGAACATGTCAATGATTACAACTCTTCCAGATCCTAGTGTAGAGAGAGACAGAGACAGAGAGAGAGATGAGAGCGAGAAAGAGAGAGATTTTAACGTCCACTCGTAGGGTTTTTAGCCGTAGGAGAAACCGGAGGACCCGGAGAAAACCCACGAGGTTGGACAGGCGACCCTACTCCTTGTCACGTACAACCGGGGATTCGAAACCACGCCAGTTGACTCAATGACAGGCCTTATGATACAGCACGCACGTGCTAACCATTCGGGATTCGGCTATCGTAGTAAAGACAAGTAAAACGAAATTGAATCAGATTAAAATAGACGGGACCGGCCATGCAATCTTTAGAAAATCGTGCTGTGAGAGCTAATCTACAGAAAAATCCCGCTGGGGGTAATCTGAGCAAAATCCTTGCCGTGATGGGGCCAATAAAAAAAGATCCTGTTGTGAGAGCCAATCTAGGAAGATATAAATAATATATGTGTGGGGGTGTATAGAAAAATTAAAACAATAAACGTTTATTTTTTTATTTCGTCACTTTTTGTGTGTACGTGTGTGTGTGGGTGTGTGTTCGAGGGGGGGGGGGTTATAGCTTTATATGGTTGAAAATCAGGTTGTTAAAGGTAGCGATAAAAATACGGCTATACTGATCTACTTTAAGCCTGGATTAGCAATAAAACGGGTTTTAACATTTATTTACTTGTCAATGTGGTCTGCATCCAGTTGTTCAAATTATTTCCCTTGATGTTTCCAAGGTGAAGTCTGACAGCTGTCAATCATTCTGCACTGGTGGCTAAAATCCTGTCATAATTTCAAACGCAGTAAAGAGTAATCACCTGTTTCGCACCATAGAAAGACCAGAAGGCTCATTCCAAATTCCAAATTCCAAATGCGAAATTAAAAATTTCCAAATTTCAGTCAAATTGATCCACTATGAGCCGAGAAAGAAGTCGGTTAAATTTTTGCATAGTCTCGGTTATCATTACTAAAATCATTAATATAAACAGCATAGTCTCGATTATCCACTTTTTCTGATTTAATTATCTTTGGCCGTTAGCGGCATATATGAATCTAATCCAGCCTACATCGAAGGCTAGCCTTAACATCGAGAGTTTATTATAGTCTGGATAAGTTAATTAATGTCTAATTGATAATTTAGATAACATTTCAGGCCTAAAGAAAGACTTGTAATAAGCAGATTTTGCTCTTGCATAATGCATGTTTAAGTAATTATCAGAAAATCATTAGAATTTGTTTGGCTTTTATAAAGTTCTGCCCATATGCTAACGTTTAGTACACGAAACATTTAATATCATGGATTTGGCTGTTCAAGTTATCAAAATTCAACGAAAATCAATATACTTGTTCGTCTCAAGACCTTAAACTCTGCGTATCAATCTGAAGTCAAGCGGATGATAACTTTAGCCTCTTAGAGCGTCACAAGAATTTGGAATTTAGCATTTGGAAATTGGAATGAGCCTTCTGGGCTTTCGTACTGTACTAGATTTACGATCTATGTTCGCGCATTGGTTGGATAACCGAGACTTCTACTTTCCCTTTTTCCCCCTTTTGCATGGCGATTTTTGTTGACTTTTTGGTGTAGAATCGAAGAAAAGGGTTTGAAAATACATTTTCTACCAGGTTTTGGTGAATATTCATGATTTTGAGGCGGAAGGATACAAGACTTGAGAGATTGGTTAGGTTGAAATGTAGGGTCCAAAATTGCATGTTTTCTTGTCTCTACTTCCAGCTTGTGTATCTCAAGTTTTCCATGGTGAGCCTCATACGTGCTTTTGGGCAAGAGGTTGCCACATGTTGCTCCATCTGTGGTAGAAAGCGTTCTACCCAACGAAAATTTGGGAAAAAGTTAGAGCCCGGTCTAAGAGACGAGAATTAACATTAAAGTCAATGGGCAAATGTTTAGTGATCTGTGGCCGGATGCGTTTGACACAAAGAATCATGCGCGGTAAACTCAAGTAAACTTCCGTTGTTTAGAATCGATCAATCGATCGCACTGCAACTGAATCTGAAGTTGATGTCGCAGGGCCTGTTACAGCATATTATTTACGTTTTCTTGGCATAAATGGCATCTACATTATAATTCAAGCGATGTTAAATTATTTTCGACATCTCGTAGCCCTGCATTTTGTTGTCTATTTGGTAACACAATGTACAGGCCATGTACGATTCGTCTGCCCCCGTCCACAATCCCCACGTTCTGATGTATTTCAACAGGTGAGTAGTGTGACTGTGTGAGATTATTTCATTTGTAAATGTAACCCACACACTTATTACCCTTGTAATTGACCTAAACAAAAACAACATTATGCACGACAATAATATATTTACATAAATATAGGCATGCTAGAACTCTTGTTTATAAAATAGTAGGGACAACTAAGCGACTAGTACTAGGGTAAGGGTGCATCGACTCACACGCAGACAGCTAAAATTTGCTATTGATCTATTAAAGTTACAATTTCATATTTTTAAGTTATATTTTTAAAATGTATTAAAGGAGCTAAATCGCTAACATTTGGGACCTAGAAATTCACAAAAGTGGGTCACAACGCATATAATACTGTAATATGAATGTATATAAACTGATTTACATTTAATGGTTTCCGTTTTTACTCCAATTTCAAATCAGTTATGTTCGGCGAAATAAGTCAACAATCTCAATCGAGTGCAAATTTCTAGCGTCTAGTTATTCTAGTCTACATAACTCCATTTGATTTGGTGCAATGTGTCTAGCCTCGTCCCTCAATACAACTGGGGCTGAAGCGCATTATGGTACACGATTCGTGTACCAATGTTAAAAAAATTATTTTATCTTAAATATCGGATATCAGAAGCTCATCTTTTCCCGGTAAGTTTACATCATCAATGTTGATTTAAATTGACCAATAATTCGTGTTTTCGATGTCGAAGATTTTGGAGGATTTTGAGTTACGGACTTAGGTCCTTTAAAGGGACAATAACACTCTTGCTGGCTTGAAAGCTCCAGAAAATAAATAATATCTCTATCAAGTATATATACTAGATGTTTAAGTGTCCTACCTGTTGTGTAAATTATCCATTACATCCTATTTTACTTGTCCAGAGGGTTCGAAAATATTTATAAATCAAAGTTTCATTTGAAAAGGTTTACGTTAGACGTTTCAAACCATTATGTTGAATTTTTCAAAATTTTTAAATAAGGTGTGTTAAGATGAAATTTGTATCATCAATTAATTGAAATATTCTAAAATAGTACAATTTGTTGACCAGAATAAAGATTGGGACATATTATTCAGTTACAACAAGAGTGGTATTGAGCCTTTAAAATAAAGCCCTAAAATAGATGGTATCTATAAACAGTCCTACCTTGATATTATAATCCTATTAATCCTATAATTCACTATTGCCAGTTGAGAAATTGGCAAAATATCATTTTCATCTTCAAATTCAAACGTTTGAAGATAGCTATTCCATGGTGAGGAATAGGAAAACAAGGGAGGTAATTGGGAGGTAACTGTGTTATTATTTCCGGTGTGAAGATTTTTAAGTGTGAGAAAGATAACTTATGACCGTATAGAGTTGACAACCTATTGAGCAAAAGACATAGAAATAATTATGTTTTGACTTTCTTAGAAAATATGAAATTGTAACTTTAAAACTATTAAAATTGAACACGCCACAGCGAATGTGCATGCTTCAGTCACTAGTCCCAAACTGATTTTGGGCTAGAAATGCAGTTCAAGAATAACCAGCAGTATAGTCAATGAGGCTATATGAATAAAATAGCCATCACACGTTCTATTTTAGTAACGTACCTCTACAGTACCAGTTCCCGTGATCGTTGAGACTTGAAATTTTCGAGGGATGTTAAGGGGGACCTATTGACTATTAAACCTTAAAGCTGTGAAATATCTATTGTTAATTGCAAGTTAATTAAAATGACAAAAATTGTCACAACACCTAAAATGAGGGGGTCCTCAAAAAATCTTTCACAACACCTTCAGTGCCTTTATTTTGGTGTCTAAACGGGGTCCGACTGATCACCGGAATTCACTTACAATCACCGGATTCCTCCCACAAAACTAATTTATTTTAAATGCATAATACATAATAATATAAAAAATAACTATTTTGATCTCTCCACAGATCTGATGAAGGCGCTGTAGGTGTATTTATTTGAAAGACTACTGGAATTCATTTCAAATATTTGCATCATGATTATGATAATGTAGAGCGTGTCGAATTACCAAATAACTCCAAAAATGTTGACTCTACTGTGGCAACACAAAATAAGAATTTAGTTGAATTTAAGAAGCCTCACTGCTTTGTGTCCAAAACCGGAGGTTCATGAGAGATAACATAACTCGTGTATAATGTGATTTTTGTTGACAAGAAACTAATGAATACTTTTGTTGGAATTCATTGTAATGTATTGTAATTTGTGATTGATAGTTTATTAAAACAGTAATTATATGCATGAAACATTATGGTATATATAGTGCAATAAATAATACAATAGCTATATTTATTTATTTATAATATAATTGCAAATTGTGTCTATTGTCTCTTTCGGTCATCAACAATCGACATCTTAACTTGTTTTCAAATAAATAAATGAAATCAATTTAAATAAGTACCGCTGACAATTAATTGTCTCTGCTTAGAGTATTCAAAAATCTGTTATCTGTCAATAATTTATTTATAGAAGTAGGTAGATGCAACAGTGTTGTTAGAAATAACAGATCTTGTAAATTTTGGGATAATGATGAGGTAAAGATGAATACCTTTTTGTATTAATAGATTAGCTAAGATAATAAAAATGAAAATAAGACAATCTGTCTACGATATCACCTTGGGTGGAAGCGGACGTTAAACACTAAGAACAACAACATACCAGACGAATAACAATATGTATCACTTGATATTCCATCAAAATAACAGGTCAAGCAGCTGAAGGGAATAGAGGAATGTTCTCGAAAAAAGTTAAACTCCAACTCAGTCAATATTGTTTCTATGATTAGTTCCTGTCTATGATTAGAGACAGTCAACAAAAGGGCCCTGTCAACAAACAGGTTAAACATAAATCTGAACTTCCACTGCAAATTAATTATTAAAATAACTACTGAACAAGTCGGTATTGATTTAAATAATAATCAGTAAGGATTAAGCTGAAATTTTGCGTCTCGTTAGTGGTATACAAGACAATACACAATTAACAATCTGGACTGCTTCATGCATCATGCTACAACGGATTATCTATGAAAATATCCAAACCATTATTGATGAGACCTTATTTGATTGGCTTATTATTACCAAGTTAATTTTCGAATAAACTTAGCTCATCTACATGTACACTGAGAACGTTTTGCTCCACATTCGAGAAATGTTCGGTTTGACATTTTACCTGGATTACTGCTGTGTTCTAATCATATTGTGTTTCCCGAGTTGACCATCTGGAAATATCCTTTTACAGTAGATACATTCATTAATGCAAAATATAAGTAAATACAATTGTCTTGGGGCGAATTCCTATAGCATTTCAGGCCTGAAGAAAGACCTGCAATTGTGCAGATTTAGCTCTTGCTTAATGTATACATGTTAAGTTTGACCCAAAAAGATAAATTTAAGAAGAAATTAAAAGTCGTTTGATAAACTTTAACATATTGTAGGCCTATTTGATAAAATATGGTTTTACAGTAAATAAAAGAAAAATTTTGAATGCCATGCCCACTTTTAGTGGAATTTCACAGTATGTAGACATAGAACTATTACTATTCTATTTCAGTAAAGTACCTCTACCAGTTCCCGTGATCATAGAGACATTTTCAGGGGATGTTCAGGGAAACTAGCCATGACCTCACATCAAATTTCAGCCGAATCGGTCAATAACTTTATATTTTACCGACCTTTAGCTTCTGAAAAAACTAAATAAAACTAGAAAAAAGTCTGAACAATGAATTGCTGTATAATTAATGGAAGGTCGTGATAACAGGATGACCTATGTACGGAACTTTAACTGTGTACATGTATTTATTGCTAGAAATACTCCCTCGGATTAACTGGCGTTCATAGTAATGGACGATCGATTTAAAAGGCCGCAGGGGGTGGTGCAAAAGTGCAATAGCGCCAGTAAAGTTCGATGATGGCCTTTTAAAATGGTTACAGGTGAAGGTCGTAAGTCAAAGTCAAATACCAGGTATCCAAAAACTGAATTTGAAAGTTTGAGTTGAGTCTACTGTAACACGACCTTTACCAACGAGTTTAATTCAATTATCTTTCTGAAGCGCAAATCCTCTGCTTTTACCTCGAACATTAACCTTGATAATACAGCAACAAATATGGCTATGACATGCATAAACCAAAGGTCCCAAGCTCGATGGGAAGTTTGGACTCCTGGTCAAAGTCTAGGTCACGGTTGGTTGAGTTGGTTAGTATTGATTATTGGAGGTCACCATTACCTTCATATTGACCACACTCAATGACTTCCTTTCGAACACGGGACCTCTGAGTTGGCCGTTTTCTGACGAAGCAGTGTGTGACAGGACCCAGTTAAAGGTTGATTATCCAAGTCCAGATGATGGCCTTTTAAAATGGTTGCGGTGTGAAGGTTGTAAGTCAAGGTCAAATGTCAGTTTTCTGTAGCATGACCTTGATCCATTATCTTTTCTGAAGCGCATCATCTCTGCTTTCAAATAGAACATTAATCTTGATAATAAAGCAAGAAATATGGCCATGGCACCTATGAACACACATGCCCCAAGCTTGATATTCACACGTAAAGGCCAGTCTAACTAGTCAATGCAAAAGTGTTGTCCAATGTGTCGGAATCTGTCTTAGTGTCTTGTTATTCGAGTCTAAATAGTAAACAAACAAAATGACATCAATCGGATAAACGCATCTCTCGGCAGAAGCTAAAATATGGTAAAATAAAAAGTTATGGACCCATTCAGCTAAAATCTAATGTGAGTACATGGCTATACTGTAACCCAGGTATCATTTAATCTTGTGTATCTAGCACTAATTACTTTCACATTCGTTTAATATCCAATCTTTGTTTAAAAATTCATAAAAACTGTTTAAAATCACATAAATCATTGAATTTGTACTTCTGTCCAATTTAAAGCTGACCATTCAATTTTGATAATGAGTGTCCAATTAACAAGTGTTCAATGTATTTGCATGAATCCATACACCTAAATTGCATACGCCAAGCTCCTCACACAAAACTATAGTATAAAATAAACTTGTCAATGTTTTCCACTCTTGTAATGGAGGGGGCGGTGGTGTGTGTCTCTACCCCCCCCCCCCTTTCCATATTTACCTCCCAGGGCCTACTAACAAGCTCAAGCTTTATAAAGTAACTAAGTCTGTAACTCAATATCATCCAAAATCTTCGACATTGAAAACACGTTTTATTTGTCGGTTTAAATCAACATTGATGTTGTGATCTTACCGAGAAAAGATGGCCTTCTGATATCCAATATTTAAGACATAATAAACATTTTACAATTGGTACACGAATCGTGTACCATAATGCGTTTCAGCGCTATTTGTAATAAGGGATTCGAAAAACGAGGCTAGGCATATTCCACAAGTCCTGTCAAACAGTGACGCTATATTCTTATCTGGAGATCCTGCCCAATAAATACTATCGATGTAGACTGGAATAAACAGACACAAGAGATTGAAATTCGATTGAGAATACTAGCGTATTTCGCCGAACCTAACTGATTAGAAATTACAGTAAAAACAGAAACGATTGAATGTAAATCAGTTTATATACATTCATATTATATTATTGATTGCGTTGCAACCCATTTGTGTCAATTTCTAGGTCTCAAATATTAGCGACTTGGCTCCCATAAATACCTGTTCTGACAGTTGGGTGCTCCTATGTGTAATGCAAGTTTTGATGAAAGCCCAATCATTTAGGGTAAAAAAATTTTACAGGCAGACCATATTGTTTTAAAAACCTGAAAAGTATTTTGCAAAGGAATTGGAGTTAAGGCCTAGTGCCGTTATGAGTCTTATGACCGAAGTAGGGCTGTTGTGACCAAAATGGATTTTAGCCATTATGACCACATCCCTTGTACTGTAGCCAAATAGAAAAGGGCATGGAACTGTATCAGTAAATTTATTGGCATTTTTAATAATATCCCAGAAAGATCAGTTAGTAATTTAATATCAAGTTTTAAAAATTATGCAAATATGAATTATAATTTTTGTAATTTATTTTAGTTACCAAGTCACCCTTTAGATGGTCAATGTGGACTTGGTGGATCTGTACAGTTTGATCTAGAATATAAAGAAGTATCACCAGGCCCTTTTACAATCAGATTTGAAGAGACAGTTGTTCATAATGGTAAGTATCTTTCTTTTCTACTCTCTTCTTATGAAATGTGGTCGTATATTGTTGTCACCCAGTCAGTCTGTCCACAATTGCTTGTTGACACTCTAAAGTCATCTGATGGAATTAAAGTTTTTAAAACGTCCTGTCATGGGATGAAGCAGCTATTGATAAGTATTCAACAATTTCTGATAACTGTCAGGGTTATGTCCCTGGATCACTTTGAAAAAATCTTATGGACACACTAGAGACTAAAGTTATCTGATTAACTTGAGTTTGTTTTTTTTTATTAGAAATACTGGAGAAATTCTTTGGAAAACATCATTACGAAAGTATTCATTTGGTGACAACTAATTGAACAGCTCTAAAGAATTCAATATTTTTTTGTTGCAGTGTATATTGAAATATTAGATATGAAAGAGAAAAATTGTGTTTATTTTTCGTTTTAGCAAAAAGGCCAGAGTTTTGTGAAAAATTAAACTTTTTGCACAATTTAATAAACACAGATGCAGATTACCATATAAATATTTATATGTTTTGTAACATTGTCTGTAGAAGTATTCTTGTAGAAAATGAAAATAGTAGGAGGATTATGAATAACTTATTCCTCTTTCATTCTACAATGTACGTTTTTATTCTAAATTAGCTAATTACATATAAAGTGAGATGGACAAATGAAACCTGGCAATCTGACAGAAGTGTATTAAAATACATGGGTGGTAAATGGTCTGTCGATTGTCAACAGTTGATCATGCATAGAACATGAGGCCTGTAGGGGTCATACTGTAATAATTGATTTTAATGTGGCAACATTCCAGCTGGTTTTCAATTATCTAATTAAGTATAGACTTTTTGAGTTTTCCTGCTATATTTGGTCATGTCCTTTAACTTCGATTCACAAGCCTTTAAGGGGGGGTATATGGCTGAATGGTTAGCACGTGCACGCTGTATCATAAGGCCTGTCATTGAGTCAACTGGCATGGTTTTGAATCTCTGGTTGTACGTGACAAGGAGTAGGGTCGCCTGTCCAACCTTGTGGATTTTCTCTGGGTCCTCCGGTTTTCTCCCACAGCTAAAGACCCCTATGCGCAAGCGAATTATTGAAATAAAATTAAACCATATGTTAGTCCTGAAATGAACTAGTTTGTGTCGAGTGGCCCGTTAAACCCATCTCTCTCTCTCTCTCTCTCTCTCTCTCTCTCTCGATTCACAAGCAAAACATTACATAATCTGCTTCACACAAATTGCGTATGGTATATTAAACAGTACAGGAACATCTGACTTATTTATTAACTTATTTAAATTTTATTCTTTAAGTGACATTTAGTAACTAGGCAGATAAATGAAACAATAAACATACTTATGGAAACCGCTACAGATTTATTATGCGACGTTTCGAAAATGTTGAGAGAAAAAGCTTAAAAAAATTGAGAGAATACTCTTCGAAACTTTGCCTAAATAAATCAGTAGCTGTTTTCCAACTTATTTTCAAGATGTTACATGCATTGATAATGAAATTAAGTTTGCCAAATGAAACTGAAGGCACCCGATGGTAGCTAAGCACAAGGTCATCAGTATATCTCAAAGTTTTTAGCTACATTCTAGGGCCAGGCTATAGATGGAACCTATATGGTCATGAAGACTACCTTGGACACAGCTACTCATAAGGGGTTTGCACCTTTATCTAAGGAAATGGAATCGAAGTTGGTCTCTTATGTGCTTACTGATTTCGCACCTGTGCAAGACAAGCCTCTTATTTGGCAGAGAGAGAGAGCGAGACAGAGACCGGGACAGAGAGAGAGAGATTCTTGGCCACCTCTTGGGCTGATTTTGAATGTTAGAATGAGGTGCCCACTGTCTAATAAAAGTGAGAGCTTAATCCATAAAAAGGGAAGACTGAAGTTGAACTTAAAAGACAGAGCAGCTTTACATTGACTAAGGTTTTGTGTCTGTTGCCTTTAAAAAGCAAAGTTGTTATATTGTCTTAACCTGTAGACAAGAAATCTTATGTGTCAAACATAATATGAATTCAAATGTTTTTATTTTTCAGATTCACCATTTAGTATAAGTCTACATGAGTTTGACAACAATGAAACATCATGTTTATTATTAGATCATATACCACATAATAATGCTGCTACGGTCAGAAAACAATGTTTTGTAAGTTCAAATAAATAATGTTTATATTGATTTAAACCACATTTCTCTCTCTTGTCTAATTTATTTTTTGAATGCAGTCAAGTAGCAGACAAGTCTCTTGAATCTCTTTTGAAACCAAATATACCTATGCAAGTCGGTAGAGTATAAAATTCTTCGACTTAGATAATGATATGTACATTTATACCGTTCCATACTATCATGTTGTCCGGCTTTGACTTAGATAATGATATGTACATTTATACCGTTCCATACTATCATGTTGTCCGGCTTTCGATGTTCTACACCACTGACAAGGCCAACATCAGTATGTAACCAAGGACCTTGTTGGTGAGCTAGTGAGCCACTGTGGTTTCCTTGATATTAAATAGTATTGGTAACACTAATGGATTTCATAATAATCGAAAACAATCAGTTTGAAATAAATAAATAAGGACAATCTATTGATTCGAAAGAGTCACAATTTCTAGAAAATGGAAAGTACTTACAACAATCTAAAAATTGATCAGGGATTATGGCACTGGCTTGCTAACACGGCCTCAGGTTAATTTACGGTGTTGGCAGAGATATTTCCTTAGGATTGTCTGGCATGGTTTCCCCTTGGGGTGCAGGACAGAGGGCCTGGCAAGGAACAGGGTCTAGTCAAACTGTGAACACTATATATAAAAGCAGAAATTAAAAGGAATTGAAAGTATTCGTTCAAAACTAAGATATCACAGTAAACTGACAAATAGATCATATCAGCTATTAAATTCATTACATTCTTCAGGTTTTAACATTTTGATGCATTAGTTTAATATTCATTGGTACATATTACTTTTAGGTTTCATGGTATCCAATTGGTCATTGTAGTGAAAGTACCTATTATATAACGATTAATATACCAAACATCACCTGTAAAAAATGTTATCTACAGATTAAATCTATCCATGTACCTAATGGTAATCAAGGTAATAGATAGTAATTTATTTTTTTTTTTTTTTTTGAAAATCAGCATTATTCATCAGAACCTCTGTAGTCCATGGTGGATTGGATTTGAACAAAATAAAGCAATAAATAAACCATCAAAATATAAAAAAATCCCAATCTGAAGATGTTAACCTTATCCTGCCTCGAGTATGATAATCTGTTTCATATATTGATATTCGTTCTGAAGTTATTAATAATAGCTCTTGTGAATTACAGTTCAATTCAATACCCAAATAGTAGGCCTACTGATCAGACATATATACTGGCATAATTCTTCTTTTTTTCTTTTTTTTTTGAAAAGATAACAGATGTGGAGACAACAGCTCTTGTGAAGTGTATTATAGTTGTGCTAACATTCGTATTAAGTAAGATACAGAATTATTGCTAGTGTTGTTTGTTGATATTCTACTGTATATATGAAGCTCATAAACATGTTCATTTGTTCATGTGTATTTTTGAGACCTTTCAGACAAGACAATATTTTCCATGAAAAAAGACATTTGGCAAGGCTGCAAAAATATATATTGCAAAATTTATGAATGCATTTTGAATTAAATCATATATTGTATCGTCACTTATCACTACACACAGATCTTGCCATGTATGTGTGTATCAGGAATTACCAAACGTTACCATGAATTGGCTGATGATAGTCAGTTACGGTTGTTTCATGTTTGTAAAAGCTGATTGATAAAGACAGTGAATCGGTCACTATGGTATCATAAATCAATCTTCTTTGGCTTATTTAATTACTATAACTGTGAGTGAATTGTGTTTTTCTGAAAATATCAAATTTCTCATGGCTTAATCCATGCTAATATGTACTCAAATTGATTTTTTAACAAAATAAAAATATGAATCCCTAGCTTGGATTCGATTGAATATTTTTGTTTATACTGAATGTAAATTGAACCATTTTTGGGCATATATTTATATTGCTATTAGAGATTCAAATTTTACAATACTATAGTTTAAGAAGTCAATGAACTTGTCAGCTCTAATATAATCCTTGTGAGAATCCAAATACAGCCTTATTTGCTTAGAAATGCAAGCAATTAGTACATTTCTAGGTAATTGTTATTATATTCACGTAAATATACAAGCTGTCTGATTATTCATGACATAATTATTCAGTAAGTGATCTACTGATATCCTAAATTATTTTCAATAACTATAATCACGGATATGTGTTGCTGATGCCAATCACTATCAAACAATGTTTAACAAAATGTCATTATGAATATATTGTCTGAACAAAATATACTTATACAATACTTGTTTTGCAGGCCAACAGCTTCTGGTCATGGTAAAGGTTTGGAATCATGTCAGAAATATAGTTTCAATCTTTTAGGCATCTGGCCATATAGACCACAGAAATATTTTAAGGTAACACTTTTATTTTGTTCAGTGTGCACAATATTTTCAATATTTCTTAAAATGCAATCCATGATTAAATATGATATGCTTTCCACCAGTTTTCTACAATTCCTAGTTCACTTAATTAAAGGTGAAAACGGCCTAGAATAAATACAGTATTATGTTGGGATTAGTGGTGTACCGATATGACTACTATCTGTTTTTACTGATATCAGATGTTGACAATGGAACATATGGGTGATGCAGATGCAATTACCGATAGTGGCTCATCAAAGAATATTACACATTAATATGCCTCGAATGTCATGGTAATTGATGTAGATGTATGTCATTGTTAGTCAGGAAATGCATGGTACAGAGAATCAAAGACGAACACGATGTTTATTGAAGGAATAATTCGGTTACGCTTCCAACAGAGTTAAAAATACTTATCTGTTGCATGATTAATTAGTAAAGCAGGACAGTGCTTGAAACTAGGATTTTTCTATGACGGCACAAAAAATCTGAAAATGCCCTAGCTAAAATGAGATGTTATCTTAAACATACATTATGCAAGAGCTAAATCTGATTATTGCAAGTCTTTATTTAGGCTTCAGATGTCATAGAAATTATAAATTTGATCTTTATTTACACAAGCACAAAATCAACTCTGTAGACCCACGGATGGCTTGGATTCGGCTTGGATTTAAACAGGATTTCGTTGATTGATTAAATTTTTAAATGGCGTCGTAAGCGGAGATTAACCGTTATGTTGACGTCATACTCCCGGAAATTTTAGATCGAGGCTAAATGATAGAGTGTACGAAGCGAGGCCGCTGTTGAACGAGGCGGCATGTCAGTCAATTTGATTGAAAGTTTGATATATCCGGCCTTGATATTATGTTTAGTTGTGGTTAAAATGATAGTTTGGATGTCAGTATTATACGCTCTTTTGACACTTGCGTTTACAGAAAAATTGTAGAAATTGATAAACAGCCCCATTGGATCACTGTTTCCTATCTGTCTGCTTTGGGAGTTACGTAGGTCTACCAGTTACAGTACAAGAGTACACGCAGGCTAACAAGAAGTCGGGTATAATTATGCCTCATTGATTTGGTCCATTCCTTTCAAACTTTCGCTTCTTATTAAAAGTCTTATTTTTAATTTGTAGTAAAAATAAATGTGATACGAATTGAATTGCAACCCCGTCTCAAACCGAATATGCTAACGGTACCAAAGCCATTGAAAACGTTACTTGATAATCGAGATTATGTAGGTGGAGTTAACGCCTGTCAATCAAACGATCGGCCATTCTCGGAGATGGTGAAGAGAGAGTTGACTCCTATTTTTAGTCAAAAATTACAATTTGACTGAAATTTTGAATATATTCTTCTTTCATCATCTATTTTTGAACTGTTATAGCAAGAATGGCCAACTCTCTATTAAAATCTCCCATAATGTATCTTTAATAAAAGAAGTATTATCCATAACACATAACTTATACTATATCATAGTTGCCGACTGGATAATCAATGGTCAACAATCGGTCAATGGAGTTGGTTTCTATGACAACCACGCTCTACTCAGCACTGCCTGCAGTGGGTAACTAGAAACTGTTTACATGAGATGTTTTACTTTTATCATCCTTCTGTCATTTTGATGAGAATTCGGCCGAAATAGTACAAAATACTTTCCAAATTTTGTAAATTTGATTCTCTCAATTCATTATTGCGATTATTTTAAAAATAATCATGATAATGATTATTGAGAAAGGAGGCGATTATTTAATCGCCTGACCCAATAATTGCGCTTATTAATGTGTCAGACCGTTTATATTATATCTGCTTTTTCTTTTGACTTAACATGAGACAGTCACTTTGATTCCAATAAACTTACATGTGTTTTTATATTCCCACATTTTCATGTGGATGTATTATTCCAACGCCCCTGTCCATCCGGACGTCCATCCTCAATTTGTTTGTGGACACTCTACAGGTCACAATTTTTATCCGATTTTAACGAAACTGGAAATATAGGTCTATTCCAAAGATTTCTGTATCCTTTCGATATTGGCATGTATTGGACCATAACTTACTGGATTATGGCCCCTGATTGTATGAAAAATCACGTTTTTAGCTTATGGATGCTCTAGAGGTCACAATTTTGATCGGATTTTGATGAAACTTGAAATGCATGTTTATAACCCGAAGATCTTAGCTCCTTTCGATATTCATGCATATCAGATCGTAACTTCCTTAATTATGGCTCCTGATTGTACGAAAAATCACATTTTTAGCTTGTGGACCCACCAGAGGTCACAATTTGTATTCAATTTTAAAAAACCTTTAAATATATGATCATTACACATCAATGAAGGTTGTTTGAATTTCGTAAAAATGTGACCGAAACTGCTGGACAAAATGGTCGCTCCTTGTACGCATATAGTGTAAAGTATGTAATAGTGGGCGCTCTAGAATTCATAATTTTTATCCGATTTTGATGAAACTTGAAGTGTATATAATATTATCCAAAGGTACCTTTCGATATTTGCGCACATCAGACTATATCTTCCTGTTCTCGATATTGTGGTCCAAAGCAGAAAAGGATTTTACAATTTTTATCTTCAACAATATCGAAGTTTCCTGTGAGTATACGGTCATGAAACTTATCCTTAAAAGGAGAGTTAGCGTATTGACATGTTGTAAATTGTCAATAAATTCTTGTACGTAAAATTTTCAATAGTTTCATGGTATTTAAATATTTTGTAACGAATTGGAGGTAAAAATTTGTATACGGCTGTAGGTGAAATTTTAGGAATAGTATCTGGTATAAATTTAATTACTGATTCGTCTCGAAAGATTCTATTCAATCCAATGTCTTGTTGTATCTCCCCCCCCCCCCCAATTCTAGACAAGAGTAGTATACACACTGGGATATTGAGTTTCATGGTATTATATCATATATTTATTTATTAGTTTATATATTGATGATATATTCCCATCGAGGAAGTCCACTTATTATTGTATAGATCTTGTCTGTCTTTTCATGGATTTTTTGTAGTTGATTCGAGTGTTAGTAAAAAGTAATAACTACCGGTGAAGTATGATACACTTTACTCACACTGCTATAATTTCATGAGGTGTCTGAGAGTGTAGACATATTTCATGAATGCAATCAATTACCGGTAATGTACATTAAACATGAAGCAAACTACTGTATAACGAGACAGCAAGGCTTCATATATCTGTTTATCTAAGTGCCATAAATGCTCTCGCTGGAATATGTCAACAGGAATAAAACCGACCCATGAACAATTTTTTTTATCAGTACCTTTTTAAATTAGAAAATATCTTGTGTTTCTTCCTGAGATATCAGTTTAATTTTCTGTGTTTCATTTTTATATGCCCACATGGAAATGTGGGCGTATATTGCCATCGCCCCCATTTGTCGGTCTGTCTCTCTGTCGTCGCCAAAAGTTATCAACCGATTGTTTTAAAATTGGTATATGTTGTTTACATTGACTGAGATGAAGAATCCTATTTGATTTTAATTACTTCTAGGGTTATGTCCCTTGTGAATACTCTAACAATACCATCCAAAGTTATCAGCCGATCTGTATGAAATTTATATGCGTCATTTAAATTAGTAAAAAAAAGAATCCTATTGAATTTCAGCAATTTCTGTTAATTACATCTATAGAGTTATGGCCCTTGTTTCACTTTGTTGAACCTTGTGAATGCTGTAACGCGAAAAGTTATCATCCGATCTTTGTGAAATTTATTTGCATTATTTAAATTAGTGAAACAAAGAAGCCTATTGAATTTCATCAAATTCTGTTAATCACTTCTAGAGTTATCTGCCGATCTGTATGAAATTTATATGAGTCATGAAAAATTAGTAAAAAAGAAGAATCCTATTGAATTTCAGCAATTTCTGTTAATTACATCTGTAGAGTTATGGCCCTTGTTTCATTTTGTTAAATCTTGTGAATGCTGTAACACCAAAAGTAATCATCCGATCTTTGTGAAATTTATTTGCATTATTTAAATTAGTGAAATGAAGAAGCCTATTGAATTTCAGCAATTTCCGTTAATTACTTCTACTTCTAGAGTTATGGCCCTTGTTGCACTTAAACGTGTCATTTAAATTAGTAAATAAAAGAGTCCTATTGAATTTCAGCAATTTCCGTTTATTACGTCTAGAGTTATGATCTTTGTTTCATTCTTGAACCTTGTGAACACTCTAACGTCAAATGTTATCCAATCTTTGTGAAATTTATATGTATTATTTAAATTAGTACAACAAAGAAGCCTATTGAATTTCAGCAATTTCTGTTAATTACTTCTACTTCTAAAGTTATGGCCTTATTTGCACTTTGTGAACGCTCTAACATCAAAAGTTATCTGCCGATCTGTATGAAATTTATATGTGTCATTTAAATTAGTAAATAAAAGAATCCTATTGAATTTCAGCAATTTCCGTTTATTACGTCTAGTTATGATCTTTGTTTCACATTCTTGAACCTTGTGAACACTCTAACGTCAAATGTTATCCAATCTTTGTAAAATGTATATGTATTATTTAAATTAGTGAAACGAAGAATCCTATTGAATTTCAGCAATTTCCGTTAATTATGTCTAGAGCTATGGCCCTTTTTTCACTTTGTTCAACCTTGTCAATGGTCAGCCTACAAATGTTATCCAATCTTTATGAAATTTATATGCATCATTTAGACCGACAAATATCATTATTCGATCTGTATGAAATTTATATGCATCATTTAACTTAGTGAAACGAAGAATTCTATTTAATTTCAGCAATTTTCGTCAATTACTTCTAGATTTATGGCTCTTGTTTTACTTTGGGTACCTTGTGAACATTCGAATAACAAAAGTTATCATCTGATTTGTATGAAATTAGTAAAACGAAAAAGCCTGTCAAATTTCAACAATTTTTGTATTACTTCCAGAGTTAGGGCCCTTGTTTCAGTTTGTAGAACCTTCTGAACCCTCAAGCGACAAAAATTATAATCTGATCTGTATGAAAATGTCTTGTAAATGCCCCCCATTACCTACAAAAGAATAAATATGCGACAACCCTTGTAGACTGCTCGGACGATTTAGCTACCATGGGCGTATGTTTCGTTGCCTGGCAACCTATCTTTAACATTTCTTGTCAGACCGACTTTCCTGTTTTCCAAAATAAACAGACATATCCAATTACTGCTATAATTGATATGATACAGTTTATATTATGAGAAAATAAATGAAGACTATCTTCAAAGGCTTTATGTATAATTAAATAAATTCAAGGCAATGCTAATAATAGGAGATGAATTATGTTTTGAAGATTCTTGAGATAATTTTTATGCGCCCACAGTTTCACATGGCCGTATATTGCCGTCCCCCCTGTCCAATCGGACGTTCCACATATTGTTTCGAATTTCCTGAAAATTGGACTGAAACTACCTGACAAAATGGCAGCTCCCCATACACAAATAGTGTAAAAGTATCTGATAACAAGGTTGTGGACCCTCTAGAGATCACAATTTTTATCAGATTTTGATGAAACTTGAACTCGGTTTCTTTCGATGTTTGCATGTATTGGACCGTAACATGGTACCTGATTGTACAAAAAAATCACAGTTTTAGCTTGTGGATACTCTTGAGGTCACAATTTTTATCCAATTTTGATGAGACCTGAAATGTATGTTTATAACCCACTGATCTCAATTCCTTTCAATATTCACGCATATCGGACCGTAACTTCATGGATTATTGCTCCTGATTGTATGAAAAAATCTTGTTTTTGGCTTGTGGACCTCTAGAGGTCACAATTTTTATATGTTTAAAAAAAAAAAAAAAGCTTAATGTATCACCGTTAAACCATAATGATGGTTGAGTTCGAATTTTGTGAGAATCTGACCATAACTGCCTATCAAAATGACCGCTCCTTGTACGCACGTGTATAGTATAAAAGTATATAATATCAAGGACCCTCTAGAGGTCACAATTTTTATCTGATTTTGATGAAACTTAGAATATATGTTTTTATCCCAAAGATCTGGGTTCCTTTTGATATTTGCACATTTTGGACCCTAACTTCCTGGATTATGGCCCCTGATTGTATGAAAAATCACTTCTTTTTTATTAGCTCGCTCTCTGTACAGCTCTTGCAAAATGTGGGCGTATCTTGTATGGTAACCGCTTGTTTTTATTTTCATCCACCTTTTGTAGAAAGTAGGCGACTATTAAAATGGGATTGTCTGTCTTTCTGTCCATCACATTTTTGGGATACAATAACCCTGTTTCTAATTAGACTAGCTGTAGGTGTTCATTAGGTAATGGTTTTACAGGATTTGATGATGGGCATTTTATGCTAAGGATGAGCAGAGGTAAACAATTGGGTTGGTTAAGACTTTGGAGCATGAAAGCTTTGATACTATTTGTGTGAGATTTTGGAACACAATAATTTTGCTTTAAAGGAGCTAAATCTCGATTCTTTGGCACCTACAAATGGACACAAATGAGTCACAACACAACACATATAATAATGTAAATGAATGTATATAAACTGATTACATTCCATCATTCGTGTTTTTACTGTAATTTCTAATCATGTGACAATTTTAAAATGTTCATTTTGTCTTAAATATTTGATATCAGAAGTCCATCTTTTCACGGTAAGATTGCAACATTAATGCTGAATTAAATTGACCAATAATTCGTGTTTGCAATGTCGAAGACTGTGGATGATATAGAGTTAGCTACTTGCCTCCTTTAAGCTGACAGAATGTTCAGTGTCTTGACTGAGTTAGATCATCATCATTTCCTGATCAGACTGAACTGCTTTGTCGATGCGTTGGAACACGATAACTCTTGATTCTGATCAAGTGAGAATGATGAAATGTGGTGTATAGTTTTACTCCATCCAAACCTTGACTAAGTTCTATAACAAGCATTTTCTATTCAATCTAAGCAGAGTGGTTAGCAATATTTTGATTGCTCAACTTTTTACAAAAAGATAAATGAGCGAGTAATTAATGAAAGTCATCTATTATGTCAAATCCATTATCATTATGCATGTATTTGTATGTTACTTCAATTGTATGTTATTTCAATTATAGGCTGAATTAAAATCTGATAAATCAACTAGTCCAGTTGCAGGTGCTGCTGTATATGATGAAGTTTTAAACCAGATACATGCTGACCTACCCAGGAAAGTCTTTCAGTAAGTCATGTTGCCTTCAATTTAGAAAACCGTGTTCTATGCTTTCTGTGTGACTTTCTTGGTATTAAGAGTTTAACTTATCTATTTCAGTTAGTTTGTAAAATTCGTGAAGGACGCCATCTTAGAATAGTTAGATAATGGAACATAGGAAGTGACTATCTTAATGCATTAGTTTTAAACATGAATTATTTGTTAAAATTGTAATGAGTGCTGTATTCTTGACTAGAATTTCCTAGGTTAGAATTGCTGACAAGGAGAAACTTTAATATTTCTGATCAGGTGAAAAAACGATGTCCACCTGTGTATGGGCAGTTGGAAGAATAGGCTGAAATCTGGCTTTTATGGCAATATTTACACCACTACTTGGCCCAGGTACAAAGAGAAATGAAAATATTAACATAATATGTTTGTCTTAAAACAACCTGAGATGTTGAATCCCATTCATTGATCGCTCTCTCTCTCTCTTTAAATATCTAGAACTGGTTTGATGAAAGTAGGTCTATCTACTTTGGGTAATTCTAATACCACTCCACCTGTATATGATGTTATATATTCCTCACCAGTTAGTCCACATGATTACGATCAAAGTCGTATAAATATCAAGTTTAGAGATGTACCAGATAATGTGTCACGAATGCTTATGGATGGTGAATTGTATCTCAACATTATTACAACTACAACTGAGTATATTGGAGTATTAGATATGAAACATGAGGTTTGTAGTTTGATATATTTGTAATATCCCTTGATTAAATTAAAGACTTGGTGTGTCATTTAGCACTATATTAATCCCTTGCAAACTACAATATTGTGGAAGTTGAATCTCTAATAGGTAGGGATACCAGTCCAAAAATGGCTCAGTTCCATTCAGTATTTACAAAGTTGTAATAAATTGTATTTTCATTGATTCATGCTGATTGAGTGTGACCAGGTGCACCATCTTTTATTGGTTACTGTTACAGAGAGAAACCTGGCGGGCCTAGTTTAAATCGGAATGAATCCAAGCGGGGAGTTTATCTAGCGCTGTATTTTGATTTTGTTTTCTTAACAAAATGATATTTCAGCAAAAATGCAAATGGCAAATCAGGTCTTTAAGATAAAAGTCAAAGATGTAATATTACTGTCCATTTCACATATTATATTTAACTTCATATTGTACAAATGAAATAACACAGAGTGTCTATATAAAGTACTAATCAAAGGACATTTTTCAATAATTCCAAAAGCTGATGTAAAGCAAACAGGTTTGACTGTTGTAGGAACATCCTGACTCTGCTTTCATACAGTTTTCAACTGTTATTTAAAGGGACAATAACACTCTTGCTGGCTTGACAGCTCCAGAAAATAAAAAATAGCCTTATTCTTTAAGTACTAGATGTGTTTGTGTCCTACCTGTTGTGTAAATTATCCATTTAATCCTATTTTACTTGTCCAGAGGGTTCAAAAATATTTTTAAATCCAAGTAACATTTGAAAAGCTTTACGTCAGACTTTTCAAATCATTTAGTTGAATTTTTCCAATTTTTTAAATTAGGTGTGTTAAGATGAAATTTGTATCATCAATTAATTGGAATATTGTAAAATAGTACAATTTGTTGACCAGAATAAAGATTGGGACATATTATTCAGTTACAACAAGAGTGGTATTGAGCCTTTAAAAAAAAAAATTTTTTTTCAGGAATATGAAAAGGGTATTTATGCACCTATGCATACACAGTATAGTAAAGTAGGCTGGTTATCTTCACCTGAATTTCTTGGTGTTAAAGCAGTTTATCCGGCAGCCACATATCCTACTGGTCCTTGTTCTCCACCGTCAAGACATTATATAGTAAGTTTTACTGTACTAAACTTTATGGTCTTGTTTATCTCAGTAGGTCCTCAACAAATCATTACTGTCATGCAGAATTACCTCCTCTTTCACATTGACATGCAGCTAATCATTGACATGGATAATTCTCACCTTTCAGTTGCGCTCGGTCTTTTCTCGCAATCTTTGATTTTTGCAATATCTGAATGAGTTCCTGTAAATTTGAATACCGTACTGATTCAAAATGGACAGCAGCACCTGGATTTACATATTATCCTATTGATATTAAATAAGCTTGTCCGACTATTGGGTTTAGTTTATACCTCCTCCGAGTTACTAGATTCGATAAAGCGAAATATTAATTGGTAGGTAATTCTCTTTAATTTTGAAAACCTGATAAGGTCATTGGCGTAGTTGTTGTGAGCTACGTCTAGTTTTCCAGACTACTGCTAAGGACATATTACTGCTAGTCATTGTACCCTGGAAGAGATAACCCTTCTTTGAATTCAATTTAGATGAAGTTATGAGCAAGGTTTTGATCATATGGAAAATGCATTTTGTTCATGAAATCTATTTCAGTCTCATTTACATTTACGAGGTGATTTAACTGATACTGTAGGTGCATTAGCTATGACTGTTATAGATGATAGACTACATATCTTTATTAAATTAACAAATCATAAAGAACAAATAGCTTCTATACAGTTAACATCAAGTAAATTATCAGGTAATTGTTATATATATATAGGATTCTCCTTTGGCTTATAATAAATATTAATTCATATAGTAGGGGGGAACGCTGTGATCCAAAATGAGGTTCCAGGGGCTTGAAATATTTTAACTAAGGAACACATATGAGGGAAGGGGCTTAAATCCCCACCTGGTTTCTGGTGGGCATGTAGTCACCCTTCACATTAAATGTATTCCCTTATTCTATTAGTAAATGCACGATGTAACTGCACATGATCAGATATGCAGGTTTTACCCATCAATGCTATTACACAGTGTCGACAAATAACAATGCACACTTTATTGCTTTATTCGCTTCTTTGTCTTTCAGTAATTTTTGGATGATTTTAATTTTAGGTTTATTACCATTGAATCTACCTGTAAGCAAACTTAAAAATGGATTCCTTTTCACTGTAATGCAGGCTTCTAAATGGATTGAAGAAATAGGAACATGTAGGTTTACTGAGCTAAAATACTTATCTGATACACTCTTTCGAAATGGAGTTTTCATTCTGTACTGTTTCATTGAAAATATTATTCCAATGAAAATTTGTTATAATAATAACGAGTTATATATTTATATGTTACTAGCAGGATACCTGACTTCGCCTGTTGCCGAAATTTGTCTGGGACCCAATTTCGACAAATTCGATGGCTTAAACATTCACAGGGTCATGCTGGTTAATTTTATACCATACATGTGTGGGTAGAGCGCGATGACGAAGCGTTATTTGCCTGGGGCCCAGGCCCAATTTGCCAGGGGCCGATTGTGATGGCCTTAAACATTCATGGGGTCATGCTGGTTAATTTTATACCACATATGTGGAGGTGGACCGCGGCGACAAAGCCTGATCGATATGCACACATCTTTGATTTTATTATATAGATTAATAGATCTTTTATTGAAATAGTTGTGTTTATGTATTATTCAAATAGTTGTATTTATTTGTTATAATAAGAACTATATTTATTTAGTATATTTAAATAATGTACTTATGTGTTATTATAAGAGTTATTTAAATAGTGTATTTATGTGTTATTATAAGAGTTATTGAAATAGTTGTATTTATTTGTTATTAATAGAGTTATTGAAATAGTTGTATTTATTAGTTATTATAAGAGTTATTGAAATGTGTATTTATTTATTAATATAGTGATGTTTTTAAAGAAAGTAGAGATAAGAACTGTAGATAATAAATTACTAATGGATGGTTTTATAGAAGAAGGTATATATGTAAGTATATATTATTTATGAAATTTTACAATAAAGAAAAAAATCATCAATCTGTTTTTTAAACAACCCATTTCTTTCAGATACAGTAGTGCATGCTTTTAAACTATCTAGACTTAAAGATTCTGGGGACTTTTTTTTTTCTAAAATTTCAAATAGGAGGAAAGACTCTTTTTTGTGTCTTTGGAGATTGTACAGTGACATAAAACACTACATGAATAGACATTGGTTAATAAATACTATCTTTATTTCATTCATATCCAATATATCAACACATGGTAAATAAGGTGAAAAATTATGGGGCTCTGCAAAGGATTTTTTCATTTTATCAACAAGGGTTGATATCCATAAAGACAAGTAGATTTTATATTTCACTTAATGCTAAATCCCACCTGTGCATTTTTTGTTTATAGTCACTTATGGGTGATATAGATGAAGTACATGGATTAGGAATATTCCAGATTACTAAGGGAAGATTTTTGCAGTATACAGTTATTGTAAGTTTTTTTTAAATGAAATAACACATGTAATAAAAAAGCTGGTGATATACTGAGATGCAATGAAAACACACCACTGATTTTTGGCATGATTGTATTTTTACCAACACAAGAAAATCAACAACCAACCATGGAGGCAACAACAGCTTTACTTTACCTGTGTTCACCTCTAGCAGCCACATGCGCCATGAAACGTTGCTACATGATGGCTATAAGCCTCTTAATGGCTGCTTGTGGGATCAGTCTCCATTCTAATTGCAATTCTGCTTCCAGTTGACGCGAGAATTTGTATTTGGAGAAAGACAGTGTCCATTATTGTCCACCAGAACCTTGATTGATTAGAGATCAGTAGTGAGGGCTTGACGTTTATAAAATTGCTGTGTTTTCATTGCGTCCATGTATTGAATTCATTATTCTGTATTTTTGTAAACAAAGTGGAAAGGGACATTTATTATTGAAATATAAATCGGTCATCGTTTTTATACGCCCACATTTTCATGTAATGTATATTGTCATCGCCCCTGTCCACCTTGAAATGCATATTTATAACCCAAAGATCTTGGTTCCTTTCGATCAGGGCTCACACTGTCGGTCGCCAAACTCGCAATTTGCGATAAAAATATGAAAGTGGCGATTAAAATTTGATTTTGGCAAAAATTTTGGCGATAATGTTTTGCGATACTGGCGATTCTTTTTGAGAACTGGCGGAAAAAAATCTTAAAATTCTAATCGTATTTATCCTGGATTAACCATTAATTGAGTGTCAATCACGTGGCGGAATACTATTTATTAATCAACTGGCTGATAACCTGGATTGTGTCAATGAGTAATACTAATTAGTTGTCTTGGATTAATGATTAGTTGATTGATAATTGCCAATGATGTATGTAAAGCCTATCTCAAGTCATCCTGCATCAAATGGAGCTGCGGAAAGATCAGTACAAACCGTTAAACAAGGTTTATTGAAACAAGTTATGGAAGGTCATACCAACCAAACTCTACAACATAGACTTGATAACTTTTTTATTAACATACAGAATTACTCCACATACTGTTACTGGGTGTGCACCAAGCGAGCTGTTTTTGAAAAGACAAATTCGTAATCGGTTTACATTGTTGAAATCAAATCTTGAACAGACTGTCACTCATAAACAAGAGCTGCAAGCAAAGAATCATGACAGCCGAGTTAGAGTGCGTTCATTTGAAGTCGGACAATTCGTTCAAGTTAAAAACTTTCGAGGAGACATTAATAGGTGGATTCCTGGTCGTATAACAAAAAAATTAGGTTTACAGACCTTTATTGTCCGAACCGGGGGTAAAATTCGTTATTGTCACATTGATCATTTGTTACCTGGTAATGATACTGTCGATTCAAATGGTAACAGCCCAACCAATACAGAGATTGATATAACATCATCTAAACCGTTAGTACCCGATTATGGACCAGATTTGTTATTGCCTAATAATTCAAATACTGCATGTACTTCATCGACTACAAGTACTCAAGCAACAAGTATTGATACTCCAACATCACCCGTCAAGCCAGTTGATACCAAACAACGTTACCCACAGAGAGTTCGAAAACCACCAGAGAAGTTAACTATGTGAACTATTTGTGTGAAATTTTTAAATAATTAACGTTTATTTTGTTTTGTTCCCTCAAATAGAGACATTTTAGTTTATGTGAACAGTACAACTTTTTAAAGGGGTAGGAATGTAGTATTTATGGTTATGCTTCGTATTATTATTACGCTATGTATGACGTCATACCGGTAGAATATTCTGGTGTTCATTTTACCCATAGTGCTTTGGTGTACATGTGCTTCTGGTAATAAAGATGTCCCCGATCAAGTTTTGATGTGTCCGTGGTTTATCGTTCTTTAGGAACCTTATCATTTTGTATGTATGAGTATACTACAATTTTGATACCCGAATTCGTTTACAGTGGCTTCATATACGTCATGTAAGACATACAAGCATGCCTATCAGATATCATTATTTCAAATTATATTATCACCACTGGTCGGAAACGTAAGAACGAGTTGAATAGCGACGATTCTTGAGCGAGAAATCATTTCGCCATATGTATCCTATTACCCTCGCCAAAATGATCTAAAGGTGAACGACGGGTATAATTGTAAGCATCTCTTACAAAAATATAATTGAAATTTATATCATTCTATCAGTGATTCAGATTCTGATACCTTTACGGTACCTGAAAATAACTATTGGCCAATTGTACACGCAACACATAAATTTATAGAAAATTGGCAATCCTTGAATGAGATCTAACGTGTAAATACTGAAAATATATTGTGCAGTACGGTGTTCAAATAGACTAAAGTCACCCAAAAAAATCTGACCTTATTAAATCCAAACTGTGCTAATGTATTATATACAGACAGATTTTTAAAGTTGTTGTATATTGTATTCTATATACCGGTATGGTTAATTGTTTTATAATATTTTTATAATATTCGAATATTATAAAACAATTAACGGTTTTATGTCTCAGCTAGGCTTATTAAAATAAGCCTAGCTGAGACATAAAATTGTTAGATGTTGTCTTTTTTAGCACACATTTTTGGCAGATAAAATATTCCAGTTGGCGGAAAAAAAATATGAACATTTTTATATATAAAAATTATCATCCATTTTGGCGGAAAAAAATTGAAAGCCAGTGTGAGCCCTGCTTTCGATATTAGCACAGATCTCGGACCGTAACTTCCTGAATTATGGCCCCTGATTGTATGGAAAATCGCGTTTCTAGCTTGTGGACCCTAAAGAGGTCATAATTTTTATCCGATTTCAAAAACCCCACTAAATGCGAAACAGGAAGTGTTTAGCGACATTGTCACATGCTATTTTAGCATTTTAAAAGAAATTACTAAAACAGAGGAGTGTTAATGTCTAATTGACCAATCAAAACGCAAGATTCACCCTTAAGCATGTTACAATTATAGATACCTTTTAATTTGTTATACATGTATTCGTTACCAAACTTACTAAATTTGTTAAAAATTTGATTTTCTACAGATGGAGAAAACAAAATGTGGTGGGAAACAATCAGTATTATTAGAAGGACCTGAGTCTACTATTATATCTAATATAACAAATCAGCTTACATCTAAATATGATGATTATTTACTAGAGGGTTATATCAAGGTATAATTTCATTTATATAATTTATAAATATCTAGAACAAAGTCTAGTTTGGAATTTTGACTTTAGAATAGAATTAAGGGTAGTGCTAGGTCTTATTTTTTTACACCCACATTTTCATGTGGATGTATATTGTCATAGCCCTTGTCTATCCACAATTTGAAACTTGAAATATAGGTTTTTTTTCCAAAGATCTTGGTTCCTTTCGATATTGGCATTTATCGTACCGTAACTTCATGGATCATGGCCCCTGATTGTACAAAATATCATGTTTTTAGCTTGTGGACACTCTAGAGGTCACAATTTTTATCCGATGTTGATGAAACTTGAAATGTATGTTTAGAACTCTCAGATCTAGGTTCCTTTCGATATTCACACATATCAGATCGTAATTTCCTGAATTATGGCCCTGGATTGTATGGAAAATCACATTTTTCGATTGTGGTCCATCTAGAGTTTACAATTATTATCCAATTTAAAAAAAACGTTCCAATATACCACTGTTACACCAGTTCGAATTTCGTGAAAATTGAACCACAATTGCCAGACAAAGTGGCATATGGTATATCAAGGTTGTGGACCTTCTAGAGGCCACAATTTTTATCCGATTTTGATGAAACTTTAAATATATGTTTATATCATAAAGATCTTGGTTCCTTTCAATAAGCGCGCATAACTTCCTGGATTATGGCCCCTGATTGTTCAAAAAATGGCATTTTTAGCTTGTGGACCCACTATAGGTCACAATTTGTTTTCACTTTTAAAAATCATTTAGATATATCACCCTTACAAATCATTTAAATTTTTCACCGTTGCAACCTAATGACGGTTGAGTTCAAATTTCGGACCAAAACTGTCATACAATTGTTATCAGATTTTGATGAAACTTAAAATATTTGTTTATGTCCCAAAGATCTTGGTTTCTTTCGCTGTTTGCGCATATCAGACCATAACTTTACCTTTAGAGGTCACAATTATTTGTCAGATTTTAAAAACGGTTTATATATATCACCATTCCACCATAATGAAGGTTGAATTCGAATTTCGGGAAAATCAAAACGAAACTGTCAACAAAATGGCCACTCTTTGTTTGCAAATTGTGTAAAAGTATGTAATACGAAGGTTGTGGACCCTCTAGAGGTTACAATTTTTATCTGATTTTGATGAAACTTGGATATCTTTATATCCCAAAGATCTCAGTTGGCAGTCCCTTTTGATATTTGTGCATTTCAGACCGTAACTTTCTGGATTATGTCCCCTGATTGTATGAAAAAATCGCTTTTGTTTTTAGCTTGTTCTCTATCTATCTCTTGCAAAATATCTTGCCTGACAACTGCTTGTTTTAGCCTGTTCTCTGTCCACCTTGAAAAATATGGGCATATCTGCTGCTTGTTCGTTTCAAATATGCCAAATTTTCGTGTTCGTCACCACCCCTATTATTGCTGTAGGACTGACAAAAAGGGTTGTGTAGTTGTTTGAATTGATATGAAAAACCCAGTGCACGACAACAATAACTGCTGCAATAACTTTCAGCAAGCTAGAAATAGAAAACATTCTGAAATGAGTGTTAGTGATTTGATGCAATTCAACATGATTCAGTTATAAATGGTAATACTTCAGGATTCATGCTGTCATGATTTCTATGTCAGTTGTGTTGCTTTGCCTAGTCACATCATCGAATTACTATATCTGCACAGTTGTCACTTTTAGTGGGCATGGGTTTAAAAACTGTGAAGTGGTTCGTGCGGTAGATTTACTAGGGGACATCGACCTTAAATGTAAAAACCACAGCCCATGCAAATTTTCTTCCATAGATAATGAATATGTTGGTTTTGGTCTCTTATGACTGAAGTGTTGATGAGAAATTAAAAAGTATTTCTACTCTTTGTTGAATGTCTATAAATGGTTTCAACATTGTACATATGGCTGTCCCACTAACATGAGGATTTTAATATTTATATGTATACTTGATTAAATTTTAAAGGAACTGAGTAGTGATTCTATCTTAAACTTGTGGCTTGGTAAAATTTCTTTGATTATGAAATGTGAGGAGGACAAAACATTTACAGAAGTTGTAGGCAAGGTAATCAAATTTTATGTTTTCACAGCAATTGATTTCAGAGTTAGCTATAAATTTTTGGTGATAGACTTAAGCCTGAAAAGAAATGGTCTAAACTCTTAAAAAGTGAGAAAAAAAACATAAGGAAAGATTGTTCCCCAAATAAACGATTAACTATTGCTGACTACCTTTAAATGAGAAGATTAGTCTGTTTTTAGTGTCTTGTGAATGATCTCATTACCTGTAAAAGAAAAAATATAAGACAACTTTAGTGGACTGCAAAGACTACTAAGCTGCTCTGTGTGTGTGTGTTTTGTTGCCAGGCAACCTATCTTTTTTTTTTTTTTTTTGCAATGCTATATACATAAAATTATATGGGAATCTTTTTAAGAATTATTTATGTGATGTGTTTTTGATAGTCAACCAGCAATGATTAGAGCCATTATCAATAGAATTGTATTGGTTTGTAGAACAATCTATTGATAAATTTATTTCTATTTGTATAGTTAACCAAACCTGGTAAATGGTACTGTACTGATATAGAAAATGAACATTGTAAGTTTTTAAGATTTTATTTGTTTCTGTTTGATAAACATTAAGAATTCTCCATGTTTACAAATTGACATGCATAACCTTCTGCCCTATTGTAGCATACTCCTTGTAGTGTTTCATTTGATGTCTACACTCAATACTGTAGCTATGAGAACGTAGCTAAACACTTTGAGATATACTGTGATGTTTGTTTTAGCTACCATTGAGTGCCTTTAGATTCACTTGGAAAACTTAATTTCTTTATTAATGCATGTAACATCTTAAAATAAGTTAATTTTATACTATTAAAACTACATGTAATTAAACATACCCAGCCCAATGTTGTGAACCAACTTCAGTTTATCTGCAAATATTGTCAGAAAGGTTAATCAAGCGGTGTTTTTATTAAAATTGATATGGACATTCATATGGACATTCATTAGTCATTCGCAACCCCCTACTTGTAGTTTTATGTCCCATATCTTGATTGGCTGTTGTACACATCATATTTACCCCCGCCTTTGTGACGTAGACCTATTCTGTTTTAAAATGTCTGGCAAAGCCAGCTATTATTGCTTTGATTTAAAAGAGATGGTTTGTGCCAGGTAGGATTATGCTTAATTGTAGTTGGGTGTGGCAGAAATGTAATAAATAACATTAATCAATCGTTGTTTTGAAGAAAAAAAAGACAGTTTTGCTTATTGAATTACCATCTGATTAGCATCGTACTTTATCTTGAGACATACAGGGTTGAGAGATGAGGTTTCTTATCAATCAACACTGCTGTATCAATACATAATTTTTGTGTCTATTAGTGAGATGAAGAAGCCTATAATTTCCATTTTTTACGTCTAGAGTTATGGCCCTTGTGAACGCTCTAACGCCAAAAGTTATCATCCGATCTTTGTGAAATTTGTATGCATTATTTAGATTAGTGAAGAAAGAAACCTATTTAATTCAATAATTTCCGTTTATTACATCTAGAGTTATAGCCCATGTTTGACTTAGTTGCACCTTGTAAACGCTCTAACATCTAAAGTTATCTGCCGATGTGTCATTTAGATTAGTAAAAAGAAGAACCCTATTGAATTTCAGCAATTTCCGTTTATAACATCTAGAGTTATGGCCCTTGTTGAACCTTGTGAACGCTTTAACCCTTAACCAGTCGACGTCATTTTGACGTTATGACGTCAAGTGGTCAGGCTAAATAAAGGCTGACGTGAAATATTTTGTATGCCTATTTCAATCGACTACTTCCGAATAATTATAAGTGATAGACTCTTGACACCAATAAAAAAGTTGCTGGGGATAAGTTGATCTATAATTTGCAAATCATTCTACATCCTTTTCATCAGAAATATCGTCTTCAGAATCGGTGGCATCGATATAATCCTATTCGGAATAATTCATAAGTATTTCAACCACTTCGAGCGTCTTTAACGTCCCCGACGCCGTTAAATTACGTTTTTCATCAAAAAATGTTGAACAAAGACATGTTTTTCTCAATGCCCTTGACAAGACAAGTTCCTGTCTAACACGTATGCGTGGCCATATCAATTAACACCAAAAGGTATCATCCGATCTGTATGAAATTGATATGCATCATTTGAATTTCAGCAATTTACAATAATTCTAGAATTATAGCCCCTTTCTCACTTTGTTCAACCTTGTTAATGCTCAATTGATGAAAGTTATCATCCTAAATGTATGAAATTTATATGCATCATTTAAATTTGTGAAACGGAGGTCTGTTGAATTTCAACAATGTCCGTCAATTATTTCTAGAGATATGGCAATGATCGATATGAAATCTATAATATGTATTATTTAAATTAGTAAAACGAAAAAGCCTGTCAAATTTCAAAATTTTCTGTAAATTACTTCCAGAGTTAAGGCCCTTGTTTTAGTTTGTAGAACCTTATGACCTCTCAAACAACAAACATTATAATCTGATCTGTATGAAAGTGTCTTGTAAATGCCCCAATTACCTAGAAAAGACCACTCGGACGATTTAGCTGCTGTGGGCATATGTTTTGTTGCCTAGCAACCTATCTTTGTATTTTAGGTTCTGTTGTAGAATTAACACCGGGAGGATTTGGAGAGGTTGAAGGTGAAGCTTTCTTACAACCTTCAGGTTTAGCTGCTTTTGTATTAGACAGAGCTAAAGTTCTACAATATAGGTGAGTTACATCATATATTTTTGCATTAGACTTATATCTATAACATATTTCAGTCATGGATCATATGTTTATTATTTGTATTTTAGTATATTTATTGGTGATGTAACTAAAAGAGGTTTACCAGAAGCTACACTAATAGATGAAGACCATCTAATACTTACAATCACTCTGCATAAATCATCGACACAGGATGATGTTTTTGAAGCCAGGGTAAGAAACTTACAATACTTGTTAACACTCTTACAGTCAGTATTTTACTGGGGTTGTAGAGTTAATCCAAAGGAGATACCGTATCCTATTAAAATCATATTCCTGAAGCAATGGCCCGAGAAATCCCCCTCTGACCATTGCTGGATTGGCTTCTGATCAGGGGCAGATGAGGGCCGGGAACCGGCCCAGGCTCCCGTGTCGGAGCGGCCCCTTTTACTGGCCGCGGAACCCGGAGGGGGGGGGGGTCCGGGTGCTCTCCCGCGGGAACATTTTGAAAAATGAACCCCAAATATGCGATTTGGTGGCATATCTGATTATAATCTCTGTCAAATTCAGCCAGCAGACCAGCTTTTGGATATACGAACCATTGGCAGACGTTTCTGGCGTATCCCCACAAACAGGGTGTAGGTGACTTAAGAATTAGTAAATTTGCGGGCGACAGTGTCGGGTGAATCCGATGAAATTTTCGGATGAAATTCGGAATCTTGCAATGGGGATTCCGAATTTCATCCGGACGTATATTATCGTCGCCAAGTCCATCCGTCTGTCTGTCCGTCCACAATTTGTTTGTGGACACTTTTCACGTCACAATTCTTATCCGAATTTGACGAAACTTGAAATATAGGTTTATCTCCAAAAGATCTTGGTTCCTTTCCATATTTGCTCATATCGAATCGTAACTTCCTGAATTTTGGCCCCTGATTGCAAGAAAAATCATGTTTTTAGCTTGTGAACACTCTAAGAGTAAGAGGTCACAATTTTCATTTGTTTTTGCTGAAACTTGAAATGCACGTTTATAACATATCGGATCGTAACTTCCAGAATTATGACCCCTGATTGTACGAAAAATCACGTTTTTAGCTTGTGGACCCTATAGAGGTTATAACTTTATCCGATTTAAAACAGTTTTAGTATATCACCATTACACCCTAAGGATGGTTGAGTTCGAATTTTGTAAAAATAGGACCAAAACTGACAGACAAAATGGCCGCCCCTCGGACTCAAATAGCGTAAAAATATGTTATTTCAAGGTTGTGGACCCTCTAGAAGTGACAATTTTCTTCTGATTTTCCCTTATTAGAGGTCACAATTATTATCCGATTTAAAAAAAACATTCAAAGATATCATCGTTACACTGTAATGACGCTTGATTTCGAATTTCTTGAAAATCAGATCAAAACTGCCGGACAAAGTGACTGCCCCCCATACACAAATAGTGTAAAAATATGGTATATCAAGGTTGTGGACCCTCTAGAGGTCATAATTTTGTTCCAATTTTGATGAAACTTGAAATACATATATTTATAACCCAATGATCTTGGTTCCTTTCAAAATTTGCGCATATCGGATCGTAACTTCCTGAATTATGGCCCTTGATTGTACGAAAAATCACGTTTTTAGCCTGTGGTCCCGCTAGAGGTAACATACATGTAGAATGTAGAATGTTAAAAACTGTCTAACAAAGTGGACGCTCCTTGTACGCAAATAGTGTAAAATTATGTAATACCAATTTGATGGAACTTAAAATATATCTTTATATCCCAAATATCTCAGCCCCTTTCGATAATTGTGCATTTCAAACTATAACTTCCTGGATTATGGCCCCTGATTGAACGGAAAATCTCTCTTTTGTTTTAGTTTGTTTTCTATCCATCTTTTGCAAAATGTGAGCTTATCTTGCCTGGCAACCACTGGTTTAGAAAAGCAGCAGCTTGTAGATTGTGTAGATGCGTTTATACATATAGTCATACATGTATTTGTAACTTTAATTATTTTTGTTTTTTGTGTAGGGTCAGCTGCCTCAGTCTTCACCAGATTTAATCAAGAATTTATTATTAGGTAGATTAAATCTACACGTATCTAATCCTAGTCAGGCTACACAGCCTTTACGTGGATCTCTACCAGTTATAACTCAATCAGAATGTATAGACAGTAAGGTTAGTTAATCATCAGTCTTCACTATGCTTACAAATATGAAATGGTTCTTCAAAGATGTAATAGATATATGAAGAATATCACCTGCGTGTAGGGCTGGCAGAAAATATCGATATTGTCGATAATCGTTGGTAAAGTGTTTTGAAGATCGCTAATCAATACAGTTTTAAAATATCTATTATCGTACAATTATAGGTACTTCGTTTGTAAGAAGAAGTCCATAAAAAATAATCCTTATCACTGTATTCTTTGCAACGCGTGCTTGGGCCTAGAACTGCAATTATACAGAATAGCCATAATTAAACATATAGGCTTTGTTTTTTCACGCGAGACGGAGACGCCACCGCTGAGAAATGTCGGCTGCTTATGAGGAGAGCCAATGGTTTCACGTAACATTCAGTTGTGCCCCTTATTTTAACTCTTTCGTCTTCTCTGTTTCTAAGTCAAACATGTACTTTCCCATTATTATTATCAAGGAATTTGTAAAGAAATGTCCGAAGAGGAGATTTATAATTTCCCCGAGGCAAAGTGTGGGAAAACTTCAGGTTTTACAAGAACGAAGAAAATTAGCTAGACAAATCATGCTTTTATTTTATTGTCAAATCAATGAAGCAAATTCTACATGTATGCATAATAATATTACAACATAAACTCGCATATAATTCGTTATTCATGTACAAATTATGATAGTTTTCAATACCATTGTAAGTCAAAATAAGTTCAACTTATATTAGGACTCATTTTTGGCCATGTGGGGCACTCTAATAATACCATAAAATTTGCAATGCATTTTATTTTAGACATTAGTAGTTGGTGACGAAAAAGAGAAATGGTCATATGATTCATCACCATTTGATACAATACATGCTTTAGTTGGAGATAAATTAGTGTTTATATATACAGCTAATACTACAGTACATAAGTTTAAAACACAGGTATATATTTTTCTTGTTTTAGGGTTGACTCCTATTTTGAGTAACCTGTATCAATGTTCAGTTCAGTGTATTTTTAAGACCAATCCCTGGATCCCACATCTAAAGACCCCTACACACAAACAAATTATTTAAATAAATGTGAACCATATGTTAAATGACCAAGTTTGTGTTGAGCACACATTTAACCCAATTTCTCTCTTCGTCACTTTTTCCCATCTACCTTGTTTTGAGCTCAAAGTCTATGATGTGTTTATTTGATTATTTTAAATAGGAAGATTATGAAACATGTAATCTACAGAATGCTGTAAAGTTAGAAGGTAGTACTAGAGATAATATAACATGGACAGTAACACATATTTTGACCCCAGGATCAAATTATTTTGGATCAGACAACCAGTGTGATTTGAGTCCACCATTTAAAGTCTCAGTCAGTGTCATTCAAACTGGTGAGTTCAATTTTCTTTCAGGATTAATCAACAGGTCATAGTTGGCATTCATGTACAAAATAATATTTCAATGGATTCTTCTTTAGATAATCCAATTTTTTTTGGGCCTTTTAAAGGGATCTGACATCTTGCTGCAGATTTGAGCAAGATACTTGTACAACTAGTGTATCAAGATTACTTGAAGATTTTTTAAAAAATATATTAAAATGAAAAAGCAAATACAATACATTACGACCAGGGCCCTTATTCACGAAAACTTAAACTAAGTTACAACCGAAATTTTAAGAAATACTGCAACTTCATTGGATATATGCAAATTGATTTTACTGGTCAGCCAATTGAATTGCAGTATTGCTTAAAATTTCGATTGTATCTTAGTTTAAGTTTTCGTGAATAAGGGCCCAGGTTCTATGTGCCTTATGTTCAGCTCACGTTTGGCCAATCATCAGCAGATGATTGATTCCAAAGACAGGTTTCTACATACATCTAGGGTGAAAAAAGAAAGCACTACAACATATTTATGTTTTCTCTTTAAATTATATCTAGTTTACTTAAATGCTTAGGCAGAGGAACATTCAATGGTCTACCGATAAACGTCTGATAATCAGCCTATGATCCGTAGAGGATCAGTCGATTATACTCAGTATATTAGCACCAAATTGACCATTTCTGTCTCTCCTAACAACTTAATACGGATGTTAAGCAGTATCATTCTCATTTAAAGTTATTTAATATTAAAATACGATTATATGTTAATTGTAGATAAAATAGTGTCTGAATCAAGAGATGATTGTACTATATCATTATATCAAGTATGGAGACAACAACATCTTAATAGATATGATGGTCCAAATGTTGTTGGTTCAGCTATTGGTGGATTAATCGCAGGATTAATTATATTGTTTTTGTTTCACCTGGTGGAACGAAGACATCAAAACAAACATGAGAGAACTAACAGCGGATTCCAGAGGTTTTAACCCTTAAAATGAAACGGCCTAATTATTAATTTCTAGATGATTGTTATCTCTACCCCCGCCCCCCCAAAAATGGCACCAGGATTGTTTCCTTGCATAGTTAATAACATTTCATAATTTTAAGGACTTGCCACAATAGGTTAATCCTTGTTTTATTACAAAAGTTTATTATGCATCAATCAAAAGGATTGAATCAGTCAAAATCAGTCTAAAATAGGTACCAGCATAATGCTCTCATAAAGCTTGTATTATGCTAGACATGGTCACACTGTCCAACTCAATAATTTTAATAGACATTTACAATAAAAGAATTTACGTTATTATTGACTGAATTGGAAGTGTGTATTATGTTTGATGGAATGGAGAAAGCATAATTTCATTGCACAACTAATTATAAGACATAGTTTCGATAGAGATTACTATATTTTTTGTGATTTTAATACATATCAACAATAAATCCACCAATTTATTTATTCATTTCGATGTTGGGAGTTATTAAACACCCTATAAATTAATTTTTACATTATGTTCAGCACCGGTTATGTATTTATCATTTGTGTTTTATCATAATTTACTTTAAATGACATATCACCATCCCTCTTTGTCATGTGTGGATCAGGGAGAATAGCATTGGCTCACTAACCAAGAGGTTTTTCCATACTCGTTTCCACAGCAGTGCAGGACATCAGAGGTACAATGTATCCCAATTTGAGCATGTTATAGAGAACGAAGTAAGAGTAGACCTTATCGCAACTGTCAGGACATGTCCAGACAAAATTTCACCCATAGCACACTACGGTATATGTGTGCCTTCATAAGCCCAGTTCCTTCTTCTTGTACTTCAAAAAATCTCCAGAGATTGTTATTTACATTCAAAGTTGAGAGCTGCGAGGGCTCAGTGAGGAAGACACTGACTTGCTAGCCTTAAGGTCTTGAGGTTGCTCCTGGTGTTGGCCGAGAAATTATTCAGAATTGACCGGCATGGTGCAGGACGGATGGACTGACAAGGACAGCTGTCTAGTCATTCAGATCTGACAAAGAAATGGGGTACTGTGTACACATTGGTGTGCACGTAAAAGATCCCTTGGCAGTTGAATACAAGAGTAGGCCATAGTGTTGCTACCAAGGCAAAATTTCCCTCATAGCACACTGCATGAACTATGTCCGTCTTCATTAGCCCAGTAAGTGCAGAAAAGTAGGACCTTAATAAACCCCATTTCATTTCACATTTAAAGTTGTTAGAGAAAATTTTACATCTCTAGTTTACAACATTCATCTATAAAATATGTATACAAACAGCAAATATTCGTAACACTGAAAAATTTCTTTCCATATTTATCTTTAAAATTATTCTTATAATCTTGTTATGTTTCCATTTGTTGTATTCATTGTAGCGTGCATTTATTTGTTTGAGATTGTGTAATTTTAAATAAACGTTTGAGAGACCTTATTCTCAAAAACTTATGCTAAAATATTTCCAGATTTCAGCTTTGTACTAGGATTTTTTACTATAAACCTGTTGATATCTATATCCTTAAATTATTTTAGTTGAAGTTTACATGACTTAGGCCCCAAGTTTTATAGTTTACATGACTGCGACTAAGCTTTATGTCAGCTTTTTGTATCATGAACAAGTTTGTTACAGTATTAGAATTAGATTAAGCAGAGTTTGTGGGAGCTTTATTTATTATCCTGGTGATATTTATAACAATCTGGTTAAAACATGTACATTTATTTTTAATGTTCTACTTTATTAACCCCTGACATATTTTGGCCAATCAGATTGTCTGTATTGGTTTTTAAGGCTATATTTTGTGGGAATGTTTAAAACACAAGCCTGTATGAATGATTGGTTTAATTTTAAGGTTAAAGTATGATTGTCCGATACAAATAGACCTATCACTGGACGAATACAGTTGCGATAGAAAGTAGGTTAAATTACAATATAGTGTAAAAATCAGAGAAAAATTATTTTGATTAGAATGTATTTAGATGTAATTTTTCTTATAATGAATATGGAATTATTAATTCTGTGAATGTAGATTTATTAATTCTGTGAATGTAGATTTATTAACTTTGATTAGACCCCACTGACACCAGGATCTTTCTATTTATTATAATTAAAGGGTTGTACATCTAATTAGCCTTTAGTCAATTTGTTTGTATGGGCTTGCTTGTAGTGCAAAAAGCTTAGCAGAATTATTAATAAGCTTGCATCAGAAATGGCCCATAACTAACATTAAAATTAATCAATTTGATTAATTTTTGGACCAAAATATTTTTCTAATAAAAGTTCATTGATTGTATGTGGTCTAAAACTCTTTATTTAACTTTTATTCTGTCATGTTGGGGTTATATACAAATATAACACTATCATAATATATATATTCATGTATATATAGGTATTCCTGTGAAGTATCTCATCATTCCTTGTTATTATTTATGTTGATATTATTGTAGCTTTATATTAATATTCTTAAACTCAGGCCAAATCTCTTTTTTACTTATTTTTGTTTTTTATTCCATGAATAACAATACTCTTACATTTGTTTTATTCACATATTTCTCAAGGGTAAAATACATAAATGCCACATTAATTCATCCTGAAAAATTCTCTTATATATTTAAATACAGTTCTGTTCTAGTCATTGTTACATTTATCTTTTTATATGGCCATATTTTCATGTGGATTTATTATGCCGTCGCCCCTGTCCATCCTTTCACATTTTGTTTGTGTTCCCTCGACAGGTCACAATATTTATCCGATTTTTACAAAACTTGAAATATAATTTTATATCCCAAAGATCTTGGTTCCTTTTGATATTGGCATCAGACTGTAACTTCATGGATTATTGCCCGATTGTATGTAAAATGCGATTTTATACACCCACATTTTCATTTGGACGTATATTGTTGTTGCCCCTGTCCGCCTGGCCGTGCATATTTTGTTTGCGGGCACTCTACAGGTCACGATTTTTATCTGATTTTAAAAAATGTTCAAATGTATCACTGTTCCACTATAATTCGTGTGAGTTCGACATTCATGAAAATTGGATGGAAACTTCCCCTTCCAAATAGTGTAAAAGCATGTAGTACAAGATTGTGGACCCTCTAGAGGTCACAATTCTTATCCAATTTTGATGAACTGAAAATATATGTTTATTTCCCAAAGATCTCAGTGTTTTTTTTTCTCTGTCCATCACTTGCGAACCATGGGTGCATCTTGTATGGCAACCGCTTGTTAACTTTATATATATATAAGCTAATTTTTATATTAAACATTTTAATAGATATCCATAAATATTCTTCGTGTAAGCTTTAAATTTTTATAGAAATCCATGAATATTATTTGTATAAGCTTTAGATTTTTATTGTTAGTGTATAGCATTTTTACATTTAATTTATTATTGCTGCATTTAGACAAAGAATTACACGAACAAAGCAAGAAATAGTCATGGGTCAAACAGATACAAGGCTAGGTTAATGCTGCAAGTGATTCTACACAGTGTACACATTTTCTGAACTAAACTGGCATTGCTTCGACCGGTTGCACCTCAGATGTTTCATTTCTGCATCTGTCTCCTACTGGCATCATTATATTATTTAAATACGATTTTGCAGCTCCATATTGATTTGTAAACTTTAGTGCTATATACACCTTCCAGGGGCAGAAATTGATACAATACAAATTAGGCCTTGTTTAAGTGTGTTGATTTCTTCAATACTTTTTGTTGTAACAAGTGATATTGTGGAGATTATTCCCTTTTGATAAAAGTTTATCACACAATGTTATACATATAGCGTTGATTAGATAACTGGAAAGTTTGTACTATGACCATCTCTGTAAAAATCAATGTGATAATGAAGATTTAAAACATATTTTTATGTGTTTGGCCTTGTCACCGTTATATCTTAGACAATATCAATTGACTTATTTTTTTTTATCTGTACCTTTACGTAGGATTTATTATGTGAATCCTAGTCATGTAGTTCATTTAAAGGAGATGCCATGGTCCATTTTTTTCCACAATCTTAACAATGGTTAAATTTTACATTATTTACCTAGCAATAAGGTCATGTTTTATTGTGTACAAAATTTAAGGTTAAATATCCTGATGCATATTGGCTTTAAATGTGTTACAAAATCTAATACTCACAAGCAGTTTGCATCGAAAAATGTCAACTGTGTTTTATTATTAATGATTATGAGAGCCTAATGTATTATATAATTGTTTTAAAAGCATTTTTATAATATAGTCGCACCTGTCGGTTGTTAACAATTTCTTGTGATCTCTTTACAGACTACATCTGATCTTTTTCAAATTTAAACATGTTGTTCACATTTGTAATATGAAGAATCCGATTGATATTGTATAACAACTTCAAGAGTTATTGCTCATGACCTCTTCGACAAATGTTATTCGATTGAAATTTATATGTAGTGTGCAGACCAGTAAAGCCTATTACTGTCAATTACTTCCAAAGTTATGGCCCTTATCATTTTGTGAACGCTCTACAACGATAGTTATACATGTAATTTGTATGTATTAGTATTTAGATTAGTGATCTGCAAAATCTGATTGAATTGCATCAATGTGCTTATTTTTTCTTAGAGTTATAGCCCTAAGTAAAATTTAACCATTTGTGCTTATTTCTTCTAAGAGTTATTGCCCTTTTTGTCCTGCCTTTCGAAGAAATCAAGGGACTATTAAAATGTGTCTGTCCGTCACACTCTGTGGAACACAATAACTTTCCTTCTAATTGAGCTAGAATGTTCAAACTTGGTGTAGGTGTTTATTAGGTGAATACCTTGATGCAGTTTGACGATGAGCATTTTCTGCTTAGGATAAGCAGAGATAAACAATTTGATTGGTTGATGCTTTGGGACAGGATAACTTTAGTTCTAATTAACTATTGTTAAACATACATTATGCTAGGGCTAAATCTGCAAATTGCAGGTCTTTCTTTAGGCCTGAAATGTTATCTAAATTATTAATTAACTTATCCAGACCATAATCAACTCTCGATGTCATCGCTAGCCTGCGATATTTACTGGATTATAATCCGATCTGCTGCTCAACGCTCATTCATGATTAAATCAAAAGAATGTATAATCGAGACTGTGTTTTTTTTATCATACCAACTTTAGTAATGATGATCGAGGCTAGGCCAAAATTCAATCGCTAAATTCTCGGTTCAGAGTGGATCAATTTGACTGAAATTTTCAGCAAATTCCCTTTACAATATAGTGTATAGTTTGATTACCACGTACTTCAAAACCTGACTGAGTTTGATCGTGAACATTTTGTGCTTAGACTAAGCATAGATAATTTTAATTACTTGATACTTTTGAAAAAGATAAATGTACGATCAATTAATTTGTGTCATCTGTTTATTTTGTGTTTTCGGTGGGGGACATCAGCCTCACTGTTGGCTTGATTATTTTTAGTATTTTAGTTTCTTGTTTTGTTTGACAGTTGATATTATACAATTTGTTGTCCTGAATGAATACTATTCTATAGCTAATAGACCTTTTGTGTGAAACAAGATGTGTATTTAGGTTTGGTTGCTGTGTCAAAAGATTAATGTTTCTCAAAAATGCATCAGATTGTATGCTTTATAATATATATTATGTGATGTAATATTTTTAAATACCCATACCGATATCAGTACATACATGATGTACCTAAGATATTGACCATTCTAAATAAAAATAGGATAAAATATCTGATACCGCTTTTGTTTTGAGAAGTTTACATTGAGATAAAATTGTGTTTTTCGTTTGTTTAAAATTGAAGTAAAAGAACAAGTGAAGACACATTATTGGTAGCAGGAATAAAAGTTAAGTGTTCTTGTTATTGACTATTGGCTATGTGTGTTTATTTGTTGAGCTGATATTTTTATGTTGACTGATTTCTTCTATTTTAGATTAATAAAACCTTTTACAATGTAATATTTACATTTTGTTATAGTTCACAATTTTCATTTAAGTTCCATTTTGATTCCAGTGTTAGCGAAGAAACTTGCCCAGGATTTTCAAGGGTGGTTTCCCCTTGTCGGTGGTGCAGTATTAAGACTGGTAATGACAGTGTCTAGCAAAACCAAGGTTCTGTGTACACGTTGGCTTGTACTGAAAGAACTCTTTACACACTGTATGGCAATGCCTGTTTTTATACACCCACATTGAAATATGGTTGTATATTACCATCGCCCTATCTGTCCGTCTGGCATCCACAATTCATGGATTATGGCCCCTGATTGTACAAAAAATCGAGGGTTTTTTTGGCCTGTGGACCCTGTGGGGTTCACCTTACAGACCACATTTGTCATCTGATTGTTTTGAAATTGATATACCACATTTATCATGATTGTTTTGAAATTGGTACATGTTCTGTACATAAGTGAGATGAAGAAGCGTATCTCAATAATTTCCGTTTATTTCTTCTCGAGTTCTGGCCCTTGCTTCCAATCTGTATGATGTTTATATGTATTATTTAAATTAGTAAGACCGAAAAGCCTGTCAAATTCAAAAAAATTCTGTACATTACTTCCAGAGTTAAGACCCTTGTTATAATCTGATCTGTATGAAATGATCTTGTAAATGCCCTCCCATTACCTAGATATGCGACAACCTTTGTCGACCGCTTATTGCCTACCAACCTACATTGGCGCGGAAAAGTAGGACATTAACAGGTATAGATTCTGCAGTTTTTGCCATGCCAAATTTGTGATGCTAGAATACAAGTATTATATAATGGAGATAAACTATATATATCGGAAGTAGGCTACTATATTATACACATGACATGGGCTTTACTATAATACTGTTGGAAAATATGCAAACCACCTTATACTGAGGCCCAATTGTGATCTTTTTTCTAAACAATATTTATTCACAGAAACTGGATTGGAGATCTTCAAATGATATCTTGAGAATTTGTTCTCCATATTTATTCTCTTTCCCCCCACCATAAGTTGTATGTTCAATCTCGTTGGGGGTGTAAGATTGACCTATAGTAATTCATTAACTAACTTCTTCTTGGTAGAATTCTATTTTCTTGTAATAAAACTTAAACAATAATAAGATTTATCACCCAATAATACATTTTACAGTAGATATCGCTTGTATGATAAATTTCATAATCTACTGCGATATATCCTTAGGAGATGACCAACAGGCTAAATAACTTAATAAGGAACGGTATCTACTACCTGGTCATATTATTGCATGCAATAATCTGTATTAAAATAATCAAGGCAGAAAATATTAACATTTTTATTCAAAATATCACATAGTTTCTTAAACTAAACTCAGCAACCAGCGCCAAGAGACAAACATTGCTTAATTTCTTTTCCTATATTTTAAGTTTAAATGTAATTTGTTGTCATTAAAATAAGCTGTTTTAATCATAATAAATACACCTATAATTTATGAATTATTATAGGAAAACCTAACTCTGTTATAATGCAATTCTCTCATTTAATATCTACTGTTTATCTCTTGATAACATCATTTACACACACATTGCTCTATTTGATAATAATAATATATTACATTTTTACTCCATACGGAAACTAAATATGATTTGTTGAATGACTTGATAAGAACTGTTCAAAGTTTATGGTGATAACCAACTAGGATATGATTTATTTACTTTCCTACCATCCTTATCAGGTTTATAAATGTTCATGGGCAGAAAGATTTATTACATAGTTGTATAATTGAAATTTTTACAATTTGGCTTTTAGTAGGCCTAACATTAAAGTTTTTCAACCATCTCTTTTTCTTTTGGCAACAATAAATGCATGAAAAAGATTTTATATGCCTGATTTGTATCACAATAAATGATATTCTACAATTCAAAAATATTAACTCGATCTATGCTAATAAAAAACATTATTTTGAGTAATTATATTGAACCGAATGTTTAATTGTTGATTCCACTACCCTACCCACCCTTTTTAAAAAGGCTGATCTGCCCCTGAATAATAACAATGCTGATTGTAAGTTCTGCACATTAGTGCACAAAGATTTTTTTTATTTTTTAATTCATCTTTTTTTCTAAAACACTACTGTCCCAAAAAACATAGCATATAATCTTATTAAATAATTTCTTCACAGGTGGACAATAATAAACCACAATCACAAATCCACGTAAAAATAAATATCTACAATAATCTATGAACGAGAGTTTAGGTAACTTTACATTCATGCCATAATATCCTATTGCAAGGACAGACTCAACAGAATTCAGTTTATTTCTATGTTCGATATTTCCTCCATCAATAAAAGCTTTGGCCATGGGATAAAATTGGGGAGGGGGGTTTTCCAGTGAGGGAATCAAAATCTTTTCTTCAATTTCCTTACAAATATTTCTTGTTACGTGAAAACCTTCCTTACAAATATTATTCTTGTCTGTTATTCCTAACATATATCCCACACCATACCAAAAATAAACAAAATCATCTAACTCTGCTTCAGTACAGTCTATACCAACAAATCGTGGGTACATGACAACAATTCCTAAAAATCCACATTGTACCAAAGACATGTCATATTGTGACAGTCGAACATTTTTCATTGCCATAGGACAGGATGAGTTTTTTTCTGATACAATACTCTCATGATTTGAAAAATCAAGATCACCACTTTCACTGTTTTTAATTTTAGCTTCATGGGCTGTCATATCTTTTCGTACTTTATTATGCATGTTTCGAACTGTGAGGATGGATGTGTGTGCTTTGTTACTTTCTTCCCAGATATTGCCATAATACCATTTGGTTACATGCATAAAGGTTGACATGTATCTCCTATAAGCTTTCTTTGGTGTGTCAGAATTGTTGGTAAATAGCAGAGGTTCCAGGAGATTCACCACACTCATGCCACACACAAGAGAAATAAACATTGCCAATACATGGCATATCACATGTTCTTGAATAAACTTTCTACCTCTATCGAATTTGGTCACATCAAAATTTTTAGGAAGACATGGTGGCAGACCACTTTCTCCAATCTCTGTTTTCCCCTCTGCCAATTTCTCAAGATACATTTTTGAAAAAGTCAAGTCAATGACTTAAATTTATCACTTCAGCTGCTGAAACAAAAGATAATGAAATAATGTTAGGTAGATGGTTAGCTTATTATTTAGGCTGATTGATAGGAATAGCCTACAGTATCAAAAAAGCTATGCTGGGAGGAACATTCTGAATTTCTGGACAGCATTTTCAATTTCATAGAATTTTATACATTGAGTATGGGATGAAAATCTGTCATTTTTTCTTATTTTTACCTAAATCAAAGAGATTAGCACCTTTAAGTTTTTTTTAACACTTTCAAGTGCTTCAAACAATTAACTTGAAATTGTCTTTTATCTGAACTTGTACCATTGTACTTATGCTACTACTGATCAGACTTTAAGTTTAACTTAAAGTTAATAATACAAGTTACATACCAGTATTAAAAAATATAGGCATCAACCATTAGGGCCTATAGTTACATAGTATAAGGTTCAAAAACTTGAAAAAATGTTATCTTGGAGGTATGCCTGTGATTTCAGCTAGAATTTGCAGCTTGTTTTCGAATTGCCACTAGTGTCAGTGGTGCAGGACAGAGGGCCTGGCAAGGAACATTGTCTAGTCAGTCTGATGAAAACCCAAGGTCCTGTGTGTTGTACAGGCTGCATTGGCAGATGAAATTTCCCCCATAGCATACTGCAGCATGTCATAAATATGTCTATCTTCATTAGCTCAATTGGTGCTCAACAAGTAGGAAGTTTAACCCCTTCCCAATTCATTACATTAAAAATCATTAGTTTAAACTGCCTAGCAGTCTGTCAAATAACAACAAGGGACCAAAAACAATGTGAATGTCTTACTCTCGATAACAAACCTCATCCCTCAACCCTCACATCAGTACATCTCAACGTTTTTAGGTAGCTAGTCTTACTCTAATGTCTTACACTACCCGTCTACCGGTACAGAAAAACACGTACACGAATATGAGTCCAACTCCAAGACAGATCCATTGCACTATTAATATTATCACCACGGTCAGCCCAACAAAATTATTGGTTAAAATTATATATAGTATGGACCTTCTAGATAACGTAACTAATTTTTATAGACGTGAAATTGATTGTGTGTGTTAGTTGTATTTTACGTCCGCTTCCACTGAGGTGATATCGCAGGTGATTAATGTGGATAACGCTATAGATCGGAGACGGTACAGCAAGTATGATTATGACGTCATATGTGTAGTGTGGGTTAGTGTAAGGGTTAGGGCTGCAGATTTCGTCAATGTCTCGAGGCGTAAACAGGGCTAACGCTAAGTCTAACCCTAATTCGGGTGTTCACCCTAGACTTAGCCCTAACCCTTACCCTAAGTCTAACCCATAATCCACATAATATGACGTAATTTTTGCTAGGCCGTCTTCGACCGAGCGTTCTCCGATACTGTTGTAATGGAAGGGAGATAACTCTATTTACCGTTAAAATCAACCCACAATATTGAAATGAAATGGAGTTTAACATTATTATTATTATTACAGCATATTTATAGTGCGGTCTTTCATATCAGGGGCCGCGGAACAGGGGATGGGCTGCGGAGGCTTCAGCCCTCCACTTTTTTTGCAAAAAAAAAAAAAAAAAAAAAAAAAAAATCTTATTTCGTCCCAATCTACATTTCATTTATAATAATTATAACTGGCATTGTTCTCGTCATGGATAACATGAGTGGTGAGTCATGGTCAGCTTTTCTTTCGTGATAGCAGGAGGGTTTTGGGTTACTTAAAGATGCAAAAAATCACATCAAAGTTTCAAAATTTTCTTGGGGACCTTAAGCGGGCCCCAAACCCCACGCCGGAAGCTCCCGGCGCCTCCAGTGCCTCCAGCAATACGCTCCACGACGCTTCGTTTTCGGCACTTCGTCCCAATCAATTATTATTGTCAGACCCCCGGCCCACTTCGGAAATCGCTCTGCGGCCTCTGCATATAACATGTTCAGGGGCACTTTACAAAGTGAAAATTATAATCATGAAATTTTAATAAACAACAAGATTATGGACATGTTAACGATTGTATACCCAGTCAGCTAAAAACCTGATTAAATAAAATACCGATATATATAGGTCTAGAGATGTACAACATCTTTAACTAAATGGTAGATTATTACATAAGAGACTAGTTGAACAGTTTTGGGCTTTAAAAGTAATGTAGGCCACGTAATGTTCGGGGGGGGGGGGGGGATTGGATGGCCCAGTAGTTAGCATGTACGTGCTACGCTGAATCATACGGTCTGTCATTGAGTTAACTGGCGGGGTTTCGATTTCCCGGTTGTACGTGACAAGGAGTAGGGTCGCCTGTCCAACCTCGTGGGTTATCTCCGGGTCCTCCGGTTTCCTCCCACTGCTAAAATTGAACAATGTGTTAGTCCTGAAATGACCTAGTTTGTGTCGAGTGGACGTTAAACTCTCTCTCTCTCTCTCTCTCTCTCTCTCACACACACACACACACACACACACACACACGTAATGTTCGGGCGGGTGTATAAAGTTCTAAAAGATCTGAGAGGTGTACAGGAGCTAAATTATTTAAACATTTAAAAGTAAATAATAAAATCTTAAAATCAATTCGATATTTAACAGGCCTAACCAGTGTAAATTATATGAAACAGGTGTTATGTGGTCGCATTTTTTTAGTTAAAGTAACAAGTCTAGCTGCAGTATTCTGTACTTTTTGTAATTTATCTATAAGCTAGTGAATTAAAGTTATCTAATCGAGAAGTGACCAGAGAATTAACAAGTGACTTGGTGGCCTCTACAGTTACAAATTTACGTAGGCCTATTTTACCTATATTTCTGATATTAAAATAGCACAATTTACAAATATTATTTACTTCATCCCATAAGCATACAACTATCAATATTACGAGCAGAATAAGATGGAAATATATCACAATTACCAATTACAACAGGGGGTTACCATGTGCAAATTTACTTAATTGATGCCTTGAGCCTAATAACAAATATTCGGTTTTATCATCATTCAATTTTAGAAAGTTCTTTGACATCCATTTTCTTGACCACCCGGGCTACGTTCAGAAAAAAAATAATATGAACCTCAGGTCAAAATTGGCTTCTGTGACTTCCTTGTACCCAATTCAACCCCGTGTTATATCTAATGTGATTCACTCTAGCAGGATTTTAAAAGAAAACTACAGGGTGACAGGGGGGTCCGGGTGCTCTCCCCCGGGAAAATTTTGACCTCCCCCCCCCAAATATGCGATTTGGTGGCATATCTGATTATAGTCTCTGTCAAATTCAGCCAGCAGACCAGCTATCACCAAATTTTGCTGAGGCCTTAAAATTTAATTTTTTTTTGGGATATACGAACCATTGGCAGACGTTTCTGGCGTATCCCCACAAACAGGGTGCAGGTGACTTAATAATTAGTGAATTTGCGGGCGACAGTGTCGGGGGAATCTGATGAAATTTTCGGATGAAATTCGGAATCCCCATTGCAAGATTCCGAATTCCGGCCCACACCCAGCACACCCGGCCCAGAAAGTCTATTATACCAGCCCATTCCAGACTCCAGTGATGACGAGGCGGCCCGTTAAAGCCACAGGCTATATACAACATGATCATCATCGCCCCCCATATAATGTTCAGCAGAAAAAAAGTTTTTTTTAGACGAATTGGACAAAAATATTTTTTTCATTTTTTGTCCGACCGGCCCGATGGCCCAATCCGCCCCTGCATACACCCTGTCCTTAAGGTATCCCCACAGATAAAAATCTGGGGCGTTCAAGTCCGGTGAATGCGGCGACCACTCCGGGTCACACCTGCGGCTGATCAGTCGGTCAGGGAAACGCTGCTGTAGCCATGCTAATGATTCGTTTGAGGTGTGGGGGGTGGCACCATCCTGCTGGAACCACTGGAGGTCCCTGACGACCCCTCTTCGTTATTCAAGTTTAGGTGATGAACGCTTTTTTTGTGTCACCCGGTACTATAAAACTTATTTACCAATGCAATAGCTGCTATTCATGCTTATTGCTTACGATATTTTCCACACATCGGTGTGAATTGTGAACATTTGCAGCGTGGGTTCCTCACCTTGCGTGCATAGTTTTGTACTTTTGCATGGTAGGCTACTTGCTAATCTCAAAGGACGTTTCCATGCAATAAAACTATATTCTATTATATTCCAATATGTATTCTGCTATTGCAATGAAGTTGTATTCTATTTTATAGCATGTATTTTGTTAACCATATCAGACTAATAGGCTAGGCCTACCTGTAAATCAATAGAAACTCACAAAGAAAAACCAATGGCAATAGCATGGACCTAAATATACAACCTATGATAAGGTTCATGTCAATAGGAACCTTATCGCTATCCGACTTAAAGTCCACATGTAAATCAAAGATTCAATAACGTCATTAATTTATAAATCATATTTTTGTTTATTTACCTACGCACTGTTTGCTGGTATTCGTTTTTCATCCCGTTGATTATAATGATCCGATCCCCTAGGTTGCTATTGGGTAATTCAAGTTGATCCCTTCACACCCAGGGCCGGCGGAAGCAATTCTTGATTGGGGGGGCTTCCATCCTAGGTCCTTATAGGCGTGGGTCCTGGGGCCGCAATAACCTGGAGAAAAGAGTACTAGCGGCCAAATTATTGGGGGGGGGGGGGGGGCTACCACTCCGCCGGGCCTGACACCAAAAAATATTAATTTAATATTTAAAATAGATTGTAGCATAATACGCATATTAAATGAAATGAAACGTCCTACTTTTCTGAACCAAACTCGCTAATGAAGGCGGGGCATGGCGGAATTTGCCCGGAGAGTGGCGTTTCAGCCTACCTACATTTAAGAATTTTGCAGGCTACCAACAAGTACGTCCTAGATTTTTGTCGCATTCGAATGACTATATGCGTTTTCCTTGCCTGACCCCCGTTCTGCATCCCTTAAAAGGGTAAACCAGACTGGTAAATCCGAGACCTAGGGATCACTGAGCGACCATGTCTTCAGTCTTCCATAGATTGTAGCATTATAGTATTACATTAGGAGATCAATGGAGAAAACATTTTATCTGACCGCGGGGAATTCAAATAATTATCTTATCATCAAGTGAAAACTTACTTTTAAAATGTAGAATCTTTTCCCTTCTAAATAGTTTCCGTAATTACTCTAACGGTAACCCATGAAGTTTATATTTTCGATGATCAATTTGGAAGTGTTTTATCGGATATTTCGCGTGATCTTGTTTATTTCTGTGTTATCACAACTTAAAAACAAATAAATAGGACCGCGTTTGATTGTAAATGAAAGGAGAACTACAGTCGTTTTAGATTTTGTATTGATTCATTATCTGGTATTAAAATAGTGGGAACCGCGAAGTACCAGATCATTTAAAAATGTACGGCCCAGATTTGATAGCCTCTTTAAACAGGCCCGTATGTAGCTAGCAATATTTTGAATTTGATTTTCATATTCAAATTGGAACTGCAAATTGTCTAATTTTGCTATTAACTATGACTTGGGTTTTTGGCACATTTTTATCAATTTCCCCGAATTGGGCCTTGGAGCTCACCAACTTAAAACAATTTCCAGGCAGTCTGGCAACCAGGTGTGGCTATTTTCAGGTATTAATCAATTACTAATTGTGAAGTAAAGAATAGTTGGCCTTAAATATGAATCAATACAAGCCTAGTAAAAGTTATTCATATCCTGCAATGCATTCATATCCATTAACTTAGAGCCTCCTAAATTGGGCCCTGATTTTCTACAAATGACATTTGCGGGGTTGAAAGGAGGTTGCCTCCTGAGATTGTTTATTTTACAGTGACTGAATGTCGGTGTCTCTGTTGAGAAATATTCCATATTATTTACTGGTGTATACAGTATACACATGCATGTAAGATCCATACAATCAATATACAGTAGGTCATTTGGGGGCTAACAAATGGTTAATATATTTATTCATTCAAGACAACACTAATATAGAGGTATATAGCAGCATTTTATTGTACATATTTGTAACAACAAATAATGCAATTTCTGTAGATTATACAACAATCAGTCTCACCCCATATAACCAGATATTATACATTTATATAGAGAACACAGTATAGAAAAAAAAAACTGCTGGTGTTATTTTAATACACTACAGTTTTATCAACAACACTGAGTCATCACAATTGTGCTCATATTGTGTGAAATTTCTATAGTTTGTCTTCATTCAAATTTAACAGAAAGTGATATTTTATGTACAATACAATGAGAAACAGATTTAAAATGATCGATGGACAAAGTGAATACAATAACATTGACAAAGATATATCATAACATCCTTCTTCATTGGACAAATTAAAAAAAAAAAAAACTTGTAAAAAAAAAACCAGAACAAACAATTAGGACATGAAACAGAAACGTCATTTGTCTATCACACATACACACATAAGACTTGACAATTAAAATGTTCAACAACTATTCACAAACCCACATTCATAACAAAATCACAAACATTTTTGCAAAACAGTATCCTATCACATCAGAAGAAAAAATATTGTAAGCACATTCGTGAAATTTTTCAATTGATCATGCTTTGTCTTCAAAATTCATTACCAAGGCTCCACAGCGCACGATTTGAATGGTGGATTCAAAAACATGCGACACACACAAGCCTAATCACAAATCAAACACTGTAACATATTCCTAGTAAAACAAAACAAAATGTACAAATATAGACATATGAAGTTTAAAAGACAATAGACTGAAACCATGTAAATAACAAACATAACGTTTTCAACAAATTAATAACAACTTTCACCTCAGACCATATAATCTATTATCATACAAACAACAATTACATACAGTTAAAGTGGTATTCTTTACAAAAAAATCCAACCCATACATAGATATATATACTCTTGTACTTCAGAAATGCAACTACCCATAATAATAGTTTCTGACAACAAGCAATTTATATCCAATATATTATAAAGTTATATTTTTACAGTCAAGAAGATAATTATCATTTATTTCCAAGTTGTGTTTCTTAAGTATCAAGAAGTATAATACCAAGTTGTAAAACTGATGGCTTGGCCCTTATATATCAATAGACAACATTCATAGTCAGTGGCATGTAGAGGTTTGGTAATGCCCAGGGCCAACTCCTCGATTGTAACCTCCCCGCCCAAAGACTCAAGTATAGGGCTAGTACTAAGAAATGTTAGAAAGGAAGACCTATGTCAAACCAAACAAAATAAGCTTTCTACTGAAATCAAGTAGGACAGCTTGTACAACAAAGTAAACAGCGATAAAGAGTTGACAGTTAACAATTAAAAAATAGATAATGAAAACAGAATATGTGAAAATTTCAGTCAAATTGCTTCACTCTGAACTGAGATATTAGCGATTCAATTTTAGACTAGCCTCGATCTTCATTACTAACGTTGGTACGATAATAAACAGTCTTGATTATCCATTTTTACGTTAAATTATCCATCACAAAGATGTATTCAAATCCACTAAATATTGCAGGCTAACAATCGCATCGGGAGTTGATTATGGTCTGGATAAGTTAATTATGGTCTAATTAATAATTTAGCTAACATTTCAGGCCTAAAGAAAGACCTGAACTGGGCATATTTAGCTCTTGCATAATGCATGTTTTATTTGACTCTTTGAATGGATGCCCCTGTGAAAAAAGATGCCAGGGGCTGTCGCCTGCCCCCTCTCTGTATGTCAAGTTGATTATACTCTGGATAAGTTAATTAATGTCTAATTAATAATTTAGATAACATTTCAGGCCTAAAGAAAGATCTACACTGGGCATATTTAGCTCTTGCATAATGCAGGTTTTATTTGACTCTTAAACAGACAGGCTTTTTACACATTATGTAACACCCTGAACATTTAATTAAATGGTACAAAATTTAATAACTGGTATAGGTACCGAATCATCTTTTGTTCAACTAGCCACCATATTAAAATTCTCATATACTTCCAACAACCATGCTTTTATAAAAGACTTAATAACACATACAATACTATCAACATAGGATTTTCTTTAGAACAGTTACATTCATTTTTTTTTTTTGTGTGTCTTTGTATATTTTTTTGAGAAAAAGAATATATATTTATTTTTACACAACATGCCATTGAGGTCAGACAAGATCCAAAAAGATATGAAATTTGGTGGTGAACAAGAATGTCAGTGTTTACAAATTAATTATTAATATTTATACAAGTACATGTATTGTTTATTCTAATATATATATTTGACAATTGAAAATTGAGATGAATTTAAAAAAAAAAATGGAAATGTTCGTTATAAAATCATTCAACCAGTAAATGTATACAAATGAGCTTCTTTTTTTTTTTTTTTGGAGACATTCATCATATGTCAGAACAAAAATATTTGTCAAATGTAACCTTTATAAAATTTCTTACAAATTTAACAGCAATCTACAAATGCTAAAATGAACATATAAAAACTGCTTTTGGCTACCATTTGACCTGCAAATATGTTGAAATCTCCTAAATTTTAACATGAATATTGATAAAATATTAGGATTGGGACTATTTTGGGGTAAATTTTATGTATTCAAATCCTAACGAATTTAACATCATCAATAAATAACGCTGTGACAACTAAGATAATCGTTCTGTATACTTAATAGATTGGCAGGTCACAACAACATAGCATCATTTACGTGCAACTATGGTAAACATATCATTATTATAGTATTAATTGATTTAACATTCAGTTGAAACATAGAAAAATGAAGAAAATCAGACAAACATATAAATGATTGGCAAGATAAACAAAGATAGGTTGCCAGGCAATGAAACATACGCCCACAGCAGTTAAATCGTCCGGCAGTCAACAAGAGTTATCTCACATTTTTACTTTTTTCGGTAATGATACATTTATAATGCACTAAAATCTGATTAAGAGTAACAACCAACACATTAAGTAATTATCAGAAAACCATTAGAATTTGTTTGGCTTTTTATAAAGGTCTGCCCCATGCTAAAGTTAAGTAAACGAAACATTTAATATCATGGATTTTGCTGTTCAAGTTATCAAAATTCATTGAAAATCAATATACTTGTTCGTTTCAAGACCTTAAACTCTGTGTATCAATCTTAAGTCAATCGGATACTAACTTTAGCCTCTAGAGCGTCCACAAGATTTTTTGAAGTGATCAAGGGCCATAACTTTGGCAGTAATTATCGGAAATTGGTGAAAATCAATAGGCTTCTTCGTCTCATGACCTTGAACACTGTGTATAAATTTAAAGTCAATCAGATATTAACTTTAGCCTCTAGAACGTCCACAAAAGTTTTTGAAGTGATCAAGGGCCATAACTCTGGCAGTAATTATCGGAAATCGCTGAAATTCAATAGGCTTCTTCGTCTCATGATCTTAAACACTGTGTATAAATTGAACGTCAATCAGATATTAATTTTAGCCTCTAGAACGTCCACAAAAGTTTTTGAAGTGATCAAGGGCCATAACTTTGGCAGTAATTATCGGAAATCGCTGAAAATCAATAGGCTTCTTCGTCTCATGACCTTAAACACTGTGTATAAATTTAAAGTCAATCAGATATTAACTTTAGCCTATAGAACGTCCACAAAAGTTTTTGAAGTGATCAAGGGCCATAACTCTGGCAGTAATTATCGGAAATCACTGAAAATCAATAGGCTTTTTCGTCTCATGATCTTAAACACTGTGTATAAATTTAAAGTCAATCGGATATTAACTTTAGCCTCTAGAGCGTCCACAAGCAATTGTGGACGCCGGACTGCCGGACGACAATAAACAACCACATTTCAATGTGGGCGTAAAAAAACGCACAAACTAAATTGGAAGAAATTGCATATGGACAAGTTATTCACAATGAAAATGAAGGAAAATTCAGTAATATTTTGTTGATAAGACAAAATGAATGAATGAACTAATGGTGCAATTTTGGCAATGACTTTTTACTAATTCGGATTTGACAAGACGAAAATGTACTAAACGAATGAAAAAAGTCTGCTTACAAAATGAAAATCTCTTGAGGGCAGCTTTGGATAGATGACCATGTACACCTGACTATTTTGTCAAAATGTATTGATCAACTATATTTTGTTGATAACTTGTTTTTGAGTTTTCATTATGTGATGACTACCTGTTTTAATTGAAAGGTCCTAAGATTATATTGAGAATAAAATACATAAATTTATATATTCCATTACATACTAGCTACCTTGGTGAAAGAAGCATCATTTTTTTTTTTTTATTTATTTTTTTTTTTAGGAAATTCCATACCATATTCAATTGACAAAGCAGTACTAAATCACTAGCAAATTTTATGATAATCATTCGAATAAGTTACAAATATCATTGGTTTTACCGGGATTGCTAAGGGAAGGGACATAGCAATTGAGCAAACAGTCAAATCTGATGACAAACTTACAATGTGGCAATATGCATGCACTGGTTCATTCAATAGTTAATGATTTTTGGTTGTACCATAATAATGTTCTTACATGACACATCTCTATTGATCTCAAATGGAGTGTTTTTTCTATATAATATAAATTGTAATTAAGGTCAAGTGTCATACAATTTCTAGCACTGGCTTATTATAATAGTAAATAAACTTTATGTAAAATATATATATTATTAACATAAACAAAATACACAGTTTGACTTTAATTATCTAAGAGAAATCGATAATAATATACAATTGCATAGCAACTGAAAATTTATTATCTAGACCTATAAAAAGCAAAAGATATGAATGAGAAGAAAAGGAAATAAAATATATTTACAACGAAATCTACAAGATAAATAAAATAATAAATAGAGAGATACATTTACTCAAACAAAGGATTATATAACTAATTTACTTAATCTGAAACTAACCAAGGCACAAAATAGATTTCACTTGAATAAAGGTTATAAACTTCAGTGGGATGATGAACAATATGTCCAAATAAACATTAAATAATAATTTGAACAAAATTGATTACTTTCACAACTTGTGAATTTTACAAGACAAGCCATGCGATCATGCACCAAATTACACACAATTGTGCTAAGAGAACAAAAAAGTTTATTCTGTAAAGAAATGTTGAAAAAATTCATTACATTTGCCATTCCCCCAAAAATACCCATAGGATTGCTGACATATAACCTTTACAAGGTTTAAAAAAATACCACACATAATAAAAGAAAATTGTATTGAAGCAAGTGTTTTGGTCGTAATATCTATATAATCAATTCCATTTTTAAACAGCATACTACTAATATTGGTCTACTGTATTCAATGTTATCTAGAATAAAATGGTCAATTACATTGACTGGATGTATGTATGTCAAGCATACCCTAATGGCTTCTCCTGTCCTATCCTTAAGCCTTTTATATTATGGTATATTCTTTGGCTTATCATTTATACTGATAAAATCATAATAAAAAAAATGCAAAAGATATTCATCATCATTTTTCGATTCATTTCATTTGTCACCTCTAAAATATCATGGTTTTACACCTTAAGATTGTCTTCAGACTCCATATTCCGAACAACTTTAAGTATTGAGTATCTGAATTTCACAATAAAACCATAAATCAACCTCTGGCGTTACTTAGCGCTATGGAACAGCAGCGTCAAGGATCAGGATGCCTGATTCTTACAGAGGAAAATCACAACACTGATTGACAGCTGTCAAAAAAAATTGATTCCATGCCAACGGATGAACACAACACCAAGAATGTAGGATGACAAGTCATCAGTCAATTCACTCGTAATGTGTGCGATTCCATAGGTGCGGCGGAATCGTAAAGTGTGTCTGTATCTTGAGTTGGTTCCCCTTGTAACTGACAGTTATTGTTCAATGTTCCTGCCCCACAATCACAAAAGAATCGATCGTGTCGAATAAATTCTACTTCATGGCCAGCATGACAGTTCTTAATGCAGTTGTAACAAATAGCGTTTCTTTCGGTTGTATTACAAGTTCTACATCTGTAATAAAGAAATAAATAAAAGTAATGTAATAATATCAAATGTTCTACAATTTATATCTATACCTATACTGAAAATGTTGACTCAATGACAGGCCTTATGATACAACACGCACATGCTAACCATTCGGCCATCCAACCCCCCCAATAATTCAAGTAATACAGTTATTTATAAAATATCCATGTCTGTCCTTTAAATTTTAGGTTATTAAAATATATGATTATATTTATTATATTAATCTTAAATTCTTAATATTCAATATTATGCTTTATTTCGCATATAAAAAGTCTCAGTAACTACTTACATTAACACTATAGTATAAATAGAAATTTTCTTCAAACTTTAGTGCTTATGTTACAAATCTGCCAGAATGTCTGTCCACATGTAACATTAGCAATGCAATTAATTTCTAAATTAATAATTAATTTGAAAATCATATCCCATGAAACTACAGATTTAGAAAATGTATTATTACATTAAAATTTTGAAGAAAATTATTTTTAAGCAACGGTTAATATCTGAAAGGAAAATAAATGTGTCATGCGTCTGTCCATTTCAAAAGAGACATTTTATATTTCTTAAAATAGTAATTTTAACTGTCTTATGATCAAAAAATAATAGCATCTTCTTTCATTTAACATAATTCAATGTATATTCTACCTATAGAGATTGCTATTTATATGAATTTTAATGTGCACTGTTTGCATTTGATATAATTTCATCTAGAGTGATACAATTCAAAAAATTTCAGTATGTTAGGTATAATGTTCAATAAAAAAAAATATTTTGCAAATAATTATCTTTTTTAAAATATATTTTGGAAGAATATGTATCAATCTTTCCTGAGACAGGGATTTTGTAAGAGGAATAGGAATGTCATAATTCAGTTGGGATTGGGAACCTATGGTACACTTTAAAAAAAAAAACATGCTATATGGTTACCTATACTATAATCTATACTATAATGTCTAGCTGTTTATCTATAGGCTTGATAAGCATTATCACAGTATTTAGTTAAGTTTGCACACTAACTGAGTAACTCTTATAAAACTCTGTGAGATAAACAAAAATATGGGGAAGTCAACAAGCCAAAGGTGAGGTTGATGTCCCCCGCCGAAATCCAAAAATAAATAGATGACACATATCAATGAATCGCATATTTATTTTTTTCATAAGTATCCAACAATCAAACTGATTATCAACTATACACTAAGTTTCATCACTCTCTATCAGATAGAATCAAAGTTATCTTGTCCCAAAGAATTGACCAATGAAATCGCTTATCTCTGCTTAGCTTTAGCTTGAAATGTTAATCACTGAACTCAGTCAAGACATTAACCTAACTTGAACATCTACATCAAGTTTAAACATTGACCTAATAAACACCTACACCAAGTTTGAACATTCTTGTTGAATTAGAAAGAGAGCTATTGTGTTCCAAAGTCTTGGCCAATCAAATTGCTTAACGCTCTGCTTACCCTGAGTAGAAAATGCTCATTATCGAACTTAGTCAAGGTATTGATGTAATGAAACTATACACCAAGTTTTATCACTCTCACTTGATTAGAACTAAAGTTATTGTGTCTCAAAGCATCAACCAATCAAATTGCTTATCTCTGCTTAAGCAGACAATGCTCATCTTCAAACTCCATCAAGGTATTGACCTAATCAACACATGCCACCCAAAATTTAGTGACATATCTGGGTAAGCTGCTATAAAAACTATGATCAAGCCATTGATAACCAACTAACATTAAACCTTGTGTATCACTCAGTACTCTAGAGTTAAACATTTTTGAATATGTATGTTGTTCAGTTCAATTATATTTTCTATTCCTAGACAAAAGCTTTAATAAAATGGTGGTTACCTGTAAAAATCATGCATGGGAAAACTGGTGTAACTTGATATTTTATATAAACATTGTCCTGATGATACTGCTTTCTCTACCATATTATGATTACCACTAATAATATTATCTGAAAATTATAATATTAGTCAATAACAACCTTTTTTTTATTATCAAAATTAATGTTTTTAATATCTTTAAGAGGGTCACATGGTTATTGTAAAATGTCTTTGCTGTAAACTAGGACCTTTTCCAGAAAATGAATGTAAAGTTACTTGGGCAGAAACTCTTGTGTATAAGTATGTGAGTTATGTAAAACTAAGCATCCTATTTCAGGAATTGTTCTATGATCTGTAATTAACCAATAATTGGACCATCAGTAGCCTCAGTGTTGTATAGTGAAGTTATCAAGCCTCATATTTCAGGTTTTACTGGAATTGTTCCATGATTGTTATTCATTAGATAGTATTCAGGCTTTATTATTCGGAAAGTCAAAAATGTATTAGAAAGATAAAGAATAGTAGTCTCCAAAGTTGATAATGACTGGACTAAATACCAATTAAATTTGCCACAACTATTTCGTAATACTTTAATCTTCCTGAAATTTTACATTAAACCTCTGAGTAATGATGGATTCCATAGCTGTTCTTAAGCTGCATGTGAGTACATATAAGTGTCATTTAAGGCCATTTTAATACCCCTCTCCAAAACTGAACTAAAAATACTTAAGTGATTATCTTACCCTTACCCTCGAGTGTGGGTTTAACTCCACTGGCAAGACAAAGACCTCCAAATTTATTATTAAATATTTTGTTTGCTTCTAAAGTAGCAGTGGCATTGTTGGTAATTTCAACACCCGCCGCTAAGCCATCATAGATTCTGTTCCTTCTTAATATTGGGTGACTTTGGGTACTGATTAAAACACCAGCTTGGGCATTACGAAATATTTCATTCTCTTCAAGAATGCCTGGCAAAAAAAGATTTGAATGAATTTAACATTTAAATTTTACATTTAGTAAACATATGTACTGCCATTTTATGAAATAAAATTCCAATTATATTCTCATATTGATGGATTTTGTCTGAACTTCATTACTAAAGCATTCTTAAATTTAATTGTTCTATTCTTTGCTCTCAAAAACTAATCTCTGTATTAATGTTTGAGAGTTTTGCTCACCTTTTCCGCCATTAAAAATACAAATGCCCCCATCTCGACCATCATGAATTTTATTATGACGTAAAACAGGGTTACTGTCAGTTTTGATCCAGATTCCAGCCATAGCATTATCAAAGATTTCATTATTTTCAATCATTCCTAAACCACTATTATACACTAATATTCCACCATTTTGTCCTCCCCATATTTTATTCCTTCGTATTAAAGGGTTACTCTCGGTTCTGAAATAACAATAATAAAAAAAAAATTATTTGTGGATAGAAAAAACTTCAAACCATTTATAAGAAATTATAGTACTTTTATAGAAAACGAAATGATATGGGGTTTAATGTCCTACTGTTCTGTTCCTACTGGGCAAATGAAGACGGGCATATGCCATGCATTGTGCTGAGGCCTACTCTAATATCAAATTCCAACTGCCCAGGGATCTTTTAAATGTTTGCCAATGTGTATACGGGACCTCAGTTTTTTCATGCCATCCAAACAACTAGACAGCTGTCCTTGTCAGGCCCTCTCGGTCCTGCACTACTGATAAAGGGAAACCACGCTGGAAAATCCTGATGAACTTTCTCGGCCAATGTAGGGATCGAACAAACGACCTCCAGGCTAGCGAGCCAGCATCTTAGTCTTACTCACTTAGCCACCGTGGCTCCTATTTTTATAGAAGTAAGCAGTTTAAAGAGGTAGCTATTTATGGGTACAAATATCTATTTCTGGGTACTAAATATCTGTTTGAGCTTACAATACATACCTTATCTGAACTCCAGAATAAAGATGATTAAAAATATCATTATCTTCTAAAACACCATGTCCATTATCATAGAAATATACTCCAACCTATAATACACAAATAACTATACATGTACAGGTTTACTTGATTTGGCAAGTTCAATATACCTTCTTTTTTTAAGTATTAAGTTAAAAAAGGATATGTCACCAGGCAACTAAACATACAACCACACCTGCAGGCTTTGTCTCTTAATCATTTATAAACAGTTGTCTATAAATTTCAAATCAGATTGACACAAACTAGGTCATTTCCGGTCTAACATATGGATCAATTTTATTTCAATAAAAGTGGGAGTAAACCGGAGGACCCAGAGAAAACCCACGAGGTTGCACAGGCGACCCTACTCATTGTCACATACAACCAAATCAAAATATAACTTTAAACTTAATAGTAAGTGCATGGGGACTGCACCACACATAATTTACACAAAACAAATCTATGAACAGGACACAATACGCAGAAATCACAAACAAACGTAAATATCAAATTAAGTGAATGGATCCGGAGGCTAGCCATAAGCGTCCTTTACGCTGTGCAGTCCCGGGCCTGTAGTGATACAGACTTCACTCAAAATTGAAAACAATCAGGAACATAACCCAGAGAAACCATTGTGTAATTCCAGCAGGAGTCATGATCTGCTATATGCCACATGAAATATGAATGTAAGCATATTGAAGTAAAATTACCTATACAAGTAACCATATCGTGGAAATGTATAAACCAATGGTTGCCAGGCAGGATACAAATAAAAACAAACATGATTTTTTGTACAATCAGGGGCAATAATCCAGAAAGTTATGGTCTGAAATGCGCAAATATCAAAAGGGACTGAGATCTTTGGGATATAACAATTTTTAAGTTTCATCAAAATCGGATAAAAATTGTGACCTCTAGAGGATCCACAACCTTTGTATTGCATACTTTTACACAATTTGCGTACAAAGAGCAGACATTTTGTCGGGCAGTTTCATTTCGATTTTCCCGAAATTTGAATTCAACATTCATTATGGTGGAATGGTGATATAATAAAACGGTTTTTACCTGTTTGCCACTGTGTATTCTGTTCCTGCGTAGTACTGGTGTACTTCCTGTTGTTATCCATACACCAGCTAATGTATTTGCGTAAACCTCATTTTCTTCTATTAATCCCTGACCCTTCTCGTGCTGTAATCAATGTAAAATAAAAGTAAAATCAGCGGCTGCCAGGCAGGATACGCCCACATTTTGCAGGAGATGGATAGAGAACAAGCTAAAAACAAATGGGATTTTTTGTACAATAAGGGGCAATAATCCAGAAAGTTATGGTTTGAAATGCACAAATATCAAAAGGGACTGAGATCTTTGGGATATAAAGATATGTTTTAAGTGTCATCAAAATCGGATAAAAATTGTGACCTCTAGAGGATCCACAACCTTCGTATTGCATACTTTTACACAATTTGCGTACAAAGAGCGGACATTTTGTCGGGCAGTTTCATTTCGATTTTCCCGAAATTCGAATTCAACATTCATTATGGCGGAATGGTGATATATTTAAACGTTTTTAAAAATCCTAACTTAATCAAAATTACGGGGTAATGGTGATATATTCAAACAGTTTTTTAAATCGAATAATAATTGTGACCTCTACAGGGATTACAAGCTAAAAACATGATTTTTCGTACAATCAGGGGCCATAATTCAGGAAGTTATGATCCAATATGCGCGAATATCAAAAGGAACCAAGATCTTTGGGTTATAAACTTATATTTCAAGTTTCATCAAAATCGGAAGAAAATTGTGACCTCCAGAGGGTCCACAACATTCATATACCTTATTTTTACGTTATTTGAGTACGAGGGGCGGCCATTTTGTCTGTCCGATTTTTATGAAATTCGAACTCAACCATCCTTAGGGTATAATGGTGATATATTCAAACGTTTTTTTAAATCGGATAAAATTATGAACTCTATAGGGTCCACAAGCTAATAACGCGATTTTTCGTACAATCAGGGGCCATAATTAAGAAGTTACAGTCCGATATGTGTGAATATCGAAAGGAACCGAGATCTTTGGGTTATAAACTTACATTTCAAGTTTCATCAAAATCAGAAGAAAATTGTGAACTCTAGAGTGTCCACAACCTTGATATATCATATTTTTACGCTATTTGAGATCGAGGGACGACCATTTTGTCTGTCAGTTTTGGGTCGATTTTTACGAAATTCGAACTCAACCATCCTAAGGGTGTAACGGTGATATATTAAAGTGGTTTTTTAAATCAGATAAAAATTAGGACCTCTACAATCAGGGGCCATAATTCAGGAAGTTATGATCAGATATGCGCGAATATAAAGAAGAACCAAGATCTTTAGGTTATAAACATACAAATAATTTTGTTTTAACATAATCGGATAAAAATTGTGACCTCTAATGGCTCTATAAGGTCCACAAGCTAAAAACGTGATTTTTCGTAAAATCAGGCACGAATATCAAGAGGAACCGAGATCTTTGGGTTATAAACATACAAACCAGCGGCTGCCAGGCAGGATACGCCCACATTTTTGAGAGATGGATAGAGAACAAGCTAAAAAGAAAGTGATTTTTCCTACAATCAAGGGCCATAATTCATGAAGTTACAATTCGATATGCGCAAATATCGAAAGGAACCTTTCACGTACAAGCGGCGGCCACTTTGTCCGGCAGTTTTGGTTTGATTTTCAGGAAATTTGAACTCAACATTCATTACGGTGTAACGGTGATATAATCAAAAGTTTTTTTAAATCGGATAATAATTGTGATTTTGCGTACAATCAGGGGCCATAATTCAGGAAGTTACGATCCGATATGCGACAATATCGAAACGAACCAAGATCTTTAGGTTATAAACATGCTTTTCAAGTTGCATCAAAATCGAATTAAAATTGTGACCCATACAGGGTCCACAACCTTGATTTACCCTATTTTTACACTATTCGCGTACAAACGGCGGCCATTTTGTCCGGTAATTTATGTCTGATTTTTCCCAAATTCAAACTCAACCTTCCTTAGGGTGTAACGGTGATATACTAATACGTTTTTTTAAATCGGATAAAAATCATGACCTATATAGGGTCCATAAGCTAAAAACACGATTTTTCGTATAATCAGGGGCCATAATTCAGGAAGTTACGATCCAATATGCGACAATATCAAAAGGAACCAAGATCTTCAGGTTAAAAACATGCATTTCAAGTTTCATCAAAATCGAATTAAAATTGTGACCCATACAGGGTCCACAACCTTGATTTACCCTATTTTTACACAATTCTTGTACAAACGCAGGCCATTTTGTCCGGCAATTTTTGTCCGGCAATTTTGGTCCGATTTTCCCTAAATTCGAACTCAACCTTCCTTAGGGTGTAACGGTGATATAATAATACGGTTTTTTAAATCGGATAAAAATTATGACCTATATAAGGTCCACAAGCTAAAAACGCAATTTTTCGTATAATCAGGGGCCATAATTCAGGAAGTTACGATCCGATATGCGACAATATCGAAAGGAACCAAGATCTTTAGGTTATAAACATGCATTTCAAGTTTCAACAAAATCGGATAAAAATTGTGAACTCTATAGGGCCCACAACCTTGATATACCATATTTTTACGCTATTTGAGAATGAACGGTGGCCATTTTGTCTGTCAATTTTGGGCTGATTTTCATGAAATTCAACTCAACCTTCCTTAGGGTGTAACGGTGATATAATAATACGTTTTTTTAAATCAGATAAAAATTATGAACTCTATAGGGTCCACAAGCTAAAAACGCGATTTTTCGTACAATCAGGGGCCATAATTCAGGAAGTTACGGTTCGATATGCACGAATATCAAAAGGAACTGAGATCTTTGGGTTATAAACTTACATGTCAAGTTTCAACAAAATCAGATAAAAATTGTGACCTCTATAGAGTCCACAAGCTAAAAACGTGATTTTTCGTACAAACAGGGGCCATAATCCATGAAGTTTCGATCCGATACATGCCAATATCGAAAGCAGCCGAAATCTTTTGGGGATAAACCTATATTTCAAGAATTGGGACCTGTAGAGAGTCCACAAACAAATTGTGGACTGACGGACAGACGTCCGTCCAAACGGACAGGGGCGACGACAATATACGTCCACATGAAAATGTGGGCGTATAAAAATTTTGTTTCAACAAAATCAGATAAAAATTGTGACCTCTATAGGGTCCACAAGCTAAAAACGTGATTTTTCGTACAATCAGGGGCCATAATTCATGAAGTTTCAGTCCGATACATGCCAATATCAAAAGCAACCGAGATCTTTTGGAGTTAAACCTATTTTCGTCAGAATCGGATAAGAATTGTGACCTGTGGAGTGTCCACAAGTAATTGTGGACGGATGGACAGGGGTGACATCTTTGGGTTATAAACTTACATGTCAAGTTTCAACAAAATCAGATAAAAATTGTGACCTCTATAGAGTCCACAAGAACTGAGATCTTTGGGTTATAAACTTACATGTCAAGTTTCAACAAAATCAGATAAAAATTGTGACCTCTATAGAGTCCACAAGCTAAAAACGTGATTTTTCGTACAAACAGGGGCCATAATCCATGAAGTTTCGATCCGATACATGCCAATATCGAAAGCAGCCGAAATCTTTTGGGGATAAACCTATATTTCAAGAATTGGGACCTGTAGAGAGTCCACAAACAAATTGTGGACGGACGGACGGACGTCCGTCCAAACGGACAGGGGCGACGACAATATACGTCCACATGAAAATGTGGGCGTATGAAAATTTTGTTTTAACAAAATCAGATAAAAATTGTGACCTCTATAGGGTCCACAAGCTAAAAACGTGATTTTTCGTACAATCAGGGGCCATAATTCATGAAGTTTCAGTCCGATACATGCCAATATCGAAAGCAACCGAGATCTTTTGGAGTTAAACCTATTTTCGTCAGAATCGGATAAGAATTGTGACCTGTGGAGTGTCCACAAGTAATTGTGGACGGATGGACAGGGGTGACATTATACGTCCACATGAAAATGTGGACGTATAAAAATATAATAACTTTTCACTGAAGCCGTGGTGAACACTGAATACATTTTAAAGGTAATAGCGCCTGTGAACTAAAAGAATGTCCTTACCCAACAGCTCTGGTAATTCTAGAATCACATTATTCTCAAAATATGTATTATTCTAAAATATTCTTCAAGAGAGAGTTAGAGTGTGAGAGAGAACGTCCACTCGACACAACATAGGTCATTTCCAGACCAACACAAGGTTCAATTTTATTCAGTAATTGGTTGCACGTGGGGTCTTCAGCAATGTGTGGAAACCAGAGGACCCGAAGAAAACCAACAAGTTTGGTGACCGTGTTCCTTGTTATGTACTAGTGTGGGATTGAAACCACACCACTTGACTCGATGACGGACCATAGACCACCCAACACCACAAAATTATTCAGACCTTTCAGCACTATTAATCTATGTTATATTTTACATTATCAATAAGAGGTAATGAAATTTATGGATGAAATATAAAACTTACAACATATATTCCACCATGTTGACCATGATGTATTTTATTGTGACGTACTATTGGATTACTATTAGTTCGTATTTGAATACCAGCTAAAGCATTACCTGAAAATAAAAATATTTAAACTGTACAAAATATTTACAGGAAACTGAAAGATTGTTATATATAAATATAACATGCATTTCTGTATAAAGTTTTACTAACAAGGGTTCCTATGATACACAGATCTAAAAATGAAGGCTAGTATTAAATGTAAATCCATCAATGGAGAATGGGTAGGCAAGAGGTTCTAGGAATCTATTAATTCTTTAAAAAGATATTGCCATTTGTTTCTATATTTTTAGTTTAGTATTTTCTATTAAGATTATTAAGAAGCTTTCATATTTATTTATATTTAGTGTTTCATTTCGTAAATTAGTCCGATGTATATAAAACTTAGTTAAAATAATTACATGATTAACCAATGACAAAATATCTCCATTCAGGACTAGCTTATGTTTCATTAGCAAAAAATTTCATTCGAGGAAGTCCAGCACATGTACATTTAACAGGATTATTCATGTCCACATGAGCTGAGCTGAATAGAAAGGAAAGAAAAAGAATACTTGTGTTATTTTAAGAATGGAGTAAGATTTGTGTACTTTACCATGTATATTGTTATGTTCTATAAGACCTCTACCATCACCAAATATATACACACCACCTTGATGACCATTATAAATTTCATTTTTTCTACAAAATATAAATTTCATTTTTTCTTCAAAATATAAATTTCATTTTTTCTACAAAATATAAATTATCATTGTGTGTGGTCGAGTTTGGAAAATTATCAATTTGCAGAATTCTTATCAAATAATTCATAGAATCAGTTTCTGTCTGGAGTAAGTTCTGTTGTTGTCAATATTCTTGTCTGTATTTGATGGTTACTGTTAACAGGATTTTTGGGATGACCTGGGCGACCTTCGGTTTCACAGATTTTCGTACTATAATCAAATTATCTGCATGCGACTGACATTTAGTTCAGGCATACCATTCGATAGAGTATGGTCAGGATAGTTCAAAGATGGCTGACAAACTGAGACATGAGTAGATGTGTCTGAAAAACATCATAATGTTGCTGATTGCCGTTGCGTTATTTACACCATGGGCTGTATTATACTAATTTAGGGTCCATGGCAGGGACGGACCGCGACAGACGGAGGCGACGGCAATATATGTACACATTTTAATGTGGGCGTATAAAAATCATATCTAGCTGTCACACGAAAAAGTTCCGTAATATATTTATTTGTCTAGTTTTAAATTTAAATACCAATCGAGCAGATCCTATCCCCATGTTTGAAATTCTTTTTGTCGAATTGCGCGCCAATACTTATTAGAGCGAAAGTTGTGAGGATTGTAGCTTTTTGGAATGTGCAGTGGTAAATCTATATGAAACCTGTAGTCTCGATTATCACTTCAGTTAGCAACCTTGTGATCGGTAAATGTAGATTCAAAGAATGATGACATTTATATTCATTTATAACAACAAATAATATCTAGGCATTTTCACGAATCTGGTAGGCTTAGCGTATTCTGAACGGTCGCTCGGTGAACAAAAATTTTGACACTAAAACAAAAAATTAACAGTCAGCAGGTTTTTTCAATGGGCCGGTTGGGTTACCGGAAACAGAACATTTTTTTTTTTACCTTAGAAAACACCCTACAGAGATAACATATGCTAGATTTAAGTTTTTCCTCAAAAGTCTAAATGAAAATATCCCTTTGAAAAAAATGAATTTTAATTTTGTTTCAAATACAAAATTCTTGTACCAGTACTGTGGCCTTAATAATATGATCAGTAAACAGGTAGAAGTTACTTACCTTATTGTTGGATCACTATTCGATGTAATCCATACACCAGCAAAATTGTTTGAATGGATTTTATTTTCTATAAACTGTCCTCTGCCATTTTCATGTACATAAATACCACCGGTTTGACCATGATGAATCTCACATCGTACTACAGTTGGGTTAGCACCAGCTTTTACTTCAAAACCAGCAATTCTGTTGTTATGAATATCACAGGAATCAAAATAACCCTGGAACAAAAATATTTATTAAAACAGAAATTCTTTTATTCCAAATCGTCATTACTGACCAGGCAAAATACGTCCACATTCAGGCAGTTTCGGTCCAATTTTTACAAAAATCAAACTCAACCTTTCTTGATGTGTAACAGTGATATATTTAAACATTTTTTAAAAATTGAATACAAATTATGACAACAATTGGGTCAACAAGCTAAAAATGTGATTTTTCGAACATTCAGGGGTCTGATTTTCACGAAATTCGAACTCAACCGTCATTACGGAGTAACAGTGATATATTTGAACATTTTTTTTTAAATCGGATAATAATTGTGACCTCTAGAGGGACCACAAGCTAAAAACGTGTTTTTTCGTACAATCAGGGGCCATAATTCAAGAATATCGAAAGTAACCAAGTTTCTTCAAAATCGGATAGGAATTGTAAACTGTAGAGTGTCCACAAACAAATTGTGGACAGACATATCCAGGTGGACAGGAGCGACGACAATATACAGGTGTGCTTATTGTAAAACAATTACCAGTAAAGCAATATACAACAAATATGTCTTTACATAACGCATAGTTTTGAGATGATTTATTAAGATCAGATTTTGTTTTTGGTGCCTTCAGTCTTGTCAAATCTCATCCCATTTCTATAAATTTATATTTTGCGTGTATAATAGGCCTATTGTTATTTTGAATGGTATCAGAACCTGAATCCCTGATAGAAATTACAATTTCTTTTGTAAAAGATGCTTACAATTATGCAGTGGTAATGAAATAAATGGTGGACCGTTTTCTCACTCAAGAATCGTTGATATAGGTTTCTCTATTGTGTTTCTGACCATTGGTGATAATATAATTTGAAATAATAATATTCGGTTATGTATGCTTGTATATTTTACATGCTGTATGAAGCAACAGTAAACAGAATTCAACTATTAAAATATTTAAGTTTGTGGAGCCCTCCGGTTTGTTTCAAGGTATCTATATGGAAGCACATTAATTTCAAAGCAAAAGATAATAAATCTGCCGTATTTGAAATTGATCGATCACATGACATACCTGTGAGAAATATTCTGGAAACACGACGAACTTGAAAACTCACGTAAACCGGCATAACCTGGAGTGAGGGGATCAACACAGTATGACAAATGAAAACGGATAAGGATAGCCTAGTGATTTGGACAAGGAACGGAATTCATGTAGTCTGGCAGTACCCCCTTTAGACAAATCATAAATAACAATATACCGGTACTGACATTCTTAGTGACAGAAAGTAAACGCTCAACAGAACAGAAATAACCAAATCAATCGGACATATCATAGTCAAAGACCTTTGCCCTTTTTCTGTGCTTATTTTTATATTTTTGCAAAATACATTTTATCATGTTTACACCAAATTCTTTGTTTCCACGCAATATGTATCGTATCGTGACCCACCAACAAAGTCCCATCAATAGTGTATGAATTTCATAAAGATTGGAAGAAAACTGTTGTCGGATCGTAAACATAACTTGCAACAATGTGAAACAAGGGTCACAACTCCAGAAGAAATTAATAGAAATAGCTGAGTGAAATTCTACAGGATTCTTTGTTTCATTAATTTAAATGATGCATATATTATAAATTTCAAACAGATCAGATAACTTTTATCATTTGAGTGTTCACAGAATTCAATAAAGTGAAACAAGGGGCATAACTCTAGACGTAATGGAAATTGCTAAAATTCAATAGGCTTCTTCGTTTCACTAATTCAAATAATTTAGATAAATTTCATACAGATCGGATGATAACTTTTGTTGTTAAGAGTGTCCACAGTGTTCTACAAAATGAAACAAGGGCCCTAACTATAGACATAATTAACGGAAATTGCTGAAATGCAATAGGCTTCTTCGTTTCATGAATTTAAATAATGCATATAATTTTCATACAGATCGGATGATAACTTTTGTCATTAGAGTTAGAGTGTTCACAGGGTTCTACAAAGTGAAACAAGGGTCATAACACTAGACATAATTAATAGAAATTACTGAAATTCAATAGGATTCTTCGTTTCACTATCTAAATAATGCATATAAATTTCATACAGATCGGATAACTTTTGTCATTGGAGCGTTCACAGGATTCAACAACATGAAATAAGGGCCATAACTCTAGATTTAATTGATGAAATATGCCAAAATTCAATAGACTTCTTCATTTCAGTAATGTTAATAATGCATATAAATATCATACAGATCAGATGATAACTTTTGTTGTTAGAGTGTTCACAGGGTTCAAGTGAAACAAGGGCCATAACTCTAGAAGTAGTTAACGGGAATTGCTGAAATTCAATAGGCTTCTTTATTTCACTAATTTAAAGGATGCACATAAATTTTATACAGATAGGCTTCTTCGTCGCATGATCTTTAACATTGTTTATAAATGAGAGAGAGAGTTTTAAGCATCCACTCCTCACGCTAGAGATTGCCATTGCCATTCGATTGAGTTGAGACTTCTGGTGTATTTCGCCAAACATAACTGATTAGAAATTACAGTAAAATCAGAAACAATTCAATGTACATCAGTTTATATACATTCATATTACATTATTTATATGGGTTGCAACCCATTTGTGTCCCAAATCGCTAATATTTGGGACCTAGAAATTGACACAAATGGGTCGCAACACATATAATAATGTAATATGAATGTATATAAACTGATTTACATTCAGTCGTTTCTGTTTTTACTCTAATTTCAAATCAGCTATGTTCGGCGAAATATGCCAGAAGTCTCAATCTAATGGCAATCTTTAGCGTCTTATTATTCCAGTCTACACCGATAGTATTTCTTTGCAGATCCTTTCCAGATAAGAATGTGACGGCACCGTTTGACATGACTTGTGGACTATGTCTAGCCTCATTCTTCGAGTCCCTTGTTACAAATCGAGCTGAAACGCATTATGGTACACGCAATGGTAAAATGTTTATTTTGTCTTAAAGATATATTATGGGAGATAAGATAAAGAGATGGCAGTTCTCGCTATAATAGTTAAAAACTAGATAGTGTAAAGGTAATTTGCTGGAAATTCCAGTCAAATTGATCTACTATGAGCCGAGAAAGAAGCGGGTGAAATTTTTGCATAGTCTCGGTCATTACTAAAATCATTAATATAAACAGCATAGTCTTGATTATCCACTTTTTCTGATTTAATCATCAATAGCCGTTAGCGGCATATAGGAATCTAATCCAGGCAACATCGAAGGCTAGCCTTGACATCGAGAGTTTATTATGGTCTGGATAAGTTAATTAATGTCTAATTGATAATTTAGATAACATTTCAGGCCTAAAGAAAGACTTGTAATAAGCAGATTTTGCTCTTGCATAATGCATGTTTAAATATTGGATATCAGAAGCCCATCTTTTCCTGGTAAGATCACAACATCAATGTTGATTTAAGTTGACAAATAATTCATGATTTCAATGTCGAAAACTTTGGATGATATTGAGTTAGAGACTTAGCTACTTTAAGCCTAACTCAAAAAATCCCTTTTTAACATTTTAACGAATTGTGTGGACATTGTCAAAATTATTGTATCGGCATCATGCAGATTTTGCGAGTTTAACGTCCACTCGACAGAAACTAGGTCATTTCAGGACTGACATATGGCCATTTTGGGACTAACATATGGTTCAATAATTTTATTTCACTATTTCGTTTGCGTGTAGGGGGCTTTAGCAGTTAGAGGAAACCCATGAGGTTGGACAGGTGACTCCTAGTCATGTATAACCAGGGAATCGAAACAAGCCAGTTGACAGACCGTATGAGTATGATACACGCGCACGTGCTGAACATTCGGCCATTCAAACCCCCTGTATAAATTCAAAGTCAATTGGATATTAACATTAGCCTCTAGAACATCCACAAGCAATTGTGGATACCGGATTGACAGACGGACCGACAGCAATATATGATCACATTTCAATGTGGGTGTATAAAAAAACCCAAAGCAAACTAAAACCAACAACTGTAATACATTACATAATAATCTGAATTTAGAAGAGAATATTTCTAGAAAGACACAAAGATAAAGACGCAATTATACTGAGAATGTCATTCAGATTTGATTTATATTATAATACTGTACATTTGAGATTATATGTACTCAGTACAGAATTCTTACCATTCCATTTTCAAACGTAAATACACCAACATCTCTTCCATGGTGTATATGGTTTCTTCTCATTATAGGTGTAGCATGATTTTTAACCCAAATACCAGCTAACGCATTACCACTAATCTCATTATCTTCATATACCCCCTGTAACATAGTAATAATACATATTATCTTCATATACCTCCCTATAACATAGTAATAATACATTATCTTCATATACCCCTTGCAACATCAATTAAAACGTTTATAATAAAATAACCTTTTATTTGTATGCAGTAAATTCAGTTTGGCTGCAATCTAATTGCTTCGTTCATTTCTGTATTACACAATAAATGAAAAGCACAAAATTAGTCCCATTCAGTTATATATCCTGCATTACGTAAGAGCTAAATTTGTCTATTGCAGGTTTTATTTTGACTTCAATTGTTATATAAACTATTATTTAGACATTTATTCACATGACAAGCATAAACAAATATCTAGACCTCTAAACATCTTACCGTAGCATAATCTGTAACATACATTCCAACATTTTCACAATCTTTGATATAGCAGTTTTTAATAGTAGGATCAGCACCCGAACCTGATACACATACAGCAGCTCCAACTACAAAAATAATAATTATATAGTTTTAATTCACCACACCAAAGGGGTAGAAGTCGTCATTTTTTGCGAGCATCTAAGGGGATTCTCACAACTGTGCGAATCTTCCAAATCTTTAGATACAGCTTTAATTTTGCTTCCAGAAGCCATGTCAATGTCCTAAAAATTCAATTGATAACTGCACAAAGTATTATAATAAATGAATATAGTTTATGTGCGCACAAACGAAAGTGAAAAAAACAAGTGGCAGAACTTGACAGTGACAAATAGAATTGGAATGACGTAATTTAAAGCCATTATATTGATGTGGAATTAATGAAATCAAATCACTCGAAAGGATAAAATGGAACCCAAAATTATTTCATTTCAAGGTTGGCCTGCTAAAGCAGCTTCCTTTAAATATTATTTAAGAGGGATTAAAATAATAATTAGGAAACAAATAAATTTTTATGGTAATTGAAATTCAATAGAGTTGCACCATTATAATACAGATTCCTTTCGGTGCTCTATTTCTACAAGACACTGTGTTGTGATCGGGGAATTTTCCACACAATAACATAAACACAAAAACAAAAGATAAAGGCCAGCCAGAAACTCGCCAAAATTATATAACTTAGAAGTAAACAGTATAAAACAAAAACGTAACAAATATTTTATTTTATTATACATGTAGTATTCTATAAAGTAAGTAATACAAATTTGATTCAAAGCATCCTGACTGACATTCAATAGTTGGACTCAACAATTCTAGTTTTGCAGCGTATGCTCTTGCGAGAATCCTTGCGCGAATTAGATTCAGAGATTCGCGTGAATTTCTTGCCCCATGTCGGGAAATAATTTAATGTATATTTTTTAGTGATATACCGATATGGGTACTGTCGGTTTTATGATTTATCAATATCTGATGTTGACAGTGAAACATATCGGCCGATACAGATACATGATTTAACAATAGTGACTCATTAAAAAATATAACACATTAAAATGCTTCGAATATCATGGTAATTGGTGTAGATGTATGTCAATGTTAGTCATAAAACGCACGGTACTGTTTTATCTTGGGGAATCAAAGACGAACACAATGTTTATTGATGGAATAATTGGGTCACGCTTGCTACGAAGTTTAAAAAATAAACACTATCCATTGAGAACTTAATTATTTGTTGCATGATTAATTAGTAAAGCACGATAGTGCTTGATATTAGGATTTTTCTACTACGGCACCAAACATCTGAAAACGCTGTAGTTAAAATGAGCTGATAAGGCACCAATGCATTTCTTCATATTTAACACTTTGTTGTAATTCTCCATCACAGATCATACAAAGTTTTTTATTCATTGTAAATGGACAACGACTAGTACAATGATTTTCAGTGTCAATCTGGTTCTAATTATATTTTGTTGGAATATTAATTATATCAAGTTATCGAAATTTGTTTAAACCTTTTCCCTTCGATCTTTTAGTTAATCATGTTCCCAATGGTTGTGTTCACGTGACAACCATAACTAAAACAATACAGATTTTGATGAAATTTATGTTTATATCACTAAGATCTTGGTTCCTTTCGATAATCGCACATATCCGAATGCCAACTTCCTGGATTAAGGCCCCTGCTAGAAGTAGAAGTTACAATTTGTATTCAATTTTAAAAACCATTTAAATATATCACCGTTACACATCAACGAAGGTTGAGTACAAATTTCGTAAAAATCTGACCCAAACTGCCATACAAAATGGCCATTCCTTGTACGCAAATAGTGTAAAAGTATGTAATACCAAGGTTGTGGACACTCTAGATGTCATAATTTTTATCCGATTTTGATTAAACTTGAAATGTATGATTATAATCCAAAGATCTTGGTTCCTTTCGATATTTGCGTAAATCGAACCGTAACTTCCTGGATTATAGACCCTGACTGTACGCAAAAATCATGTTTTTGAAAAATCTGATTTTGATTAAACTTGAAATGTATGATTATAATCCAAAGATCTTGGTTCCTTTCGATATTTGCGCAAATCGGACTGTTACTTCCTGGATTATGGACCCTGACTGTACGAAAAATAATGTTTTTAGCTTGTGGACCTGCTAGAGGTCACAATTTTTATCTGATTTTAAAAAGTGTTTTAATGTATCATCATTACACCCTATTGACGGTTCAGTTCAAATTTTAAGAAAATCAGACTGAAACTACCGGACAAAATGGCCGCTCCTGGTATACAAATAGTGTAAAATAGTGTAAAAGTATGTAATACCAAGGTTGTGGACTCTCTAGAAGTCACAATTTTTATCCGATTTTGATTAAACTCAAAATATATCTTCATGTCCCAAGTATCTCAGTCCATATCGATATTCAAGCATTTCAGACCATAACTTCCTGGATTATGGCCCCTGATTGTACGAAAATTGCTTTTTTTTTTTTTTAAGCTTGTGCGAGTATCTTCCCTGTGGCAACTGCCGGTTGTCTTTTGTATATCTGTTTTCTTTTAATTATGTTCTTCTTCCCTAATGTAATAAAACAACATACCAACAGATGTACTACGTATTCTACAATGTTGAATTATAGGAGAAGAATTTTCTGTCACTTCCAGTGCATAATGTCGATGGTGGGGTACAGACGATGTTATATCAGGAGAAAACTAAAATAAAATAGTTTTTTATATCAATTAATGTTTAGTTGGAATACAGGGATGCAGATTTAGCAAGTAAATGGCAAACCACATGAGCTAGTTTTAAATAAGTTAAACAAAAAAAGATGATCATAAGTAAAGGGCACATATACTTGACCCATAGAGCACGGTTTTGAAATCCCCCTGACACCCCTTTTCTTAAAAGCACATTCACAATTCAAGTGAAATCAGAAATTCTTGGCAAATTCAGACAAAAAAATATATAAAATTCCTGTCAGGAAATGGCAGGTACTTCTCAATTAACTTTAAACATGCATAAGTCATTTTTAAAAGACTAGCTAATTATCGATGTAAATAGATCACTCCTTGCTTGCATGTAATACAGTAAGTGAACCTTACTTTTAATGTAACATAACCTAAATAAGCTCCATTGGCACCTTCTACAAACATTATAGTGGATTCCATTTCACGTTCAATAAATACATGATCCATCACATTTCCTGGAGCTAAAAAAAATTTCATTAACATTATGATTCAAAGGTACCAAAAATATACTTTATGTCAAAAAACACATAAAATTACTTTAAAAACTCAATAGAATATAGAGATTTCAAAGTATATATATTGTTCATAATATTTTAAGAATAACACAAAGAATGCAACAAAACATGCAACTGCAGCGACTCGTCGCATATTTATTCTTTTGTAAGTTATGGGGTAGTTACAAGACAATTTCATACAGATCAGATTATAATTTTCGTCTTTTGAGAGTTTACAAGGTTCTATAAACTGAAACAAGAGCCCGAACTCTGGAAATAATATACAGAAATTGTTGAAATTCGACAGATTTTTTCGATTAACTAATTTATCTAATGCATATAAGTTTCATACAGATTGGATGATAATTTTTCTCGTTTGAGCAATCACAAGGTTCAACAAATTTAAACAAAGACCAAAACTCTAGAAGTAATTAACGGAAATTGCTGAAATTGAATAGGCTTCTTCATTTCACTAATTTAAATGACACAGATCGAACGATAACTTGTCGGTCGAGCGTTCACAAGGTTCAACAAAGGGAAACAAAGGCTACAACTCCAAATGTATTTGAAGGAAACTGCTGAAAGTCAATAGGATTCTTCATTTCACGGAGGTGACGGCAATATACGACCTCATTTCCATGTGGGTGTATATAAAAATCAGTTGATTCAAAGTTTATAGTTAATAAAGATCAACTTATATTTAAAGTTTTGTCTGATCAGCTATTTGTTTAACCATTACATACCTGCTCCAATTAATGTGACAGGTGTATCTATTAAGAGTAATTCTCCTTGATAAACGCCAGTGTGTATAAATATTAATGGATCATAGATTTCTTTAGTATCAACATACTGATGAGCTGGTTCTATAGCATCAAAATACTGAAATACAAAAAAATTAATCTTCAAATCCACAATTAATTTCAATTTCAAACACTTTAATCAGCAAAATTTAGATAACGTCTGCAAGCTGAGAAATAGTCATATTAACCCATGACTGTACTGCCCATGAATATATATACCATCTACTCAGATCCTGTCTCTCACCTAATTGCTTATAATGACCATGCTTTGTCTCGCCGACATCCCATGACGGGCTGTGTATGGTGCTATCTGCCTTTCCTTACTATTTGGGACTAACCAGGTTAATATTTCAGCTACAGTATAAGTTGTTTTGGCATGAAAAAATAGCACAAGATAGTTACTTACCACTAAGTTTCTTCCTTTATATCGTTTGCGTCGTACTTGTGAAGAATTACTATATCCCGGTCGAACATGAACACCTCGGTACTTTTTTTAAAAAAAATGGAAAATAGAATGAAATTATATAGAATTATCAAATATATACCAAGATGTTTGCTCTATTTTCCCCATTTGTAAGCTGAGGCTCATTTCATGTTATTACAAAGTTTTAATTTACATTGAATCAAGAGTTCATTTACTTTCAAATCAACCTTCTATTTCAGCGCTAATTATCTGACATAAATGTTGGAATAAATTTCTTTGCCACCAGCACTATATCAAGTGATTATGTTCATATTTCAAATCGTAGAAGAAGAAAAAAAGAAATTAAACCCAGTTCATTTCAACTACATTTTGCTTCTGTTTATAAATTTGAGATCGGAACTTATAGACTTTATTAGCACTGGCCAATAGCTATTATGCCTGTCTGGGAAATTTTTATACACGGCTGATCAATCAAAACTCATATTAGACAAGCTTGATTCTCAAAGGCCTGGGTTGTGGTGAGAGAGAGAGAGAAATGGGGCTTAACGTCCACTTGACACAAACTAGGTCATTTCGGGACTAACATATGGTTCAATTTTATTTCCATAATTCGCCTGCACGTAGGAGTCTTTAGTAGTGGGAGGAAACCGGAGGACCCAGAGAAAACCCACAAAGTTGGACAGGCGACCCTACTCCTTGTCAAGTACAACCGGGGATTCAAAACCACGCCAGTTGACTCAATGACAGACTTTATGATACAGCACGCATGTGCTAACCATTCAGCCATCCACCCCTCCTCTGGGTTGTGGTTGTAGCCTGTAAAAGTAGATAATGATTAATGCAAATGACCACAGGGAGTACCAACATAATAATGCAATTAACATACCAGTTGTCCAAAGCTTTCTTTCCATGGATTATCATATTTGACCATTTCTGATGAAGGTATAAATTCGTAAGATTTTGGCTCTGTATTTTGTAACATTAATGGACTGTCATATTCAAATACATCTTTATACAAGGTTTTCCTGTTAAAATAATAAAAGAAAATACAGAAGATTGATGAAAAGGAATGTTGCTCGATTTCAAAAAATTGAATGGAAATGATCTATATAAATAACATTTCGGGCCTAAAGAAAAACCTGCAATAGACAGATTTAGCTCTTGCATAATGTATGTTTAAAAAGAGTTTTTTTACGGGAGCTTTCTTCTCATTTTGAAATTGGCAGGAGCTTTTTATGGCTCCCGCACAATTTTATAAACGTGAATGACTGCAATGGGCTTTACATTATCAGAAATCAATGCTGCATTTGGTTACAAGCCAGATGTTTAACATATTTGTAAATGTTCTTTACATCCAATGATGACAACAATGACTTTCAAACAAAATTTACAAAAAAGTGTTTGAAATTTCACTAACCATAATTCATCATCATTAGCTATAGAATGAAATCTTCTACAGACTTGTGATACTCTACATAAATCAAATTCTAATAAATAGGAGAATATTTTTAATAGCACTTCATCGGGTAAATCTTCTTGTAAATATTTTGCTCCAACAGATCCTAAAATAAAACAAATATTGAATGATACATTATGTAGTAAGTTTATATATTCAATTGAAATAGATCAAAATCTATGATAATTAGATTGCATGATTTTGTTTTGTTTCTAGTACAATATACTAACTTAAGAGTTAATCATAATATCATAATGAAATAAAATGGAGTTTAATGCCCACTTGACATAAACCACATCATATGGTACAATTTTATTTCAATATTTGCTTCCACGTAGGGGTCTTTAGCTTGGTATCGAAAGCATGTCACTTGACTCAATGACAGACCTAGGGGTGATGACTGTCTGCTTTGTGGAAAAAAGGCAGAAATCGCGGTATTCGCGCTCAAAACGGAATTTGAAATCTCACGCAGAAAAAGACAGAAAAGCAGATATTTTCTGATATTAAACAAAAACTCAATACAATTTTGTATGTATCCAAGTATTTTCTTTTTATTCATAAAACTCGAAAATATTGAACGATATCGCAGGGTTTTATGACTATTTTAGTATGGTATTTGTACATTATAGGCTACTTTCATTTCGTCATTTTGGAATAATAAATTTGTTCGAAACGAAACCCCGTCTTCCATATATTAATAATATAATAACTCTGTATTCAAGTTAAAACGGAATTTGCCATTTTCAAAAAATGGCCAATGTAGTACAGACCCTATGAGTATGATCTAAAGTTCATACAGTTTATCATTTATGTAAGCTTATAACTAAGTTATATCAAATAGTTATTTTTTTAAAATACAAGAAAAAAATCTAATTTGATACCTGTTGGGATCAGTGCTGGATTTATGCTTGCTGACTTTCTTCTCCTTTTAACAGGTGTGCAGGTATTGGAAGATATAGGTTCTTTGGTAAGAGTGTCGATAGTTCGACGACGGCGTAAATTATATTTGAGGTTTGGGCTACTGGGGCCTGGTTCTGCCTCCAGGGCTTCAGCTGCAACCAGAGAATCTGCAAACAATAATTATAATATATAAATAATTAAAGAATTTTTATCTATTTTTAACAGTGGCCATTAACCCATCCTTCAAACTAATGTCATTGCTCAATAAAATCAATGATTTTCTAAATTCTAGTCTAGTCATTCAAACATAAAAGCCAATAATGTCAACTATTTTTTGACTTATTTTTGTATTCAATTTCAAACCAGCAAGAAATAAACAACCAATAACACTAAAAGTCTGTAAAAGTCAAAATCCTATAAAAGTAGGTACCTGATACTGTACCATATTGTTATGTTATAGTACGTTATTCTATTAGATCATAAACTGAACATTTTAAAATTGACAGTATGTGACAAGGCCTATCATCTTCTCTTTTCCTAAATTTATTTAAAATCCCAGAGTTTCGTACATCGCATTACACAATACTATGTACCCAGGTCCCTGAAAGTCTATGCTACATAGGCCTACATGTAGACTAGGGCCTAGGTCAACTCTGATTATTATCAATACCACCAGTATTACTATTAATATCATCATTTCTCAAATACAGTAATACTAGTACTACTAGAAATAAGATTGATTCTTCTCGCTTGAAACTATGATCTAGAAACTATAGCTTAGGCCTACTGTGGATTTTTTTACATTGATACCGGTATCACAATAAATAATGAAACTTCACACTAACAAAGTTAAGTAGTTTGTTCATAATCGAAGAAATCTGTTTAAAATTTATGATGGTTCAGACAGTAGAATAGAAGTCAAAAGAAATGAAATGGGGTTTAACATTGCACTGTTCTGTGAAGTCAAAAAGCCATCAAGTATGATCAAGCACTGTGACTGTTTCTCAATCGAGTCAATGCCATGTTTGAACTGTAGTAAGGTAGCTGGTATTGCAGAAACTCCAATATGGCAACTTGTCATTACTTAGGTGTAGAGGCCTAACCTACACTGTAAGTAAATAGTAAACTGAAATTGTTTGGCGATCTCTCGATCTCTCATTCTCTGTAGCCGTAGGGTAGGCCTAGACAGACAGAGTAACTATCTTAGTAGCTAGGTGAAGTTAATTTGAAACCAGGACTATAGGCATACTAGGAGGACAGGTCTACAATCTACATCTACCTATTATCTTCATATTTTCTTAATTCCAGATCAATCCATGTTCTATAGTAGTTCAATTATATGCATAAATCATCATTAAAGATTTTCATGTAGATATTGTAAACATTCAGTTTTTAAATGGTCTGAAAACCGTCAAGACACTATGATGAACATGACGTAGCATTCGTGCCATGGGTATTCTTTTCTGCAAGTGGTGTTGTTTGGCGACGATTCTCCTGGTCCTGTATAATAGTGTATAAATCACAAAATCGAACCAACAAAACCAGCGTCTTCGGGGTATTTTATTTTAAAAGTTCATTCAAATACCAAGGCTTAAGACAACAAAAGAGTTAATATTTAGTTCCCACAACATCAATTATTATTATTCATTCGTGCAAGATGCATAACTATGTCTAAATCTGAACTCGTCTTGACTGATCTTACAATGACCCTTCCTATGCATTCATCTCATTTCATACCTGCATTATGTCTCTTTCGCTGTTCAGATTTAGTTCTGGCCCTCTTTCTAAGATTTCTGGCATTCAACCTGGTAGAACGTGCAGATTGGTTGGACATCTCTGCCCTAAAAGTATGTTAAAAATTGCAATATTTGCTGAATGCTGAAAAAGAATTTAGCGAGAAGCCATATTGAAATGCACTATTTTATCATTGCGTAGACGCAAACGAATGAAAATCGGTCTATGCTGACACGTGACTGTCTAGACCAATTATATTTTAGGAATGAGGGATTGCCCATGGAATTTCCAACATGGCTTCCAAAATAGAGAAAGAATGAAAGTACCGCTTCAGTATTTCGAATTCAAAGAATGACTTCGTACATATCGAAATATTTAAAATGTCAACGAGATTGGGGTTTAATTTTAATAATACAGGTTACAATAACATCAACCGGAGCATAAACCAGGGTGAACTTTTGTTATTAAGACGGGTAAGTTACCGTCGAGTTTTCATCATTTCATTTGCTCTTCGCCTCTAGTCTTGTCACTTGAGTCTTGTACACTACAAGTACTAACTTGTAGTTCTTGATGTTGCTGCAGTGACCTTTTTTTTTTTGCTTGCACGGACGGCATTAATCATATTTGATAACAAGATGATTCTAATTATTAACAATGCTACTAGTTACTAAGAATATTATTAAAGCAGCTAAATCTCTAACTCAGTATTATCCATATAATCTTTGAAAAATGATTAAAAATATGAATTTAAATTTAAAGGAGCTAAGTCTCTAGTCTAAGTCAATATTTTCCATAATATTCGAAATTAAAAACATACATTAGATTTCAATTTGATTAATTTCAATCAGTATTTGATGTTGTTATCTTGCCTTGAAAGTATAGGATCCTGTATACCCTATCGGGTAAAATTTTGTAATGAACAAATACAAACATATCCTACAACGGTAACCAGACTTGAGACAGTTCATCCCAAAAACAACTCATCCCAAGATCACTCAACTCAATAGAAGACCACTCATCCCAAGATAAAAGACCACTCAAATGTGACTCATCCCAACAAATAAAGTGATAGTTGCAATTGTAATTGTATTAGTTTTAATACAATTGTTTACTTTGAAGGCCAACGGTACCATTTGATTAATCTGATTTTTGATAAATTGATATTGTTGTTTTAATGGATTGATATTGTTGTTTTAATAAAATTGAAATTGATATTTTAATAAAATTGAAATTGTTATTTTAATAAATTGATTATGTGTTTGTTTTAATATTTTAATACATTACACCATATCGAACTTATCGGACAAACATTTTTTAATATGTAAATAATCCATGGGTCCAGCTATGTGGTTTTTACCGCAAACACTTCGCTTTTCCACATAAACCAAGCGGATTCTTTATCCCCACAGGTTTTTTTTTTATCTGCAAGGATTACGCCTGTCGCCAAACATCATTCTGTTGGACCTCCTGACTTAACGTGTTTTTATTATACGCCCACATGTGAACGTATATTGCCGTCGTCCACAATTTCTTGTGAACGCTCTAACGCTAAAAGTTATGATCCAATTGTTTTAAAATTGATATATGTTGTTGACATTAGTGAGATGAAGAATCCTATTTAATTTCGATAATTTCCGTTTATTATGTCTAGAATTATGGCCCTTGTTTCACTTTGTTGGACCTTTTGAAATTTTCTAACATCAAAAGTTATCAGCCAATCTGTATGAAATTTATATGCATCATTTAAATTAGTAAAAAGAAGAATCATATTGAATTTCAGCAATTTCCGTTTATTATGTCTAGAGTTATGGACCTTGTTTCACTTTGTTGAACCTTGTGAACATTAACGCCAAAAGTAATCATCTGATCTGTATGAAATTTATATGCATCATTTAGATTAGTGAAACCACAAAGCCTATTAAATTTCAGCAATTTACAATAATTACTTCTAGAGTTATGGCCCTTGTTTAACTTTGTTCAACCTTGGTAATGCTCGATTTAATTTCAGCAATTTCTGTCAATTATTTCTAGAGTTATGGCCTTTGTTTTACTTTGTTAACCTTGTGAACGTTCGAATGACAAAAGTTATTATTCAATCTGTATGAAATTTATATGCGTTATTTAAATTAGTAAAACAAAAAAGCCTGTCAAATTTAAAAATTTTCTGTAAATTACTTCCAGAGTTAAGGCCCTTATTTCAGTTTGTAGAACCTTGTGAACCCTCAAATGACGAAAATTATAATCTGATCTGTATGAAATTGTCTTGTAAATGCCCCCAATTACCTACAAAAGAATAGATATGCGAAACCCTTGTCAACAGCTTGGAAGATTTTAACTGCTGCGGGCGTTTGTTTCGTTGCCTGGCAACCTATCTTTACTTTATGATCTTTGAAATTTTTATATTTCACATTTAGCTGCTGTGGCGTATGTTTCGTTGTCTGGCAACTTATCTTTAGACAAAGGGAGAAAATGACCTGCTCTTCTCATGACAGTAATTTTATAAGTGTGTTTTAAGGTGACTTTTTGATATACATGTACAAGGATTGTTTTTTTATTTTATGTTTTTACCAATTTTCAACCCTTTAAAGGAGCTAAATCGCTAACATTTGGGACCTAGAAATTGAGACAAGTGGGTTGGAACTCATATAATACTGTAATATGAATGTATATAAACTGATATACATTCAATGGTTTCCGTTTTTACTCTAATTTCAAATCAGTTATGTTCCGCGAAATAAGCCAGCAGTCTCGATCGAATGCAAATTTCTAGCGCCTGGTTATTCCAGTCTACATACGTTGTTTGATTTGGTGCAATATGTCTAGCCACGTTCCTCGAGTCTCTTGCTAGAACTGGGGCTGAAACGCCTTATTGTACACGATTCGTATACCAATGGTAAAATGTTTATTTTGTCTTAAATATTGGATATCAGAAGCCCATCTTTTTCCGGTAAGATCACAGCATCAATGTTGATTTAAATTGACAAATAATTTGTGTTTTCAATGTTGAAGATTTTGGATGATATTGAGTTAGAGACTTAATAGCTACTTTTCGTGTAAACAATTTAATTAAATCAACCTGTCCATAATATCATATTTAATGTATTGGACGTTAAATCTGTAATAAACAACAAACAACCAAATTCAAACTATTTCAACTGTGGTATTCATTCAATGAAGGTACAATTAGTAGAAGTCAGTTATTGAAAAGATGTGGAGCCATCTACGTGCCAACAAACTAAAGTACGGAATAAACAAAAAATGAACTAAATCAAAAAAATAGCTATTTGAATAGATATTAGAAAAAAAAAAAATTATTAATTAATAAACTGTTGATGTAATAAAGATTAATTTATGTTATTAATTATTTTATTCTTATAAATTGTTGATGTAATATAGATTAATTTAACAAATAATGATAAATAAAAAAACAATAAATTTAGTATTTTATTGGTCTTAAATCTCGGCCCACATACAAAAAAAACTATTGTGGGCTGAGTGGTCTTCTAAAACTTGGGACGAGTGGTGGTCTTGGGATCTGTTGTCTTTGGGATGAGTTATTGAGTTTTCATACGTTCCCTACAACACAATGTTGAAGTAATTAGTAAAGGCAGTTTCACAAACGACAAAATAATAATTTAACCAGCGGCTGCCAAGCAGGATACACCCACATTTTGCAAGAGATGGATAGAGAACAAGCTAAAAACAAACGCGATTTTTTGTACAATCAGGGGCAATAATCCAGAAAGTTCTGGTCTGAAATGCCCAAATATCAAAAGGGACTGAGATCTTTGGGATATAAAGATATGTTTGTGACCTCTAGAGGGTCCACAAATGTGGGAGTATCCTGCCTGGCAGCCGCTGTTTTTTTTATAATATTCATCCAAGTCAATTTTGATATAATTTGTTTTTATAATCTTCACCCAAGTCAATTTTAATTTCCACCCAAGTCATTTGTAATATAATTTTCACCAAAGTCAATTTTGATATAATTTGGTTTTTTTATAATTTTCATCCAAGTCAATTTTAATTTCCACCCAAGTCATTTGTAATATAATTTGTTTTTTTATAATTTTCACCCAAGTCAATTTTAATATAATTTGTTTTTCATAATTTTCATCGGAGTCAATATTAATTTCACCCAAATCATTTGTAATATAATTTGTTTTTTTATAATTTTCACTTAAGTCAATTTTAATATAATTTGTTTTTTTATACACCCAGATTGAAATGTGGTCGTATATTGTCGTCGCCCCCGTCCGTCCGTCTGGGGTCCTCAATTGCTTGTGGACGCTCTAGAGTTCAAAGTTAATATCCGATTGACTGTAAATTTATACACAGTGTTTAAGGTCATAAGACGAAGAAGCCTGTTGATTTTCAACGATTTCCGATTACTGACAAAGTTATGACCCTTGATCACTTAGAAAAATCTTGTGACGCTCTAGAGGCTAAAGTTATCATCCGATTGATACACAGAGTTTAAGGTCTTGAGACGAACAAGTATATTGATTATCAATGGATTTTTATGACTTGAACAGCTAAATCCATGATATTAAAAGTTTCGTATACTAAACATTAGCATGGGGCAAAACTTTATAAAAACCAAACAAATTCTAATAGTTTTCTGATAATTACTTCATGAGTTGTTACTCTTAATCAGATTTTAGTGTATTATAAATGTTTCATTATCGAAAAAAAAGGTAAAATATGCGACAACACTTGTTGACTGCCTGGGCGATTTAGCTGCTGTGGGCGTGTGTTTCATTACCTGGCAACCTATCTTTTTAAATCAGATAATAATTGTGACCTCTAGAGGGACTACAAGCTAAAAAAAAACATTTTTCATACAATTAGTGGCCATAATTCAGGAAGTTTGTGCGTAGACGTCTTTAGAGTGTCCACATGCAAAAAACGTGATTTTTCGTTTTTTTAAATCGGATAATAATTGTGACCTCAAGAGGGACCACAAGCTAAAAACACTATTTTTCATACAATTAGGGGCCATAATTCAGGAAGTTACGATCCGATATGCACAAATATCGAAAGGAACCAAGATCTTTGGGTTATAAACATGCATTTCAAGTTTCATCAAAATCAGATGAAAATTGTGACCACTAGCTGTGTATGAAAGTACTCTATAACTTTCATCAAATAGTTATATGTGTTCCTGTCGTAGTCTAGTTCCTGTATAGTTTAAGTTCCCATATTGTTGTTGTATGTATGTAATTGTAGCTGTTCTATATACCTGATGTAAATAAATCATATTTTTACTAAACTGATCTCTGTTATCACTAAGATAGTGTCCACAAGCTAAAAACATGATTTTTCGTACAATCAGGGGTCATAATCCATGAAATTATGGTCCGATGTATGCCAATATCGAAAGGAACCGAGATAGCCCTATATTTTGAATTTCGTCCAAATCGAATAAAAATTGTGACCTGTAGAGTGTCCACAATCAAATTGTGGACGGATGGACAGGGGCAACAACATTTAATGTACGTCGACATGAAAATGTGGGCGTATAATAGAATATATTTCCAGAACTAAATTCCAAATGGGATTACTCCTGGTTTACAAGACTGGCCTAACCAAGTGCAAATGAGGTTTGAATATATTTTGCCCGAACCACAATCTAAACTAATATATTTCATTCCCAATACCAGGTTTTGTATATATCAAGTTTGAAATTAGTCTTTACAATGTAATAAAATGGGTTTCATAATCTTTTAGGAAAAGATATTCCATTCATTGTCTATGAAATTTGGGTTATTTCAAGTAAAATAGCATCTATCCTCAGTTTTGATCTCTTTGCAGACTTTTAATGAGTGTGACAGTAACCACAAGGGATTTTTAACAAGAGAAGATTTGAAGATTGCTGTGATTACTCTATTTGGATATAAGCCAACAAAGGTAATAACTAGTATTTCAAAAAAGTATAAAACGGGAACATAATTCCAGATTGTCACCGATATCACTTCAAGGGAAGCAGGCTTTAAATAAAGTAATTTCAAACAAATTCAAGAAAGATATTTTTACAGTGCCGCTGCACTCCTAAGCTAACTTCAACTCCATTCAATTCAGTTATTCTGAATATTTCCATTTTTTAAAATTGGAATTGAATATATTGTAATTAATTTTGCAGTATGAGGCAAATAAAATTCTTGAAAAGTATGGAGAAAACATAGAATCTGGAGATGAAAAAGGTACCGGTATTAATATTCTTGTTAAACATATATTATGCAAGGGCCAAATCTGCCTATTGCAGGTCTTTCTTTAGGCCTGAAATCTTATCTAAATTATTAATTAGGCATTAATTAAACTTATCAAGACCATAATCAACTCCCAATGCCATCGTTAGCCTGCAATATCTAGTGGATTTGAATACGTTTTGTGATGGATGATTTAATGTAAAAATGGATAATGAAGACTTTATTTATTATTGTACCAACGGTAGTAATGACGATCGAGGATAGCTTAAAATCGTATCGCTTAAATCTTGGTTCAGAGTGAAGCAATTTGACTGAAATTTTCAGCATATTCTGTTTTCATTATCTATTTTTTAACTATTATAGCGAGAACTGTCAGCTCTTTATCTAATCTTACCTAATTCCCCCTTAATGTTTATTTTCATAGATAAAGTTAAGTTTTTCAGATTTAGATAAAGAGCTGGTCATGGCGAAGTGATGGGTGTTGGAAGATGTAGCACAGATTGTTTATTATAGCAACGTTACTTTTTAATTGAGACTCAGCCTCGCTTCTCCATTTTTAGATTTAATCATGAAATGATGAACATATTTCAATCTGTTTAAATCTCTGCCATTCCATGGGCAAGAGAGTTGATTATAGGCTTGTCAGGTGAAAATATGTCTTAATAATAATTTATATAACGATACAAGCAAAATAAAAACCTGTAATAGGCAGATTTAGCCCTTACATAATGCATCTATAAGATGTAACATCTTCATAGGGTCAATATAAAGGTAGCAAGATTCCCCCATTTTTTATACAGTACAGAGTACAGACTTAAAAAAAAAAAGTGTATTTTTAGATAATTTTACTTAAAAAATACTGATAGATACATAAGTAAATTAGTTAAACTTATCAGTGTAAAAGATAATATAACATAATTTAGTACTACTACTTTTTAATCAGTTTACACTAAATCATATCATTTTCACCCCAGTGCACTGTAGCCCTATCATCATACCATAGAATCTTAAATCAGCATTAGATGGAAATGGTAATATTAATTTAGACACATCTGAAAAATTTCAATATTTTGCACTAAAACGGTGGACACATTAGCCGAATCGTTTGGCCGAATCAATCCGCGCCAAATTTTATTCGGCCGAATGGGTGAAAACACTAGGCGAATGCTTCGCCCGATTTTGTCACATGGATGATAAGTGGTGATTGGCTAATGAATTCTACATTCTGGCGAATGCTGCGGCGAAGTGGACACACTAGGCGAATATAATTATTTAAATGGGTTTAATGTGATATGTTTAACAGAGACATGGTGCTCAAATGATATCAATCTCGAAAAATATTTTCCATCTTTTGATGTTCATTATTATGTGAGAGGTAATGGTAAAATAAGAGGGGGCGTTATTGTTTTAATTGAACAGAAACTGAGATATGGAGTGACAAGAATCAAAGAGAAGTTTGATGAATCTTTGTTTTTCTTGTTTGGTGCTAATTTCTTTGGATGGTCAGAGAGTGTTATATACTGTTTTTATTACATTGCTCCTGAACGATCAACAATTTACACAGATTCCAGTGGAATTGAGCTTTTCGAAAATAACGTTTTGGAAGTTTATGAAGATTATCCTGAGTGCCTACTTGTTATCACTGGAGATTTAAATTCTCGGACTGGAGATGGATCACAGCAGGATTTTTTAATTGATGATAGTACTAAATATTTTGATACCTTAGATGCAGCTGATTACAGTGTGGATACTTTCAGTCTCCCTAGAAAGTCCAAGGACTGTGAGGTGAACAATTTCGGATTAAGGCTTCTCACAATTTGTGCCCTTTTGAATGTCCATATAGTGAATGGAAGACATTCCAATGACAGTCCGGGAGAATTCACGTGCATAACATATAATGGGGCCAGTGTTGTTGACTATTTAATAGTTTCATCTGACTTTTATAAATTGATACAAAACTTTAGTGTTATAACCAGAACCGAATCGGACCATCTGCCCTTAGAATTTGAAATAGCATGTAATATTATTGTTGCGCCTGATACTTCATATGATACAATACAGTATGATAAATTGGTTTGGAATTCTGACAAAGCTGATGTTTATAAAGATAATGTGAAATCCAATTTACATACTTTAGTTTCTCAACTTTCAAATTCACATTATGATGAGATTGATAAACCTGTCCAAATGTTTTGTTCTTTCATCTGGCAAACTGCTCACGATATGGTGTATAAACCTATTAGATTTATGATATATCCAAAACGAAACAACCCAAATGGTTTAATCAGGAATGTCAGAATTTGAAAACTGAGAAGTATTTAGCACTAAATATATTTAGGAAGACAAACCTAGATATGCACCTTGACAATTATAAGGTGGTCAGAAATAAGTTTAAACACGTATGTGACTTGAGAAAGGTTGCATATAACCATGAACTTTGTGAAGTGTTAGAAAAAAGCTTGAATGATCCGGCTTGTTTTTGGAAAACCATTAAGAGCTTTAGGCCTAGGGCAACTATTTCTCACACTATTCAACCAAATGAGTGGTTCCACTATTTTGAAAATCTTTTGAATGTAACCCTTGATGATGCACAAACTGACCTTGTCTTGCAAGAAGCCCAATGTAACATTGATAGTTATACTGATCATTGCCAATGCCCAGAGTTATGTCCCCTAAATGATCCCATTTCAGAATCTGAAGTGAAACAGGCCATTACTAAAATGAAGGGTGGCACATCCCCAGGACCAGACGGGATTGGAATTGACTTTATTAAAACAATATCAAATGAAGTTACCCCAATTCTTACAATCATCTTCAATAAAATCTTCGACTCTGGTAATTTTCCAGACTCCTGGAGGAAAGCCCTGATCATACCACTTCACAAGAAGGGAAGTAAGCTTGACTGTAATAATTATAGAGGTATATCGCTATTAGACTCTGTTGGCAAATTATATACATCAATATTAAATAACAGACTTACTCTTTGGTCAGAATCCCAGGAAAATTTCCATGAAGCCCAAGCTGGCTTCAGGGGAGGTTACTCGACTACAGACCACATTTTTACTCTTCATGGCTTGGTTCAAAAATATCTAAGTAAATCCAGAGGTCGTCTATACAACTTGTATGTGGATTTCTCTAAGGCATTTGACTCTCTCAACCGACAGAAACTGCTCTCCTTGTTAATAAACAAGGGAATCCATGGTAAACTATACAAATCGTTGAAGAGTCTCTATTCTTTGGTGTCATCTAGTGTTAAGTTGGGTTTCCACATCACTGATTATTTTCATTGTACTACTGGTGTCCGTCAGGGATGTATTTTGAGTCCTATTTTATTTTGTTACTACATAAATCAACTAATTGATATAGTAAAAAATGGTGACGTAAATGGCATCTTCACAAGCCAAGATGTTGAAGACATTTTCCTACTACTTTATGCAGATGATTTGTGTCTTCTGTCTGATACTGTTGGGGATATGAGGAAGAAAATAAAACTCCTGGAAAAATTCACACAAAAGTTTGATCTATCTGTAAATCTATCAAAAACCAAAATTATGGTTTTCCGGAATGGCGGAAAATTACGAAACTATGAAAACTTTCACTTTAATAATCAACCTATTGAAATTGTTACCTATTATAACTACTTAGGAGTAATATTTTCCTCCAGGCTAAACTGGAGTAAGTGTATCCAAAATCTTGCTGTGAAAGCTGATAAAGCCCTTCTTCCTATCAAAAGTCTGATTAGGAAATCTGATTTTCCATCTATGAATCTATCTTTTAAAATGTTTGATACAATTATTAAACCCATTCTTTTATATGGGTCCCAAATTTGGGGGTTTGAATACCGATCAGACATTGAGAGAGTTCATGCAAGTTTTTGTAAGTTTTTATTACATATACATAAAAGCTCTAGTTCTGCTGGGGCCTTGGGAGAATGTGGACGACGGAATATGTCTATCGATTATATCTCAAATTGCATCAAATATTGGTGTAAACTTTTGTGTATGACAAAAGAACGCTATCCGAAACAGGTTTATATCCTTCTATGTAGACTTGATGAGATTGGTCGTGTGACATGGGTTTCGAAGGTTCGCATGCTCCTATGCTCTCTTGGTTTTGCTTTTATATGGAATTCTCAAACAGTTGGAAATATTAAGTATTTTATGTGTCAGTTTAAATTAAGATTAAGGGATATAAATCTTCAGGAATGGTCAGATAAAATTTCAAACTCTGAATCCCTCCAAATATATAAGTCATTTAAATTAGATCTGTCTCAGGAATCTTATTTATCATTACCAATAAGTGCACATATTAAACGGAATGTCACTTTGCTGAGATTGAATATATTGCCACTTGCAACTGTTCTTTTCAAACGAAAACAAATCACTTCCCCACTTTGTAAGTTATGTAAGGAGTCTGATGAGGATATAAGTCATTTCCTTTTCCAGTGTACAGTTCTGGCGGAACTTAGACAACAGATAATTCCCCAAAACTTTCTCAGAAACTACAGTCAATTCAGTCTAGGCAATCTTTGTAATACAGAGTGCCAAAATTACATAATTGCAATTTCACAGTATATCGATAAAGCTAGTCAGTTGAAAAAACGTTGATTGATATTGTTGACATTATTGATATTGTATTTTATTGTTATTGTTGTTACCACCACCATCTTCCCACATTTTTGTTAAATGATATTGTATTATTTGTATCTTTGGGTCCAAGACCTCTAAATACTGAATAAACAAATTATTATTATATATATAATTCGCCGAATATATGAAAACATGTTTGATTCGGGCGAATCATTCAGCCAAATGACAGTGGACACACTAGGCGAATTTTGACAGCAATTGATATAGATACTTGATATTTGTATTGAATTTTTTTTTTTTTAAAGCTCTTGGATCAAATAAATTTATTGAAGCAATGACCCCATATATGATTAAACGGGATGAAGATGAGGAAATAAGACATACATTTTTGGCATTTGATGCTCAATGTAAGTAAATACCTTACTCAACAACAGTTAATGAATGCCTGTATTGATAACGATTTAAATTATTTAAAAAAGTTAAAGCATGCAGATATTGTATCTGACTGTGCATGACAGTAAAATAGCAGTTGAAGACAGAACTTAAATAAAAAATATGGGTACTTCAGTTTGGGGCTGAACTTTGGATTCAGACCCTCTGTTGGGCAGGGGTACTGCATTTTCTAGTGAGTGTGAGGTATCTAGTCATCCACAATTTCTTCAGTGAAGTAATTGCCCAGAAAAACTCCTATCATAACTTGTTTAAAATTATGTTGTTTACATTTATAGGTAAAGGATTTCTAATATTTGAAGATTTACAGAAAGTAGTTCATCAGGTTGCCCCAAATTTACCATGTCATGTAATAGAAACTACATTCAAGTAAGTTTTCAACTTTTTTATACACCCACATAAAAATGTGGTCGTATACATGTATTGTCGTTGCCCCCGTCCGTCCGTCCATCTGGCGTCCACAAGCTAAAGTAAATATCCGATTGACTTTAAATTTATACACAGTGTTTAAGGTCATGAGACGAAGAAGCCTTTTGATTTTCAACGATATCAGATAATTACTGCCAGAGTTATGGCCCTTGATCACTTTGAAATATCTTGTGGTTGCTCTAGAGGCTAAAAGTTAATTTCCGATAATTACTGATAGAGTTATGGCCCTTGATAACTTTGAAAACTCTTGTGGATGCTCTAGAGACCAAAGTTATCATCCGATTGACTTTAGATTAATAAACAAGAGTTTAAGGTCTTAAGACGAACAAGTATATTGATTTTCAATGAATTTTGATAACTTGAACAGTTAAATTCATGATGTTAAATGTTTTGTATACTAAACGTTAGCATGGGACAAAACTAAAAGCCAAACAAATTCTAATGATTTTCTGATAATTACTTAATGAGTTGTTACTCTTAATCAGATTTTAGTGTATTATAAATGTTTCATTACCGACAATGGAAAATATATGCGACAACTCTTGTTGACTGATCGGACGACTTAGCTGCTGTGGGTGTATGTTTCGTTGCCTGGCAACCTATCTTTAAAAATATTCCTCACCCACCAAAAAGAAACAATCTAAACATAGCCAAGCATTTAGAATATCCACCTGGTTGTCCTCATTAGATGAAAGCATTGACTCATCAGTTGACTCTGTTCAATGATGAGCTTTTTCTGCTGAGGCTAAGCTCTCTGGATGGAAATTTTGCTCACAACTCCAGCTTTTACAAAATATTTTTAACATGCTTAACAGAGGCTAATTTTAATTAGTTTATTTTCAGTATTTTTAATATTATTTGTCTTCATATATTTTTTATATTTTGATTATTTTTCAGAGAATTAGACAGGGATGGTGATAAGAGGGTTAGCTATAAAGACTTTGATTTTATGATGAAATATGGAACAGAAAATTGAGCATATCAGTGAATAAAATGATATTTTACTAGTGAAATATAGAATATAAAAGTGTAATTATATATTATGTGTAGGGTAAAGCAAAAGACTGAGGTTATGATGGGGAAAGAAAGACTGAAGAAAATAACCTGAGAAAAAGAAAAACTGAGGCCGGCAGGCTATGGTTTTTCTGTCAAGGGTTTTTTCTGAAGTCTTTCTTCTCCACCATAACCAAAGTCGAGGATTTTATCTTGCTTATAAACCATCTATGTTTGCATGTGAATATCCCAGAATTCCAGTAAGAAAAACCTTACATCATGTTTTCTTATGGAAAAAAACCCTACCCTGGAAGGGTAACCCGTTACAGGTTTACAAAAAAAACTTTCAGAAGAATAACCCCAAATTCACAAGTATAATATATGCAAAGCCGTCACGACTTTCAGACAGCAAGTTATTCTGGACATAGAATATACCCTAAAGATCAAAGAGATTTACAGTTATAGGTTTATAAGTAGATATCTCTGTATTTATATATTTTGTTTCCTTGTTTTTGTATATTTTCTATTCAATGAAACTTTTTATTGAAGAATTTGTTTTATTTATTTTTAAATTTTAAAGATGCCATACAGAATAAAGCTAATATTTAAGCATATGTTCATGTTTTTGGATATGGTTCTGTTATCATTATGGCGATGTAAAATCAATTTTAATGTGCATGTATATTCTTTTCTCCCCTGTCCGAATGCCTGTCATCCACATATTGTTTTCAGAAGCTCTACAAATAATTTTATCATCTGATTGACTTTAAATTTATACATGTGACAAAGAAGCCGATGGATTTTCAAAAATGTCCTGTCATTGTGCTCTTATGAACACTCTAGATGCAAAAGTTATCATCCGATGACCAGCCCTGTAATCTGATGGTCTAGAGCATTAATTATGAGCTTGTCATATGATCAAGTAGATATTTTTGCAGAGAGTATAATGAATTACAGTAATCAAGACATAACATTAATCAGTAATTTTGTGATATTAAGATCTATAAATTTTAATGGTCAAATTTTTCCAATAATAGTGCACAGAATATACTGCAATACATGTAGGCCCTATGGTTAAATCAAATATTATTTGGTTAAAGGGGCATTAGGTAAAGAGCTGACTTTTTTAATAGTTAAAAAATAGATAACGAAAACAAACTATGCTGAAAATTTCAAATTGCTTTACTCTGAATTGAGATATTAGCCACTGAATTTTAAGCTAGTCTGGGTCATTACTGAAGTTGGTATGATAACAAAGTCTTGATTATCCATTTTTACGTTAAATTATAAATCACAAAATGTATTCAAATCCAGTGTATATCGCAGGCTATTGATGGCATCGAGAGTTGATTATGTTCTGGGTAAGTTAATTAATGTCCAATTAGATAACATTTCAGGCCCAAAGAATGACCCACAATAGGCAGATTTAGCTCTTGCATAGCATAATGCATGTTTAACCAACCAGGGAATATCTCAAAAACTTTCATGGATCTTAAATTATGGGAAATTGGTAAAAACACAAAATAAAAAAGTTTGTGTATATCAAAAGTCACCTTTAAATTAGTGTAAATGGGTATGTGAAATATCTGACCATATAGACATCTACATACTAACCTGGGATGCACAGAAGTGGGCGTCTGCCGGGGCCAAAAATGAGTTTACTCATACATTCGAGGTACCGGTCAAAACCAATTTTAAATGAAAGAGTACATCTCACTGAGTACGAAATTGCCCATAACAGACGATTTTGGCCCTGGGAAAGCCCAAACTGACACCCTAAATATGGACCCCCAAGGCTTAGAAAAGGGTGATATTCATACATTTGAGGTACCAGTTGAAACTAATTTTAAACGAAAGCGTATATTCCACTGAGTACGAAATTGGCCATAACAGACGATTGTGCCCCTGGGATGGCCCAAACTGACACCCTAAAGCCGAGGGGGGGGGGCCAAAATGAGATTACTCATACATTTGAGGTACCGGTCAAAACCAGTTTTAAATGAAAGAGTACGAAATAGCCCATAACAGACGATTTTGGCCCAAACTGACACCTTAAATATGGACCCTGGGGCTTTAAAAAAGACATATTCGAAGTAACAGTTTTAATGAAAGAGTACATCCTACTGAGTCTGAAATGACCAGACCCTCACAAGTTCAAAATGTTCCAATTTCAGAATCGCTGCCGGACAAATCGTCAGTCCACGCTGAATCTGTCGAGGAATTGTCATCGTATTCAGCTCCAACTATTACATTGCCAACTGCCTGTCGATCCGCAGTCTCTTCCCCGATATGAAAAAGATTAGTTGGTATGGCTGGCCCCTCGAACCAATCAGGAACAAAGCAACCATTTTCCACCTTCCATCCATAATTTGCAGGTTCTATGCCGTCAGTTGGATTCGTTGAGTCGGCTTTACCCCACATTATGCCAACGTAGTGAGGGCGGCGTATCTTGTTCCGCAAGGTGGGGGGTTGGATGGCTGAGTGGTTAGCGTGAGCGCGCTGTATCATAAAGTCTGTCATTGAGTCGACTGGCGTGGTTTCGAATCCCCGGTCGTACGTGACAAGGAGTAGGGTTGCCTGTCCAACCTCGTGGGTTTTCTCCGGGTCCTCCGGTTTCCTCCCACTGCTAAAGACCCCTACGCGGAAACGAATTATAGAAATAAAATTACACCATATGTTAGTCCCGAAATGACCTAGTTTGTGTCGAGTGGATGTTAAACCCCATTTCTCTATCTCTCTCTGTTCCGCAAGGTCTTAGAACATGGGGGGAGTAAAGCACAATCCGTTTTTTTTTATGTTTGCAAGCGGGTTATCCTGAAACAAATTCAAATTTAAAATTGCTTATTACAATAAAAGAAAAATCTACTGATGTTTTTACAGATCCTTGTCAGATATTTGACTGGGGTGTGGTGAACTTCTATAATGCTGTGGAATTGTCAACTTTATAAGTATTTAAAAGTATCAGACTGGATTCTCGCAGCTGGAAGAAATCAAGGATTGCCGGACATACATGAAAGCTGGCGCACTTTGAGATTATTATTTAGTACACATACCTGGTTTATTTTCCCAGTCATTTGAAGAATTTTAGTGTGTCTTGCCTCATCAACATTGTACATACAAAATGTGCTCCCTTCTTCTTATCTGGCTCTTCTACTGCAGTCAATCGTTTGTAGAATTCTATGAAGTTTCCCTCAGTAACTCCCTCGAGTACGCCAAACGGCTTCACCTTTCCCTTCCTAAAGAACGCTGACGTAAAGTCACAACCCGTAAACGCATGAAGTCCTGGCTGTGCTGCCGCCAATCCTGGTTGTTTTGCTTCTAATTCAGTTGCAATCGAATTCACGTCAATATATCGTCGAGTATTACCGGAACCGCAGTCCATTATGATACTAGTCAAATTGTCGTTTCCCATCTGTCTTCCTAGAAGCCCCAGCAAAATTACAAGCACATCAGTGTCCGATGCCCTTACCCATATGCGACCCTTCACATTAACCACATGGAACGCGATAAGTGTATCAGCTTCTTCGTGAACACTCCGGAGATGAAATTGGCGTTCAACCTTCATAATGGCTTCCGTAGCATTGAATGTGTAGTGGAAGCATCTGCCTCCATGGGAAACTACTAGACTTTTAGGTCCAAGAATAGGTCCATAATGACTCTTCATCCATTCATCAATCAGAAAGATTGTCAACTGATCTTTGAATATACATGTACCGTTCTTTAGCAACTGCTGTCCACTTTGCTTAGGTGACTGTTCTGGACCAGTAATCACGAATGGACGGTCTTCTGCTCCCCGCAATCGTCTGTCGCTCTTTTTGATTGATGACTGCACGTAGGTATCAAAGGGCACATGTATTTCACTACCGGCATTTGAGCAGATATGTGACAACAGATTTCTGGCAAGACTTCCATATGATGCAATGCTAGTCGTGGCAGATAGAAATGAGTGTAGTAATAGACCGCCGTAGACCACAGTTACATCAATTCGCGGTAGTTCAATTTGAGCAAATCTATTTTGCATTGATTCCAGCTTGTTCATAAGGTTGGCTTTGATCGTTTTCATGATTGAACCATCACCATTTGCAATCGACAAAGGGTAATCTGTGATAGGGAATTCCAAGACATGTTTCAAATCGAAATCAGTGCTCTCGGATACAATCACCATTATGCGTATAAATGTGTCCCCTAACCCCTCGGTCACCGGTTTCTCTTTTGGGAAAGATTTACGCTTCTTCTTTGCGTTTTCGGAGGCAAAATTGCAGACTTTCCTTCCCTGTATCGGTTTCATGAATCGTTTGTCATCTTCTGCACATTCCTCTTCAAACCTCATTTTGCCCTGTTTTAGAGTTTTGAGAAGATATTCTTTATTTCCATCGGCAGCAGCTTTCCCAGTCGCAAGATTCAGTAGATAATCTGTCGTCGATGCAGGGGCAGAGAACGGGTCGCAAGATTCAGTCAATGCTTCCATCAATGCATTAATGTGCGCATTATCTTTACGAACTCTATTCGGACGAAGTTGAGTGGCTGGTACATCTTCAACTACTAATCCTGTAAATTGACGCAATTCTGTCACTGCCACGCCTCGTTGGGTAGCTGTGATGCACTATCGTCGGATAGCATTTTCTGAGTTTTGAAATCCAACAATACCTCTCATTGGAGAAGCTGTTCTAATGTCAGGTCTACTGCAGTTCTCGAATAGTTCTTGTTTGTCATTCTTATGGAAAATGCACCCTTCTCCTATACCATTACACTATTTGGTGATACTGTGGCAAGCATAGTTTGGTCTATTGAGGCCAAAGAATATATCAAGGACAGCCGACAATATGGCGATGTAACCGTTGATATCATTTGTTCGTAGAGCCCTCATTAGGTCTCGGTGGACTCTGTTGATCATGAAGATGTAGATTGCCCAGTACTGAGCAGTTGGACCGAGTGCCCCTCCCATCACACTGTTGAAGTACAACTTGTATTGCTTCAGGTGATTGTTGAAGGCCTGCTTTGTGTCAATATACTGCTGTATATCAGTGTTATCTTCCGGGGCATTATGAAACAATGTCATCATTTCATCTCTTATTTCCTAATCGAGACTGTTGCAGAATTTGTCATAGAGTTTCCTCTCCATAACGATACCAAGTATCTCATGATTCCTGTTACAGCGATTGTAGAATTTACCACGTATGAACCCCATCATTGATCCCTCAGCCAATAGATGTACACCAGATTCCGTCAAAATGTATTCGACACCTGACTCATTTATATATGTACCTAACATACAAAACCATTTCTAGGTGAAAGTTGCCAAGCAGGATAAGGAGTCGGTCGAAGAGGGTGCATCAAGAGACTGGGTGGAGTATGCTTTTAGGGCAACAACTAAATCATATGTTACTGCAGCATATTTCTGTTTCGTTTCATCGGTTACACTTAGACTTCTCACCATCGTTTCCCGTACAACATCATTTCTTGTTGGAGAAGCTGAAATGGAATGGTCAAACACTAAACAGGACAATACTAATTGGCTATAAGGGGTGATAGCTTCCATCTGCTGAGAGAGTTCATTAATTTTGGGCATGAGGGGTGACAGTTTCTACAGGGTGTCAGTTTGGGCCGTCCCAGGGCCAAAATCATCTGTTATTGTCAATTTTGTACAGTGAGGTGTACTCTTTCATTTAGACTTGGTTTTGACTGATGCCTCGAATGTATGAGCATATATAAGTTATTTTTGGCCCCCTCGGCTTTGGGGTTTCAGTTTGGGCATTCCAGGGGCCTAATCATCTGTTATGGGTAAGTTTGTACTCAATAGGATAAACTATTTCGTTTAAAATTAGTTACAACTGGTACCTCGAATGTATGAATATAACCCTTTTCTAAGCCTTGGGAGTTTATTTAGGGTGTCAGTTTGGGCTTTCCCAGGGCCAAAATCGTCTGTTATGGGCCATTTCGTACTCTGTGAGATGTACCCTTTCATTTAAAATTGGTTTTGGACGGTACCTCGAATGTATGAGTAAACTCATTTTTGGCCCCTCCTCGGCTTTAGGGTGTCAGTTTGGGCCATCCCAGGGGCACAATCGTCTGTTATCGGCAATTTCGTACTCAGTGGAATACGCTTTCGTTTAAAATTAGTTTCAACTGGTACCTCAAATGTATGAATATAACCCTTTTCTAAACCTTGGGGTCCATATTTAGGGTGTCAGTTTGGGCTTTCCCAGGGCCAAAACCTTGAATGTATGAGTAAACTCATTTTTGGCCCCCCTCGGCTTTGGGGTGTCAGTTTGGGCCATCAGGGGCCCAATCGTCTGTTATGGGCAATTTCGAACTCAGTGGGATATATGCTCTTTCGTTTAAAATTAGTTTCAACTGGTACCTCGCATGTATGAATATAACCTTTTTCTAAGTCTCGGGGGGGGGGGGTCCATATTTATGGTGTCAGTTTGGACCGTCCCATTGCAGGGACAAAATTGTCTGTTATGGGCAATTTCGTACTCAGTGAGATGTACTCTTTCATTTAAAATTGGTTTCAGCCGGTAGGCTACCTCGAATGTATGAATATAGCCAATTTTGAGGGTCATTCTAGGGGTCACCAGGGTCACACCCATGGACTGGACCCCGGCAGACGCCCACTTCTGTGCATCCCAGGTTAGTATGTAGATATCGGTACCTCGTTCGTCTAGGTTCGACCCTCTGCATTAGTCTTCGCAGATATTATTATTACAGCATATTTATAGCGCGCCCTTTCATACAACATGTTCAGGAGCACTTTACAAAGTGACAATGTAATCCTAAATAAACAAAACAAGATTATGGACATGTTAACGATTGTATTAGTATACAGTGTCGGTTAAAAACTAAATGGTAGATTATTCCATAAAACAAGATGCTTGATAACTAAAAGAGCGCTGAACACACGAGACTAGTTGAACAGTTTTGGAAGCTTATCTGATACGTAATCTTCGGCCAGGTGTATAAAGTTCTAAAAGATCTGAGATAAACAGGAGCTAAACATTTAAAAGTAATAAAATCTTAAAATCAATTCGATATTTAACAGGTAACCAGTGTAAATTATATAAAATGGGAGTTATGTGGTCGCATTTCTTAGTTAAAGTAACAAGTCTAGCTGCAGTATTCTGTACTTTTGTAATCTAAAAGTGAATTAAAGTTATCTAATCGAGAAGTGACCAGAGAATTAACAAGCTCTACAGTTACAAATTTACTTTGGCATTTTACCCATATTTCTGATATCAAAATAGCACAATATACAAATATTATTTACTAGAGCTCCCATAAGCATAAAACTATCAAAGATTGCGCCAATATTACGGGCAGAATAAGATGGAAATATATCACAATTACCAATTACAACGGCGGGGGGGGGGGGGGGGGGGGGGGTGCAAATTTACTTAATTGATGCCTTGAGAGTAGGCCTAATAACAACTATTCGGTTTTGTCATCATTCAATTTTAGAAAGTTCTTTGACATCCATTTTCTCATTTCACTAATCACTAATACAGATCTCAAGTTCCAATTTTGATTTATAAATTGAAAGATGGACAATTAGGTGTAAATGAAATATAATTGAGTATCATCGGCTGAGACCACATTTTCTGACAATATTACCTAATGGTGACCAATTAAGGTAAATAAAATCGGACCAAGAATAGAACCTTGACGAAGACAGATTGATATTTAATTGGTCTACTTGGGGTGGGTTTTTAACATTTTTTGGGCGTGATGGGGGGGGGGGGGGGCACTACGATAAAGGATGATAAATTATCAAATATTGATAATTAATAGGCTATAAGATATGAGTTGAAATAATGAAATAATATTGGATTTGGGTAAATTGTGCTATCACCGAAACGTCAGGTATCATGGACGAATTATTGGAATAAAATTTACCATGTTAACAATTACTCCCGATATTACCTGGTTTGTGTCCAAAGGATTTTAAAACCCTTCTCATCTCATTTTTCAACACAAGATCATTCATAATTGCTTATAAAAAATAAAAAATCTCATTCCAGTACTTTGAAAATTGAGGGGGTCACGGGTGGTTAAGTCAAGTGGGTAAGACACTGACTCGCTAACCCCTGGAGGTCGGGTGTTCGATCCCTGCATTGGCCGAGAAAGTTCATCCAGATTTTCCGGCGTGGTTCACCCTTGTCAGTGAATAGATGCAAGACGGGTGGCCTGACGACCGCTGTCTATATAGTCGTTCGGATAGGGCGAAAAACCGAGGTCCCGTGTACACATTGGCGTGCACGTTAAAGATCCCTTGACAGTTGAAATTCGATATAAGAGTGGGCCGTAGTGCCACTGTTTGGGAAAAAAATTCCCCTCATATAGCACACCCTATGGCGTATACCCGTCTTCATTAACCCAGTTCGGAGCAGAACAGTAGGACGTTAATAATAATAAACTCCATTTCATTAATTCATTGCATTGAAAATTGACCTGCAAGAGCAAGACTGCATTTATTAAAGTTAAAGTCGATCTCGGCTACACAGTAATTATGATAGCAGCCTTTTAGTATTTTTGAAAATTTTAGTATCAAACCAAATAAAATAAAACCCTAGGAAACACTGTGAACAAACAAATAATGATTATAATTACAGAACATGTTGTCAATATGACTTGTACTTGTAGTTGTACCAAAGAATTGTATGCTTGTACGAAACAGACTATACGAAACCCAGCCGTAAAACAGATTAACTAATCAGAACAGTCCTTGTAGCCCTACAGGATTTTTAGCCAATCAAAATCAAGCCCGCCAAGCGTCCTGTGAGCGTCACTTCTAAAGTGTATTACAGAATTTCCCGTTAAAAGAAGCAACCACGATCCGTGTTATTTACTACAATTTTACGGTAAGTTGTTTGTGTTGATTGCTGTGTGGTATTCGTCGTGTAAAGAATGCATTTTATGATATCCCCAATTGAAAACATCGCAAACATCACAGAGTTTATAGGATTTCGCTTATGTTGTCTGAACCACTGACAGTGACAGTAAAAAAAAAATGTAAACAGTTTGAGTTTGCAACTCTGCCAGCCCACTGGCTGAAGAGTCTTATTGTATTATCTGAAGTGAAACGCCAGTTACGGAACAACGGCTTTGTTCATTGAACCCGATCAAAATATTACAACATCTCAGTTTGTTAGCGGTCGACTCCCGACATGTTGTGCCATGATTTGGCCATTTGGATTTTAAAAATGTCTTGATCTAAGTCTATAAATAAGTTACATTAAATTCTAGGTTAGGCCTAGTCTGTCCATATGATTTAGCTGTAACCATGCGGCGTAGGCAGGGAAGGAAATAAGAAGTTTATTTCCTATCGATGACGGCTCTCATTCATTGGACCTAAATAAGTAAATTGTCGTTTCCTCGTTGTTCATTCTAAAACCATTTATTTGTAACACATCGCTATTTATACGCTGGGTAACAATGAATAACCCCATCAAAGAGCGCCTTGTAACAATTAAAAATATTATTGAAAATATTCACGCGTAGAAAAGAACATAAAATTTCCTATAATATTTGCATATTAGGCCCTGTTCTGTGTCCAAGATTGATAAAGGAAATTTATAGCCAAACATTACTTCGAAATCTGTGTATTTGTTTTTGTGTAAATTCTGTGTGGTGCAGTCCCCCTGCACTTACTATTAGAGACAAAGAATCCTATGGATTTTCAAGGATTTCCAATAATTACTGCCAGAGTTATGGCCCTTGATTACTTTGAAAAATCTTGTGGGTGCTCTACAGGCCAAAGTTACCATTCGATTGACCTTAATTTATGCACAGATTTTAAGGTCCTGTGACGAACAAGTATATTGAATTTCAAAGAGTTTTGAGTACTTAAACAGCTAAATCCATGATATTAATTGTTTTGTATACCCGGTACTGAACATTAGCGTGGGACAGAACAAGAAGCCAAACAAATTCTAACGATTTCTGATAATTACTTTTAATGAGCTGTTACTTGTACTCAGATTTTAGTGTTGTAAATGTTCCATTACCGACCAAAGAGAAAAATATTCGACAACGTTGTTGGCCTCCTGGACGACTTAGCTGCTGTGGGCATATATTTTATTGCCTTGCAATCTATCTTTGATTGGGTTTACAAGAATATCAATTCTGAAATTACGCCCTCAGTTGAGTTCAGTTTTGCCTTGGTTGTCAGGCAAATTTGAAATTATTTTTCTATGAATTAATTAAATGTCTTTGAATTACATGTAAACCTTTTTCTCTCTTTTTCACTTCATTACAGGGATCTGAATTTTTTTATTTAAAGAATCACAAGTCTGAAAACAGTAAAAATGCCAACCACTCCAAGGCAGTCGGTAAGTCAAGTATTTGGCTTGCATAAACAAACAGCTGACAAATTGTTTTTATTTTGAGGAATACATTTATATACAACACTACATATTATATTAATCACATTTTCTAGAAGGCACAACAATGACATTTTTCTAACATGTAGTTCTAATGTGTTTCTGTCAGACAGTTGAAAATTCTTTAAATTTCTTGAAATTTATTAGGTCAGAGAAACAGCTGTGAGCTGAGTAGAGCAGAAAGCCCTGTAACTGGGGACCACAGGACTAATAGTTTACACTAGACATGCTGTATAGGTCAATTTATATCCAGGTTGTTTGTGTTCAGATAATAGGAGATTCAACAGCTCCATAAATATCTCCTTGTCAGAGAGGCATATCCAAACCATTAACTCCCTTCTCATTATTATTTAGTTAACATGAAATTTGACTCCAGAAATTACCAGCCCTCCTTTGGCTGCTCACCACTTGACTTTATAAATTGTACATTTTTAAGTGAATGTTTGCTTTAATTTGTATAAGCTGATTTATTTTAAACATCTACTCTAGTAAGCAGATTTATTGGGAAAGGTTTGAAATAAAGTTTCCGATATAAGATGATTTAGAATTAAAATTAATGAATGAATTAGGATACATATATAAGCTTACACACCATGACATCCTATTGTATGCTAGAAGTAGACACTGTAATTTTCCTGTAGTTGAAAATATGCATGCAGCGTCCTATTTTCTGTTTTATTTATAACTTGACCATTCTCAATTAGTTATTTTTGAATTAATGAATAAAGCTTTGTACCGTTGTGTAAACTAAGTACTTTTCTTGTTTTGTGTACAAATAGTTAGGGATCATTCTAAAAACCAGTAACCACACACCCAACTGTGTAGTGTAAAATTATTATTGCAACTTAAAATTTTACAAAGTCAATGAGTAAACTTTTTCATTCACTTTTTTTTCCGTTGACATTGTATTGTACTATTAAAATGGAGTTGTCACTTTTTTAGAACAGACTATACTTTGGCAGTAACAACGCTGAGGTCATAGTTCATTTCGGGGTCAGAAATGTTTGGGGTCAAATGCATATGGTGATTAATACCATAGATCAGACGATGTTTTAAGACATGGTCTGCTGTAAGTCATTATACGCCTATTTTCTCAAGTGTATGACATTATCTGAAGAATAAAAGAAAGGTAGTTATAGAATCTAAAAGTAGTAGGACATGTGACAGTCACTGGATTAGTTTCAGTTCTAAAGTTGAGTTAGCTGTTTATTTTTATTATACAATGGATAAGTTATCTATTTTTGTAGGGGTTATTATTGTTTGTTGGATTGAGGATTTGCATTCATGATATTACAATTTGATAAAATGTGAAATTGATTTATTCACCATAATATTTTTCAGCGTAAATCATCAAAATCTCCGGGTAGAGGTCTAAAAAAGACCACTAGTGGACGATCTAGAAGTCGCAGTAAAAGTCGAAGCCGAGCCACAAAATCTGCTGGAAAATCTCCTGCTCGTCCCAAGGCCAGTAAATCACCAGCTCCAAAGTCAAGAACACCTGGAAAATCACCCGCAAGAACACCCCGGGCATCTAGAACACCAAAAGCAGCTACCCCACCTGTTCAGGAAGATAAAGTAGATAGTATTAGACCCAGAACACGTTCCCGATCTCGTACAAGAACCCCAGTAGACGTAACATCTGTTAGACAGTCGGCAAGAATCAGTGCCCTAGTTGAAAGAGAGGTAAAACAAAACTTGAAGAAATTTAAGTCATATTAATATAGTTTGTAGATGTATTTCATTCCTAGGAAGAATTTTTTTTGCCAGATCTAAATAATATTTATTCCTAGGTTTTGATGAAACGGTCATGTAGATTATTAAAAAGAATTATTTTATGCCCTAAAATTAAAACCTTGAAATTCAATGTAGGTTTGGAATTAAATAATGATTTTGAGCTTTTCTTTTGGCATGTTATTTTTTTCTATTTGAATGTACCGATTAGAAGCAAGAATCAAGTAAGATTGTAGCACAGTTAAGATCAGAAGTACAATCTAAAATGTCTGATATAAAAGATAAAGCTGTAGAGAAGACCAAGAATAAGGAATTTGGTGGACCAATAGGAACATTCTTACTAGTCTTATTATTACCAACTGTAGTATTTCTACTCAACTTTGCTTGTAATAAGGTAAGATTTGAAACAACAGTATAGGACTACTTTTGACCAAACTGATCAGCAGTGAATATTCGCTAGACCACTACAATCACTGAAAGGGATGGCATTGGTGGAAGTTAATTAGCTCACAATATTAACTTTTTTTCCTTCTGCAAATTAAATTCCAAAACATTTTTTTTTTTTTTTTGAAGTATTAGAAAAATAAATATCTGTGTTTAAAGTATATCTGGGTAAAAATATTGCCTATTTACACTGTAGTGTAAATGGGTACATACAATAGATGTAAAATGAGTAAAAGGCACCATTCTGCCCAGACCGGTTTACGTTAGGCATGTTTTACTTGCCAATGGTCGATGCTGTGTGATGTGGATGTCACACGTAGAATGCATGCAAACTTTTAAAGGTCAGTAATCTTAAACAGATTTAGAAGAAGGCTTTCGTTTTACCACTGTGAAACAGATTGACTTTTGATGTGAACTAAATTGGACACAGATTCCAATAACAAAATTTATATCCCAAGTATAATTTCTATAAATCTAGTATGGACAATGTTTAGAGAAGTAATTAATTGGTATACATCTTTTATCAACAGAAATGTCTTAGCATTTTTACATAGCAAGGAGTTTGATTTTTTTTATCTTTGTATAGGAAAATTTTTTGAAATAAAAGTAAAAGTTTATTTATTTGTTTTGCTTTTCAGAAAAGATGTACCATCATGGAAATACCCAAATTACCTAAAAGTCTATCTTACTTCTTCGATCTACAAGCTACATATATCTTCTTGGGTTGGTTTGCCTTTCAAGCTGTATTAGCTGTCTTACCCATAGGTAAACTTGTAGAAGGTCAACCATTAAAATCTGGCGGAAGACTTAAATACAGATGTAATGGTAAGTTAGTACACAAATTAATAAATTATTATGTAAAGTTAATATAAATCTGGTGTTTTCTAAAATAATCAAAATAAAATCAGACACAGAGACTTCCCAAGTCGAGTCAAAGTTAATTTGTAAGACTTTGCCACATACTTTTGTTAGGTTTAATTGATTTTCACACATCTACAATTAATTATTTTATGGAGAAACTTATTTTGATGTCTGAATTTTTCTTTTCAGGTTTCTTTGCCCTGATTATCAGCATAGCAGCATTTGGAGTAGGTGTATATTACAAGCTACCTTTGGACATTGTTCATGCCAAATTTTTCCAGATTATGACAGCTGCTACACTCTTTAGTGTGTTACTTAGTATTGCTTTGTACGCAAAGTCCTTAGTTATACCGAAAAATAAACTAGCACCAGGAGGAAATACAGGTAATACATGTTGATATTGATAATAAGAGCCAATATTCAACCGGCTTTCATACCAGTGGAACATAAAAAGATGTATGATCTATACAAGCATAGTATACTTGCAGGAAGGACTGCACCAAACATAATAATTCCAGTAACAGGAGTAGGAGGACAAACATTTTAAAAAATATTAAACCGTGTATAGCTCTAACTCAATATTATCCATACCATACTATTGGTCCATTTCAATCAAAAAAACATTTTAAAATCAGTTCCTGACATTGGGTTCTCTATGACTCTGTATACAACTGTTTAAAGTTCAAAACAATAAAGCTATACACCCTTTAGGTCTAATTTTAGTATCACTTTTACAAGTAAAATTATGTGTTACATTGATAATTATTGTAGCACAAATTAGAAATTTCCTTGATTCTGATTGGTCGAATGGACAATAAACCCCCTCTAAATTATAAATATGACTGTACTTTTTATACGCTCTCATTGAAATGTGGTCGTATGAAATGTGGTCGTCGGTCTGGCGTCCACAATTGCTTGTGAATGCTCTAGGGGCTAAAGTTAATAGAGACAAAGAAGCTTATTGGTTTCTGATAATTACTGCCAGAGTTATGGCCCTTGAATGCTTTGAAATAAATTGTCAGTATCCGATTGACTTTAAATTTATACGCATTGTTTAAGGTCATGAGATGACGAAGCCAATTGATTTTCAAATATGTTCGTTACTTACTGCCGGAGTTAAGCCTTTGACCTCTTTGAAAAATGTTGTAGTATGACGAGTCAGTTTTAGATAGTATTTAATGTGTCATGGTTAATATCAATTAGTTTAGATAACAGACCTCATCTCTCAGCCCCCCTTGTTTCGAGATAAGAGATGGTGCAAAACAGTTCCATGTAGCAGAGCCTCTATGCAAATTGCATCAGGCCTTAGTAAGCAAAACTGACAATATTTTTCATCAAAACAACGATTGATTATTGTTATTTATTACATTTCTAGCACATCCAACAACAGTTAAGCATATAATCCTATCTGAAACGGGTATAAATCAGCGTATTTTTAGCTTGTCTCTCTAGAGGTCGCAATTATTATCTGATTTAAAAAACATTTGAATATATCACCGTTACACTGTATTGATGCTTGAGTTCGAGTGGCTCAACACCTAGGGGTCGGGCATTCACCCAAAACAATAGGATCATCCTTAGGGTGTAAGAAATAGGTATGTAAAGAATTACGACCTGTAGGCGTCATAAAGACACATAAAAATTGGGCGTTGCTCTGTCCCAGAGGGTCGGGCATTCACCAAAAATAATAGAGGTCATCCTTAGGGTATAAGTATGAAAAGGTTTCAAGACGATCCATTAAGAATTGCGGCCTGTAGGCAACACACAGATACACAAAGTGAAAATGGGCGTGGCTCTGTCCTGGGAGGTTGGGCATGTACCAATGATCCGTTAAGAAATTTGTCCTGTATATGACAAATACAAAAAAAATGGGCGTGGTCTGCCTCTGTGGGTCGAACATGCACCAAAAATAATAGGGATCATCCTTAGGGTATAAGGAATAAGTATACAAGGTTTCAAGACAATCCATTAAGAATTGCACCATGTAGGCGACCCACAGACACACACATACACACACACAGACAGGGGCAACGGCATAATAGGTCCACATTATGAATGTGGCCGTATAGAAATATGCGACAACACTACTTGACTGCCCGGACGACTTAGCTGCTGTGGGCATATGTTTCGTTGCCTGGTTAATTACTGCGTATAAATATAAAAGTGTATTTTTTTTCATTTTTGTGCTCAATGGTCTTTCTCAGTTCAAATCTTTATTGACAAATATCTTCAAGAAATTTGACACACATGACTATCACACCATTTTCAAACATCATCTTTTATAAAAACACATTCCTGAAATACAATAAACAGTAGAAAATCAGTCATGAATTTATTAAAACCATTTTCGGGTATCCAAAAATATTCGTAACTAGGCAGTGACAGCATGGACAATATTTTTTTCTTTTTTGGTCGGCAGAATTTGTTTAAATCTAGCTTTGATCAAATAAATCATTAGTCACAAGAAATCGCTTGAAAATATACCATAATGAGGTAGTCAAAAATAGCATCTGAAATATATGCCTAATTATATTTGCCAAACAGTTAGAATCATAGGCTAGACATCACTGTCATAGTTTTATAGGTTATTTTTGAGGATGTAATTACGAACTGCAATTGTGTGAACAAGAACTAGATTAACAGTCTGCAAATATAATACTAAAGGCTGAAAACTTACATGAAACTCCCAAAGCATGTCATCTTTGTCATCGAGAGTTGCTCCTCTTTAGTCAGACATGGTTTTGATTCCCGGTTGCACGTGACAAGGAGTAGGGTCGCCTGTCTAACCTCGTGGGTTTTCTCCAGGTCCCCTGGTTTCCTCCGACTGCTAAAGACCACTATGCGCAAGTGAATTATTGAAATAAAATTGAACCATATCTTAGTCCTGAAATGACCTGGTTTGTGGACTTTAAACTCTCTCTCTCTCCCTCTCTCTTTGTCCTTATCCCAATAACATTTTCTTTCATAATTCATTTACCAGCAACTCGAGACTCGAGCATTTTAAATTTGCAGGAAAGCGAGGACTTTCTAAAATGGGTGTAAAAATGTTTTCTTAGTTCCGAAGAAAGTCATGTCTCGTGTTCTAATGATTCAAACATGGTTAAATGGACAATAAACCCCCTCTAAATACGAAACAGGAAGTGTTTATATCCTAATTGAATGTCAAATATTTTAATTCTGGGATACCAGTATGACTCCAAAGATTCACTTATTCTTCAAGTAGTATGTAAATGTATTGCAAGTCTAGCATAAAGTTTTGTGTAAAATGTATTTGAATATTGTTGTATTATTTTATTTTAGGAAATCACATCTACGATTTCTTTATGGGACACGAGTTAAATCCTAGAATTGGCACATTTGATTTAAAGTTTTTCTGTGAATTGAGACCTGGTCTGATCGGATGGGTTATGTTTAATTTGATCTTCGTATACAAGGCTTATCTAGAAAACAACAAAGAATTTCCACCAGCTCTAACACTGGTGGCTGCTTTCCAGATTTTCTATGTAGCTGATGCTCTGTTTGCTGAGGTGAGAAACAGTTTTCATGTTACATTTTGATTATCAAAACTGTCTTTTTCTAGATAATTTTCAATAGATTAATCCAGACTTAATAATACTAAGGCTACACAAAATAAGTGTCTCGGGCAAATGACAGCTGAAACTGTAGGGGGGGGGCGGTTTATTTTTTTTTTTATCTCATTTCTGGCTAGAGGATGATGCAAAATAAAATTTGCCTATTGTTGAAAATTGTTGGGGCGGGAGGACGGCCTTGTATTTTTTTTTTTTTTAATGAGAAAGTCATTACTTGTCTACGGTTTTGCTTTCAGTTATATATTATAAATACTTAGAACATAAACCCAAAAATCAAGTCTACTCAAACACTGAACACTGACTGAAAGGAAAATAATTTTCCATATTTAATTCATGTAATGTAGCTTACTAATGGTAATGGTGACAACCATAATTGAAATTGGTTTAAAATAAAATTCCGTACGACTATTAATAGCCGTCCATAATAACGACAATATTTTAAAGAGTAAGCCTCTGTCAGCATGTGTATCAAAAATAATCATCACTGGTTTATAATGATTGACCTAATTCCAACCAATGCATGTCAAGTGTCATCGGGATTCGGGAAATGACTGTTTCTCAGGTTATTCGGTGTGTTTCTCAGGATATTCGGTGTTCTATCTGGGGTTTATATCGAATGACTATTTAAATTTAACTAACAACTCGTCAGTAAAACCATCAAATGTGTAATCCAATTATTATTTTCCGGATTATCAAAACTACCGTTAAATGTGCTAATGACCCAGATTCTGACTAAGGTATGGTGACTATCATCGTATCGTATTCGTAGCCACAAGTTATAATAATTAACCTATTCTACGATTCATTGTTTTATAAGTAGGATTTTTTCAAACATGGACCGACTGAAGCCGGCAATAATGAGCCCATTAAGATCGAATGATTGAAATACATTGCATTGTTGTCAATGACTTTCGATGTTTAACACAATCAAATTTTAGTTCACAAGGGGAGGTAATTAAAATCACGTGATACAAAAATGGAGGTTCTTTCGATATCAATAAAAAAGACCCGTAAATGAGCGTTTACATCCGAATCAGTTTAATACATTTGAATGGATATTCACGTATGGGGCATGTAGATACATGCGGCATATTTTTTTTTACGACTTGCTTATCGATGTTCGGGCGGGCGTTACATATTTTTTATTTTTCATCAAGACTAACAAATAGGCCGCACATGCAACCAATTTTGCGTGCGGGCGGTGCCCGAGAAACAACTTATTTTATTTGTGTTGCCTATACTGAAAAATTGAACTAGTAAAAATTATTATTTTTGTTTAACTTTAGGAGGCTATTTTGACAACAATGGATATAGTACATGATGGTTTTGGTTTTATGTTGGCATTTGGAGATCTTGTTTGGGTACCATTCTGCTACAATCTACAAACACGATTCTTATTAGAAAACCCACAAAACAACATGTACTGGTATTGTTTAGCAGCTATTGGTGTTCTTAATGGTAAGTAGAATATCTATAGTGCCCCCAGATCTTCCTTTGTAGTATATAAACTCATTGCTGTAGAAACTGGAGTTTATTAGAAATTAAAAATGATTTTCTAGGCATTAGACATCTGTATTATTCAATTCTTAGATGATACATACTGGTATTTCATTTCTATTAGTTTTTTTCAGAACCCGCTTATTAAGAATTAAAGTGAAGAGGGAACATTGTTTATTTCATTATTTTAGTGAACAACCATTATGCTAAAAGTCTACTTTTATATGTATTTATTTGTTTCAGTTATTGGTTACTACATTTTCAGAGGATCTAACTCACAGAAAGATGCTTACCGAAAAGATCCACATAATCCAGCTCTTGCTCGTAAGAATTTTTATTCATTACTTCAAAACATATTTACATGTCTGATCAGTGCAGTGTGCCAAATTTACTCATGTGTGAAGTCTTGATGTCATAACATCCTTTTAATAAAAACCTGCATATAATGAGCAAGAATTTGATTAAAATAGCATACAATCATATTTTATGATCTTTAAACAACAGTGTCATGTGTATTAACATTTTACAGATCTAGAGACAATCCCAACATCTACAGGACGACGATTACTGGTATCTGGATGGTGGGGACTCTGTCGTAAACCTAATTATTTAGGGGATCTAATCATGGCAACAGCCTGGTCCATGTGCTGTGGTAAGTAAAATATTGGAATACATAATTGTTTTTTTTTTTATTAAAGTAATTAAAAATCTGTTGAGTGGTGAACAGCCTTCCCAGATTCCTCAAGAAATTTTCCTGCCACAATGATTTTAATTGCCTGAGTACATATAACAATGCTTAGAAGGCAAACATGCCTTTTCAAAACGAAATTAGGAACACTTCACAGACATTAGACATAATTGACCAAAACTGGTTGCAATACATGTTAACTTCAGGAACCCCAAGTAGAAATGTTATGATTAAAATAATTGAGCTTTTCAAGATTGATCTTGATATTGGCAAAAATGATACCACTAGAAAAGCCCATGAATTCAAATGGATTCACACTTTTAAGAACTTTTGCACCAGATGAAAGGGTCCACACTCCATTTGTTTACTTACTATGATTAATCCAAAGATTGTTTGTTGAATCAGAGGTATAAAAATATGATATTTTTTTTTTATTTTCAGGATTCCATCATGTTCTTCCATATTTCTACCCTATCTATTTCCTAGTCCTTTTGATCCATCGTGGAATGCGTGATGATGTTATTTGTCGAAAGAAATATGGTGCTTCTTGGACTAGATATTGTCAACGTGTTCCTTACAAAATCATCCCATATGTATATTAAAAAACATACATTGTTTTAGTTTCAGGGTCAAAGTTGATTGTTAAGTTTTCATTAATCAAATATTATGGTTTTTAAAAAAAATTAAATCAGAAAAAAATCACTACATTATTAAATACATCTAATGTAAATTCATTCATAGATTAAGAACTGAAAGTTTTAATTTGTAACAGGTTTCCAGTATATTTTTAATTCTACATTGGTTATTGTTATTACATCAAAACTCGTGTACAATATAATTTCATATTTATTGTTACTCATAATTATATTCATTGATATTATATATATATGTAAATGTCAATTTATTTGAAATGAACTATAACATTGAATAATACATGTATATGGAATTTGTAGAATTTATAGCAATGATTTAAATTCTAAAAGTTATTTGATTTTATCATTGATCTTTTTTTAACAGATAGAAAATAAATTCATATTATTTGTTTAATGATTGTAAAATTATAGAATGACTCGAATTTTATTACTTCTCTTCCAATATATTAACATCAAATGCTCACAAAGACGATCCATAGTTTGCACAATAGATTTATTTTTATTGATATCAAAATGAATGTATTTTATTTTATTCTTGATTTTGAATTGTTCATAATTTAATGATAGCAGCCTGACATTAATATAGTCTTTTCTTTTATCAGTATTTTTAACCCATGTTTTCTTCCCTGTATTGCAAATTTTACATCGTTATATTTTGATGGACATTTATATTATTTCATCTAAAGCCTCAAGGTAGACAAACATTGTTTAATGGACCAATTGATTACTCCCAATGAAAATATTTGGTGTTGTAAACTGTGGGCTATTCACAAAAGTATACTACCTAATAGTCAAGTGGTTTGTTTTGTTGGGTTTTTTTTTTTTTTTTTTTAGCTTTTTGACATTTTAAAAGGTATATTAGGGTATTTTGTTATATCCTATTGTTTTCATTTTTATGTGCAATTTGGTTGGTATTTTTTATTGTCCCATTGTTTGTAGATGAACTCTTAGTTGTAAATAGATGAGCTTTATTTCATTGTTATGTTGCTTGATCATTGGAATGCGAACTTTTGAATCAAAATAAGTTCACCAGTTGCACTAGACTTGTTATAAATGGAAAATAGAAAACTACACAAATGCTGTAGTTCCCCACCAATAGTATGATTATGCTACTTGCCTATAAATGATTATTATGCTTTCAAGTAAAATGTCACCCACTCTTGCTAAATGAGACAAATGCCGCAGGCCCCCCTTTTCAGAATTCAGCATGAAACATTGACATTAAGAATAAAGAAAATATCTGTTTGGAATGTTTTGATGTTTACTACTTCAATGTGAAATATCTCTGTTAATTTTTTTTTAATGATATATGCATACGTCATGTACCAATTTAAAGATTTTTTAATAGATATGCTCCATTTCGTTATTTTAACCCATGTGTCACATTTAGCTAGAGCATGTCACAAATAGGAAAAGGGTGTAATATATATTTAATGATAATTTAACATGTAATATATTTATATCTGTAGTGTAGAATATCTCTGGTTTACTCATGTACACTAGTGAGTAGATGTGATTGAATCAGAGATATTGGACTATGATGTATTGTTGTATAAATATTTACAATGAAGTAGTCTAAATAACATAGTGCTTTACCATTACATTGAATATGCTTCCAGCAAATACATAGTACCACAGAGTAATAAATAGTATCAATTAAAATGCATGTATTCAAAAAAGCTTTACATCATTTTTTAGTCGTAGATTTCATCAGTCATCATCGTTGTGTATGTTTCATCATGTCATTTGTATATTTTTGCTTTTGATTTGTAGGCATTTGACTTCGTAAATGAGCCTGCCATAAACAAAAAATATAAAAACAAGTAAAAATTCTCTGAATTAGTTTGTTTTTGTTTACTTTATAAGATACTAGCAGATGACCTGGCGCTGCATGGGGTCGGTTGTGCCTATAACTCTGAAACCGGAAGCGGTAAGACCTGTGTTACTCAATGCCGAATCATTGTCAATGAGCCCTGTTTCTCGAAATCTTAACTAAAGTTAAAATCAAAATTTTAGTAGATACTTCAATTTTGATTTGCTAAGCACTAAAATCAATCTAGTATTATCCGATCAAATTACTAAAATTTGGGTTTTATCTTAGTTAAAATTTCGTGAAACAGGTCCCTGGTCCAAGCTACCCCTGTACACCAATTTTCAGCCTCGGGACAGCCCAAGTGTAGCCGCCAACCCTAAACAGACAGTCATAAATGAGTTATTTCCCTTGGATAGTTTCTAAGGTAAACAAAGATCTCCATGCTTCAGTATTTTCCTACTTGCGCTGAAAGTATATATATATAAATTCCTTTATCTAACATGTTTGCAGTGGGTTTTATTATTTAAATAATGGCTGATGAAAAGTATACATTTATATGTAGAGATGCCAACAGCAGTGTTTACACAGCATTAGAACAATATTTATTAACAAATAGAAAAGGACAATGGAGAAAACTACAAAGTGATTCTATTCGTTTTAATCTGATGATGGGGGACAGAAATAAGTTGCCCTACAGCAGATTAGGTACACTAAACTTAATCTTCACACGTTGTTGAAAATATGTAGGGTATGTTATGTTAACATTATCACTTCTCGTCTGAAGTGACCAATCCAGCTAAGGACATGTGGTGAACTAAAAAAATTATTAGACCAGTTCCTTGATTGCCTCTCCATTCAGTAACATTTCCTAATTACATTAGTTTTTGTAGGAGTCCAGTCTTTTATATAAAACCTCCCATGTCTGTAGCTAGCTCACAGGCATTTAGTAAAAAGAAAATTAGATTGTCATTAAAGTCAAGCCTTGAAATTGTATGTAGTTGTCTTACAAGTATCAAAAGATTAACACTTAGTTTATTTATTCAGGACTCATTCATCAATTAAAGTAGCTAAGTCTCTAACTCAATATATATCCAAAATCTTCAACATTGAAAATACGATTTATTGGTCAAATTAAATAAAGATTCATGTTGTGATCTTACCGGAAAAAGATGAGCTTCTGATATCCAATATTTATGACAAAATAAACAATTTACCATTGGTACACGAATCGTGTACCATAATGCGCTTCAGCCCCAGATGTATCAAGAGACTCGAGGGACGAGGCTAGACACATTGCACCAAATCTAACAGCGAATGTAGGCTGGAATAACCAGACGCTAGAAATTTGCACTCGCTTGAGACTGCTGGCTTATTTCACCGAACATAACTGATTTGAAATTGGAGTAAAAACGGAAACCATTGAATGTAAATCAGTTTATATACATTCATATTACAGTATTATATGCGTTGCGACCCACTTTTGTCAATTTCTAGGTCCAAAATGTTAGCGATTTAGCTCCTTTAATAAAGGCAACAGTAGTCCCTTTTAGTGAAAAGTCAATGCTCCAATGATGTAAATTCTTGAAGGCTAATAGAGTAAGCTAGGCCTGCTGTTGTTGCCATCAGCCAGTGCCCTGAGTTCTAACAGAGCCCCCTAGTGAGAGGTATAACACAAAGACTTAATCATCAAATAAAATAAAATAGTATCCTAGAAAAGGATCACGCTTTGAATTTTAGTTTGAGAATTCCTGTTTGAAAATGTATCCCATGTTTATATTCGTGTTAAAGCAATTGTGGGATTATAGTAATTTGTTAAACAAATGTAATGAATTGTGAGCCAAGCCTTTACCAGGATGCAATCCAATTTATTCCTAAAGACTATGTTTGAGCATAGGCAATGCAGATAGGCCTACAATATTTAAAGTATTTTCATCACAGTATGTATAAGCCAAATGTTTTGGGAACACCCAGTATTTAATCCATACAGACATGTAATTATTTTTTTACAGGTCAGAAGCCTGGATTACGGCAACTAGTGAATTACTATCGTGGATCCGAAGTTATTTGCAAAAAATCTCAAATGATTAGGTACATGTAAATAACACAGTTGATTTCTGAGACAAAACAAATAAAATCATGTTAATTATTACAATTTTATTTGTGATTGAAAACGTCACACGTCAGACCTTCCTTTATTTTAATTATTTCCATAGCATGCCCAAACTTAAAATTTCTTCTTTTTTTAATCCCAATGAACACTTGTTCAACCCCAAAGCATTCATAATTTATCAAATGTTGAGTAAATATGGCTACATTCTACATGCCATTATTTCTGCACAATTAGCTGATCCTCTGTAGATCATCTGAACATTGACACTAGATAGGATGTTAAGTTGAGAATTTCACCTATATGTCACCTCTACATAATCTTACAACAAAATATAACTGTGTAACCAAAACCACCGATACATGTCTGGGGTTTTCCCCTTGATGTATATAAATATTTCAGTGCATTCCATCTCCTGCCAAAGATTGGCCGATGGTCTGACAGTTATAACAAGAACATGATGTATGTGGAATTTGATGGTACTACTATATTTGACAAAAATTATGTTAGAAGTGTGCATTATGTACAAAGGAAAATATATGCAATTTTTTTATACAGCATATTTCATACATAACAACATGAAGATGGTTTAAATCTGTTTTATAGGGAACTGAAAAAGTATTGTGTAAATGAAGATATACCTTTATTTCCATGGTTACCACCATCCTATGTTATAATTCCTACACATTCAACAGAACTATTTCATTCAACTGTTGATGAAGTTAATGGATGTGAAAATTTTAAATCAATGAGAAAACAACAAAAGGATGAGAGAGAAGAATTGTTAGAATTAATACAATCAGATGATATATGGATTGCTAAAAGTTCTGTTGGATCTAAAGGTAGGTTAACTTCTCAAGACACTGATGGAGTAAGCTTAATACATTTAACAAACCATGTTAATAATGTTGTTATTTGTATTGTAGGTTTTCATTGACTAGCACACGATGCCTGCCGGTCAGAAAGGGACCTGAGCAAAGCTCTATAAGGTCATTAAAAAGGTCTGAGGTGATTAACTTTGCTAGTGAGCTCCTTCCTTAGCAAAATCTGGTTAAATTATGTGGTGTAGGTCCGTTTTGTTATTACCTCAAAGTCTAAGTGATCATCATTGACCATGTGATCAGGGATAGATTTGCAGCAACAGTGAAGAGGCATTTTTTTATGTCAGTATAGTAGATAGATTTATTTGGTGCAAACATATACAACATAATAAATGAAATTTTTATTTATGGTACAAATTTTTTTAGAACTAATTTGGGGGCCATTTTAACATTGGGGCTCTGGGCTGGAACCTAGTCAGCCTCCCCCTTAATCTGGCACCACATGCAACACCTACTACACATTTTATTTTGTTATAGATTCATATTTAATTAAATATAACTGGCAATAGCTCACATGACAATCATTAATTTATTGCACATATTAATTTCTTAAGAACTGTATTTCATGTGTTATGATTGCTGGATATAAGTCAGTGACAAATTGGTTTAATGGACAAATTTTTAACTTAAATTGTGTACAATTTGACTTCAGGTACATCCAAAAAAAACACTGCCTTGACAAATTATGTTTATATTATTTTGTGTTTTTTTTTGTAATATTACAGGAGATGATATAATGATATCAAATGATGTAGAAGAATTAATACAATATATTGATAATCAAAAACAAGCTTACATAATACAAAAATATATCAACAACCCTTTCTTATTGAATCATCAAAGAAAATTTGATATAAGGTAAGAATACAACTCTGATGTGATCCCAGAAATTGCAAAATTGAATTTATCATATGTGTTTTGAATAAAGCTTTGGTCGTGTAAAATTAAAATGGCAAACCTCATCATTATAATACTGATGTTGATGTCAACTGACACAACTAGAGCAATCTGATTATAATACAGATCTATATTTCGTTTCGTTTTTTTATACTTTTGATGGCCTACACTACATGAAGATCTGACAAGTTATAGCGATAGGTCACGTCAGGGGTCAAAAGACCGACTTATGACCCTATGACGTCAGACATTTGATTAACCAATCAGCATTGATGTTACTATAGTGGATACCCACAGTTCCGTGAAAGACACGCTTAAAGCTCGCTGTAACAGAATGTTTCATTGGCTTATCCCTGACACTATTCAGAACACAAGTTAAATAACAACTCTTCCAGACCCAAGTGTAGTAAAGACAAGTAAAACGAAATTTTGAACTATAAAAACGAAACGAAATAGGATCTGTGTTTTAACCAGATTACAACTAGAGCATAGCAAAATAACTTCATTATAATACTTGGGAGGTATGCCTTAAAGAAGCTTTTTGATCTTCTTAAAGGGGAAAAAGGCCATAATAGGAGCTCAGTTCCATCCTTATATTTTAAATAACAATATTTACCTAATTTTATTTATTAAATATAAAGAAAGATATAATATGAATTTTAACATCAGTTTTTCTGCTTTCAATCTATATGTCAATAGTTTTATTTGTACTTCAGATGTTGGGTATTAGTAGACTCCATGTGTTCAATATATCTTTTTAAAGATGGTGTTTTACGAACATCATCAGAACCTTATAACCCTAAGGATCTTACTGATCTAACATCACATCTTACAAATCATTGTCTACAGAAACAACGCTCATCTAACTTTGGAATGTATGAAGAGGGAAATGAAATGTTCTATCATCAATTTAATGAGTAAATATATAATGTTTTTTTAAAAAGGATATTATGGAATTCTCTCTGTAGTCTAAGGCCGTGTGCAACAGAACCATAATTCAGTCCAATATTAACAGAATCTCCCAAATATGAATTTGATTTGTATCTCGGCTACATCTTCAGTTACCGAAGAAACAACCTGTAATCCCCTCAGGTTTCACTAATAAGAGACTAATAATCAGTTTTTGGTGAATTTTGAGATTACTTAAAATTTTGACCATTCTAATCAATAAAATTTCTTTTGTTGATTTATTAGTTAGTTTTAACCGATATTGAATAACTAATGCCAAAAATATGGTTCAAACAGTCTTGCAAAACTATTTGAATGCAAATATTGGTGTGATCACTATAAGTAAGTTGTTTTTCCAAAGCTGTGTTTGAAAGAAAGATAATGCATGTTTCATATTTACAATGAATGTTAAACTTGGAGATGAATGCATACTGTATGTATTAAACTGTTATTTTCAGATATTTAAGAAGTTGTGGAAAAGAATGTTTAGAACATAATATTTTACCACAGATTAAAGATATTATAATAACTTGTTTTAAGGTCATAAAAGAGGTAAATTATATTACAGTTATTTCTTCCGTTTCTTCAAACAGTGTTGGTAACATTATAGGATAAGGCAGTGGTTCTCAACCTTTTTTTGCCAATGGCACACCTTGGAACACATGAAGAAATAGCGGCACACTTGGCTAAATATGAAAAATATCTGAATTTTGCAAAATAAAAACATAGTAAGTCAGACGGTGTACAACCGTAGACAGAGAATAGTCATAGACACTTAGAATGACTCAAACTAAATGAAGAAAAACACAGTTATGAACTTATCAGTGAATACTCAATTGGGATCACATGTTTTTTCACATTTTCTTAGTGTGCCGTTCAAAATTTTGTGGCACACTGGTTGAGAATCAATGTGATAAGATGCTCTGTATTCAGTGGAAGCGATTCTTACCCTTTCTGACACAAAAGTAATATTTGAACTTTGATGGGTGCATTTCATAAACACAAATCACATATTGGGGATATACAACTGATCAAGTTCCCTGTGTTGGAATTCTTGTGTCAATCACTTACAATTATGAATGTTCAGAATTCACAATCAAGCATCCCCTTAATGTCCACTTAATGTAGGCCTACAATTTTATTTCAATAATTTAGTTGCATGTAGGCCTTGTAGGGGTCTTTAGCAGAGGAAGGAAACTGGAGGTAGAAAACCCACACGGTTCCTCTTTGTGGCATGAAAGTGTGGGATCAAAACCATGCCACTTCATCATTTGGTCACTACTCCACACAGGTCTGGTATAGGTCAATGTTTAAAAACAGTTAATGTGACATGACAGGCATGAAAAGATGGGTCTACATTGTTCTCATTGATAATGTATCACACTGCAGTTTTTTCTTCTAGAATGTTCATTTTATATGTAATGTTATTGTTTAGATTATATACTATTCAAAAAAAGTAGGGGATATTTGATTTTGGGGGCATAATACTAAAATATGCAAATGACTACGAAAAAAGTCACTATAGAACCTAACAGAAGAAACATTTCCAGTTACATGTGACGCCCAAACGCACCAATAGCTACCGCATGGAATGCAGGTGATGCTTGGGATCATCATGGGGGTCCAACCCAAGATTTGCATGACTCTGACTTTGAATGTTACAGTCATTGTGGCATTGAATTCCAGGGTGGAAACATCAGTTTAATTGTTTTAGTGACCAGAAAACAAATTTTGATATGCGTCGGCTTACCCAAAATGAAAGGTTACGTGCCCTTGGCATGCTACAGATCGGCACAACACAGGCGGTTGTGGCGCGGACGATGAATGTTTCTCAGTCTGTCATAAGCAGGCTATGGTCCAGATACCGTGATACACAATCTGTACAGGACAGACCACGCTCAAGTCGACCAAGGGCGACAACTCAAGCCCAGGATCGATTTATCCGTACCTTGGCCTTGAGAAATCGTGTCATCACAGCAAATCAGATCAGCGCTCGTCTTCAAACAGACACTGGTGTGAGAGTGAGTGGCCAGACGATTCGGAATCGACTGCATAGGGGTCACCTTCGCGCCCGACGTCCTCGCGTGATCCCTTGTTTGAGAGATCATCACATTCAGGCAAGACGTCGTTGGTGTAGGGATCGTCAACACTGGGATAATCGACGCTGGAGCAATGTGATGTTTTCAGATGAGTCAAGGTTCACTGTTGATTTTTTGGACAAACGTAGGAGGGTGTGGCGTCGTCGAAACGAGCGCTTCCAAGACGTTAACGTCATCAGACATGATCGATTTGGGGGTGGTTCTGTTATGGTGTGGGGAGGCATCACTGTTGCTGGAAGAACAGCTTTACATGTTGTTGCAGGGCGTGTTACAGGCCAGTACTACCGGGACAACATCTTGGCAGTCCATGTTGTGCCGTTCGCACGACGTCATGGCCGCCGTTTCATCTTCCAGGATGACAACGCAAGATGTCACAGGGCCAGGATCGTTACAGGTTTCCTCCAACAACAGAACATCACCACATTACCTTGGCCAGCACTGAGTCCCGACCTCTCCCCCATCGAGCATGTCTGGGACATGCTTGGACTGAGGTTACGTCAACATCAACAACGTCCTGCCAATGTCCAAGAACTTGCTGCTGCGTTGCAACAGGAATGGGACAATCTGGACCAAAATGACCTTAGACGTCTCATTAGGAGTATGCCACGTCGGATCAATGCTTGTTTGGCAAACAGAGGAGGGTTTACCCGTTACTGACTTGGTTGTGATGCTGTGGTAACTTTGCTGTTTGACCCCGGGTATCATTTTACCCTTATAATGGTCAGTCTGTGCCTTACTTAGTCTAACGATCATTTGGAATAAATCGATGAATGTGAACTTCATTTCATTTTGTCATTTGTTTCTTCGTCAGTTTCATTAGGTGACTTTAATAACACTTAAAAATCAAATATCCCCTACTTTTTTTGAATAGTATACTAATAAATGATTTTATTTCTGTTCAACAGAGAATTGATACAAACTACCTCAATTACAGCAGTTTTCAACTATTTGGTTTTGATTTTATATTAGATGAAAATTTCAAGGTTTGGCTATTAGAAATAAATGGCGCACCAGCTTGTGCACAGTAAGACTGCTATTCTGTAAATTTGCTCTGAAAGAAACTTTCCCCACATACAAACTGTGTGATTTGATGATATATTTTGACTAAAAACATATTCAAACTAATTAATCTATCAAAAATTTGCTTCAAATCCCTCTCAAAACTTTGTATTCGTCGGGAGATACCACAAGCTATAAATAAACTGATGTTATATGCCATGTCAGTCAGCTCAATTCAAGTTAGCACACAATAAGCTGGCAGACAACAGTCGGGTTGCCAGTTATTAATACCCTGACATTTTTGCCCAGTGCTTGCCCCAATGGTGTTTTTCAGGTAATCCAGTATTTTTCTAGTAAAAATTGGGGGTCTATACTTTTCATATACCAAATTTGCCATACTTTTATTGGAAATAACCACCGTATAGGCTAAATACTTAGGGGACAATGTATCTTTAATCATTGTATCATCTGTACAGAAACACCCACACACACCTACATTGCACAATATGCTTGACATGTATGTTTGGATTTATTATTAATTTTAACCATATACACATGACACAAATTTGTGGAATGTAAATGCAGTTTATTAACCACACGCTTGAACATCCATCCGTCTGGAAAATCATTATAAATCTCTTTATTTCCCTAAAGGACGTTAATATTCTATTCATCAACTAGTATTGATATAGTTTTTAACAAAGTTCAGTCTTAAGTGCAGATATTTTTCGTCTTAAATTAACGTTTCAGCTGTAATCCATTCTATAATAAGACTTTGATGTTGATCTGTTGTTTCTTTTATGGTCTACTAGTGGACGACCCGGTGCTGCACGGGTTGTACCTATAACTCCAAAACCAGAAGCGGTATGCCAATGCCACCAGGCCTATGTTACTCCCCATTCCGCGTTACCCCTACACACCAAATTTCAGTCTCGGGAAAGCCCTAGTGTAGCTGCCAACCCTGAACAGACAGACAAGACAGTTACAAATATTACTATAGATTCAGCTTCACAGAATTTACCTAAAGCAGCTGTTGTAGCATAGACAACCCGTTTGTTTATAAACAGTGACTGATAGTTCTCTTTGTTCACAGTTGATGTTTTAATTGTTAAAGTTATAATAGCTATTTATCCTTTAGTTGGAATCACATCCATGCATACATTTTTATAGGTCCACATTTAATGTAGATGTATATTGCATCTCCCCTGTCTGTTGTCCATAATTAAAATTGATAGATGCTGTTTACATTAGTGAGATGAAGAATCCTATTTATTTTCAATAATTTCTGTTTATATGCATCATTTAGATTAGTGCAACGACGAAGCCTATTAAATTTCAGCAATTTCCGTTAAATATGTCTGAAGTTATGGCTGTGTTTCACTTTGTTCAACCTTGACAAGACTCGTGGGACAAATGTTATCCTTCAATCTGTATGAAATTTATAATGCATCATTTAGATTAGTGAAACTAAGAATTCTTTTTAATTTCAGCAATTCTGTCAATTACTTCTAGATTTATGGCTCGTTTAACTTTGTGAACTATCGAATGACAAAAGTTATCATCTGATCTTTATGAAATTACATGTATATACATTATTTAAATTAGTAAAATGAAAAAGCCTGTCAAATTTCAACAATTTCTGTAAATTACTTCCAGAGTTAAGGCCCTGGTTTCAGTTTGTAGAACCTTGTGAACCCTCAAATGACGAAAATTATAATCTAATCTGTATGAAATTGTCTTGTAAATGCCCCCAATTACCTACAAAAGAATAGATATGCGAAACCCTTGTCAACAGCTTGGAAGATTTAGCTGCTGCGGGCGTTTGTTTTGTTGCCTGGCAACCTATCTTTACTTTATGATCTTTGAAATTTTTATATTTTCACATCTGTATTTTTCCATTTCAGAAAATTGCTTCCTGATCTTATTGACAGTTTGGTAGCAACTGCCATAGATCCACTTTTTCCACCACTAAATTCATCCAGTCACAATATATCTTCATCATTTGAGAATATTGATAGCTGAGATACTTAACTATAGCAGATAACTAGGGACGCATTTCCTTGATTCAGGTGGCCCACATTTGCATATATTTTCATGTGGATGTATATTGTTGTGGCTCCTGTCCGTTCACAATTTGTTTGTGGACACTCTACAGGTCACGATTCTTATCCGATTTTAACGAAACTTGAAATATAGGTTAATCTTCAAAAGACCTTGGTTCCTTTCGATATTGGCATTTATCGGATCAAAACTTCATGGATTATGGCCCCTGATTGTACGAAAAATCATGTTTTTAGCTAGTGGACACTCTGAAGGTCACAAATTTTTATCCAATTTAGATGAAACTTGAAATGTACACTTATAACCCAAAGACCTCGGTTCCTTTCAATATTAGCGCATATCAAACTGCAACTTCCTGGATTATGACTTCTGATTGTTCAAAAATCACGTTTAAAGCTTGTGGTCCCCCTTGAGGTCACAATTTTTATCTGATTTAAAAATACGTATCACCGTTATGCGATAAAGAGAATGGCCACTCCACATACGCAAATAGTGTAAAAGTATGATATATCGAGGTTGTGGACACTCTCGAGGTCACAATTTTGATCCGATTTTGATGAAAAATAGATGGTAAAAACCCAAACATCTTGGATCTTTTCGATATTTGTGCATATCTGTCTGTAACTTCCTGGATTATGGCCCCTGATTGTAGAAAAAATCACGATTTTAGCTTGTAGACCCTCTACAGGTCACAATTTTTTATTCAATTTTAAAAACCGTTTAAATATATCACCATTACACCTTATTGAAGGCTGAGTTCCGAACGAAACTGCCCAACAAAATGGCCGCTCCCAGTACGCAAATAGTGTAAAGGTATGAAATACCCTCTAGAAGTCACAAATTTATCCGATTTTAATGAAATATATGTTTATAACCCAAAGATCTTGGTTCCTGTCAATATTAGTGCATATCGGACCGTAACTTTCTGGATTATGGCCCCTGATTATGGCATGGTGATTGGAAACATTAATGATGAGGCTATGTGAAACAAATTGGAGAAGAGATTAAACAGAGTAATAAGTATAGTCCTTAATACCATTACTTGATGTGGTGTAAATGATAAAACTTATTCAAGACTTGTAGTCAATTTTCGAAGGAAAATTGCAGTGAATGGAGAGATGTTACGTTTACAGCCCACCAACAAAATACTCATATCCACATCTACTATTATAACCTTACAGAATCCTTTTTTTTTCAAGACCCACTCCGCAAACAGACGATATACTAAATTGTGTTTTACAATCTCTTTTACAATTTTTAAATCAGAAAACATCTACATTCTTTTATATTTTAACAAATTTAATGAGCATAAGAACCAGATTGTTTCATTAAAAAGTATTACTGTATGATTTCATAACAATGTTCATTATCCAACATTTTGTCAGACTTATATAAAATAAAACTTGAAGTGCGAATATTTAATGTATGTACAATAACTGTAGAATTTAACCTCGCACTTTGAATTTTGTAATTATATTACTTTTGATGATTAAGACATGACTTGAATTTTTGATAATATCCCTTTTACTAAAAAGTGGTGATCATTTCATGATACAAATATATACAATCATTTACAAATCCAGTGGGTTTTTTTATAAAACTTTTCATGTAGTTTTAGTTTCTAAACAGAAAAAAATATAACACAAAACATACTCAATTAACAACAGAATACATGAATTGATGACAGTTCCACCAATAAATAACTGTAGCAGTCTTTAAAATATTAGTTATTTCCTCATACCAACCATTAACACATACAAATTATCCAAGGTTAAAAAATGCCCTCTTTTTGTTTGTTTGGGGTTTTTTTTCTCGTAAAATTGTTATTTAAAAGAATCATCTATACTTCATTATCAATCAAAACAAATAGATAATCTGCATTATTTTTTTTATTTTATAAATGCTTCAGGTGGTATTTTGCCAGCTTTCTGAAATAGAAAATAAATTGTGAATGAATGTCTTTGTTTTAGCAATTACTCCTTAAAAAAGTTAAATTTACATGTTATAAAATAAGGTATTTAAAAAGTCATATTCTTTAAAATTTAAAATCAATATTTCAAACCTAAATTATACAAGTCAACAGTGAGGCTGATGTCCCCCACCTAAATTTTAAAATAAATAGATGACATATTGATTTCACAGTTATCTACTTCAATAATATTGGGCAGTCAAACTGATTATCAACTATACACTGAGTTATCTTGTCCCAAACATTGACCAATGAAATTGCTTCGCTCTGCTTAGCTTTAGTTGGAAATGGTAATCATTGAACTCAGTCAAAACATTCACCTAATAAACATCTACAACATCAACTTTAAACATTCTACCTCAATTAAAAGCAGAGTTGTTATGTTCCAAAGTATTGACCAGTCAAATTGCTTATCGCTACTTAGCCAAGGTAATAATGATATAATGAATCTATACTCAGAGTTTCATCACTCTCAACCAATCGGAACTAATGTTATCATGTTCCAAAGTCTCAATCAAATTGCTTATCTCTGCTTAGCCTTAGTGGAAAATGCGCACGTCAGAACTGTGTCAAGGCATTCACCTACACTAAGTTTGAACATTCTACCTCAATTAGAAGCAGAGTTATTGTGTTCTAAAGTCTCGACCAAGTAATGTATTGATGTAATGAAACTATACACGAAGTTTCACCACTATCACTCAATTAGAATCAAAGTTGTCGAGCTCCAAAGTTTCAACCAATTAAAATGCTTATCGCTTTGCTTACCCAGATCAAAAAATGCTCATTAACGAACTTAGTTAAGGTATCGATGTGATGAAACTATACACCAAGTTTCATCACTCTCACTTAATTATAACTAAAGTTATCGTGCCCCAAAGCATCATCCAATCAAATTGCTTATCTCTGCTTACCTTACGCAGAACATGCTCATCTTCAAGAATGCCTACACTAAGTTTGAATATTCTACCTCAAGCAGAAAATACTCATTATCAAACTTAGTCAAGGCATTGATGTAATGAAACTATACACCAAATTTCATCACTCTCACTTAATTAGAATAAAGGTTATCGTGTCCCAAAGCATCAACCAATCAAATTGCTTATCTCTGCTTACCCTAAGCAGAAAATGCTCATCTTCGAACTCCATCAAGGCATTCAACTAATAAACACCTACACCAAATTTTAACATTCTACCTTAATTAGACGGAGAGTTATATGTTCCAAAGTCTCGACCAAACACACTGCTTTCTGCTTACCCGGAGCAGAAAATGCTCATTATCAAACTTAGTCAGGGTATTGATGTAATGAAGTTTGATCATTCTAGCTCAATTAGAAGGAGAGTTATTGTGTCCCCAAAATTGTGACGGACGGACAGACAGTCCCCCTGCTTTCTTCGAAAGGCGGAGGAAATCAAAATAGATCATGTGGCAAAATTTTAAATTGAGAAACATGATGTACCACTATAGAAATAGTTCTAAACTTACATTTAATTCCATAAAAATTAATCCAGCTTTTTCATAATTCCATCCATTTTCTTGTAGACACCTATAACAAATAATACAACTTATTCTGAATCTATGTATTGAACTTGAAAATTATATCACATTAATATGCTAATGACTGTAAAAGTTAATATGCATGTAGCCTGCAGGTTCTCAACTGCATTTTTTACCCCAACCTTCAACTATGGGCCAAAGCAAGAACTTTTTCATGCATGCCCGTTTTTCTGTTTTAAGTATATAACCCTCATAGAGTCATACATATAGCTAGGTATTTTAAACACTCCTGTGACAGGAAGCCATGTTGCAAAATTATGTTGTCCTCTGTTTAAAGTTAAACCTCATTTACCCAGTTTTGAACACAAGAGAAGCAAACAATAAATAAATACTTACTTTGCTGACCATTCCAAATTCATGTTAGATACAGTAGCAAACTGTTGTAACATCTGTTGTTGTGTTGGAGTAAGACCACCACTAGTTGATGGTGCTTCAGTAATAGACATATTATTTGGTAAAGCTGGTGGGTTACTTGATACAGGACTAGAAGATGGGGTGGGTCCGGTGTTTTTGAAAGCAACCTATCAATTAAAATATATTCTAAATCAATATCACATCAATAATTCTAATTATCACAGGTTCTTTAATGAGCACGGCAAGAAATACACAGGGCCTGTTTGCCATACCATCCAAATGACTACACTTTTCCTTGCCAGGCCCTCTGTCCTGCATGACTGACAACACTGGATCAAACCTCAGACCTGGTTAGTGAGCCAGTGCCCTACCTTTCATAAATATAAAATGGAATGGTATGATTTTTTCCAACTAACCTGAACTTGTTGTGGTGATGCATTTGTAATTGTCAGTGTATCATTAGTTATCAAAATACTGTAAAAGAAATAGAAGTGAAAACAAAATGAAATATTTGATGGAGATGGTTCATTAGTTTCTATATTCTAACAAAAGGTAAATAATGATGACGGCTACTTGGATAAACTTTTTTAAATGTTCACATATAACTGTCATAAAAATACAGATGTGACCTCGTCATCCTTTGATGTTGGCGTAACAATTATTTAATATAATAAATAATGGTACTGGCCATGTGCCAATCATGCATTAATTATGCTTGATGAAGGAAATGTTGAACTTATGTTGACGATTTCGTTGAAATGCACGGGATAGTGTATCTGTATTTTAAGTTGTTACATCCTAGTGCAGTATCAATATATTAATGTAGTTAAAACCACACTGCAAAATGGGTGTTTGAAATTTACAATATGAAATTTATCTCAGTCATGGCAAGTAAATTATTATCTGAAGTTAATATTATTATATCATCAGTCATGTATAATAATAAATCATACAAATTTTTATTTAGAGGAAAGTTATATAAACAGGAAATCTAATTTTATAACCAATATTTACCCTTGTCCACTGGGTACAGCTACAAAATGTCGTGAAAAAGCTCGAATAGGTGGTTTATCTGTTTTACTGTCAGCTATTATAAAACAAATAGAAATATCAGTTAACCCAGCAAAGAATAATGTTTGAACAACAAAATGTGCATTGGTTTTTTCCCCATATAATAACTATTTAACCTTATTATTGAATTACAGTTTAAAGAAATAACCAAACCAAAATAATAAAATCTAGTTTGATAATACTCACATTCTTTAAATACACCAATGAGAGAGAAGGCCATCATATTGGGCTAAAATAAAATACAAGTGTCTCAATAATAATTATACACTATTACACCAAGGATAGGGATTTGTCAGATGATTTACAAATATTAGTAGGGATTTCCTCATGAACAATCCTATCCCTACCATACAATGAAAACTATGTATGTGTTCATAAGCATTAAAAGTACAATTGCAAAAAGTTGCGGTTTCTGTTCAAAAAGCATACACATGTATACAATCAAAGGGCCAATGGCTAGGGAGAAGAAATTTGCCTGCTCTTTCTTAAATTCCAATCATCAAATGTTATTTAACAAACACAAGAGAATGTCCAGAGGTGGACTTAATTATTTTCGTCCCATACAAACAAACTGGTATCACCCACAGACTTGAAAGACATAATTATTTGTTAAGTTTATCGAGTTTGGAAGTGAAGAAATCTTTTTCAAAATTCTATTTTTTTGATAAAAATGGTGAGGGTTCTTTTTGGGTGGAAAATACAGAAAGATAAAAGGTTGAAATTAAAATGAATAACATCTAAAATATGTGAGATAGTTGTCAGAAATTTAAAAATTTGTTTTGAAAAAAACTATCTGTGGATTTTGTTTGTGTTCAAGACAGGGTCTATTATTTATTATTAATTTATTTTTCATATTATAAGCTTATACTTACAGTTACAACACCCACATCAACAACAAATGAATTGGGATCATGAGAAGTTTTAGGTAATAAGCATAGCTGTGAAGCGATGGCTATCTTTCCTCGTTTTAACAATCGGTAGTTCTTATCTATAATTATAGATATAATAAACATTCAAGCATTATTCATTTATTGCTATAATTAATATGATAGGGTACTTTAACAGACATTTTATCAAGGGTACTTTAACAGACATTTTATCAAGGGTTTTAATATCTCATTCTAAACAATACTTTTGTCAGACTACCATGATGATTTTTATTTCTGTGAGAGAGAAATGTGGTTTAACATCTACTTCTGGGTCATTTTGAGACTAACATGGTATATCTTCACTTCAATAATTTGCTTGTTCACGGGGGAGCATGGCTGAATGGTTACAAGGTCTGACTGTCATTGAGTCAAGTGGCGTGGTTTCGAATCCCCACTTGTACGTGGCAAGACGTAGGGTTGCCTGTCCAACCTAGTGGCATTTCGCCGGGTCTTCCCACTGCTATAGAACCCTACATGGAAGCAAATTATTGAAATAATATTGAACCATGTGTTAGTCCCAAAATGACCTAGTTTGTGTCCAGTGGATGTTAAACCCCATTTCTCTCTCTTGTTCACAGGGATTTTAGCAAATGGGAGGAAACCGAGAAACTCCAGGTGGTTATGCAGGCAATCCTCCCCCCATATGGATCAGATGACTGACCTTGTGACCTAAAACAAATGCATTAGACCACCCAGACACCCATCCCCCCCCCCCCACACACACACCCCCACACACACACTAAATGTGTTGTGGAAGAGAGGTAAATCTTCTCCCATACAGCTTACATTTTCGCTTACTTTCGAAATCACAGTAACAAACAATAAATAGTATCATATTTCAATCAGAAATATAAGGAGTTAATAATTTCTCAAATCATCAAAATTCTATGTAACAATATACATTACCTAGATTCTTGGTACCACTCCCTTTGATAAGATTTCGACTCTCAGGAATGTACTCTTGTAAATTTGGTTGTCTGAAATATATTTAATATTATTGAACTTAGTGATAGTGTAAATAAATATATACAGAGTAAATAGTACTCAACATATATGTACAAATAAATTCAAGAAATAGAACTCTGGAGGCCAGAATTTCAATCTTAACCAACATTTACCTGTATTCAAGTCCACCATTGTAACTTGCAGCTAATGAAAATGTTGCCTGGAAAAAATAAAAATGTAATGAATTATTAATCTTTTCAACAAAAGAGATATTATCATTTTTCAAATAACCATATAATGACATTATTATCATATTGAACATAACCAGTTTCTGTTATAATTATCATATTTCAAATAACTGTCATAATTGTCATATTTAACATATCGGTAACCGTATACTGTCATATTATCATAATTCAAATAATTGTATTAATAATGTCATAATCATCAAATTAAAAATTACTTTATACTGTCATAATTATATTTCAAATAATAATAAATTACGTAATTATCAAATTTCAAATAACCGTACTGTCATATTATCATATTTCAAATAATTGTATTCATAATGTCATAATCATCAAACTTAAATAACCGTATATTCAGTATACGGTTATGTTAAATTTGATAACTATGTAATTATTTGAAATATAATTATGACAGTATACTATACTATCAAATATAACATAACCGTATACTGTCATAATTACAGTATACTTTCAATTATATTCCAAATTACTGCATACTGCCATAATTATTTAATTTCAAATAACCGTATATACTATCTTAATAATCATATCTAAAATAATTGTAAATTTTATACTTATCATATTTCATATAACTACAGTCAGTCATAATTATCATATTTAAAATATCTGTATATGGTCATAATTATCATATCTAACATAACTGTGTACTGTTATAATTATCACATTTCAAATAACCATCATATACTGTCATAATTATCATATTTCAAAAAACTTTCTTAAAAACTGTATAGTCTTAATAATTATATCTAAAACAAGCCAACAGTGAGGCTGATGTCCCCTGCCGATTTCCCAAAATAAATAGATGACACATATTCATTAATCGCACATTTATTTTTTTCAAAAGTATCAAGCAATCAAACTGATTATCAACTATACACTAAGTTTCATCACTCACTATCAGATGGAATGAGAGTTTGAACATTCTTCTACCTCAATTAGAAGGAGAGTTATTGTGTTCCAAAGTATCGACCAATCAAACTGCTTATCGATCCTTAGGATACACAAAAAATTCTCATCAACAAAGTTAGTCAAGGTAATGAGTTTCATCACTCTCACTTAATTAAAACAAAAGTTATCGTGCCCCAAAGCATCAACCAATCAGATTGCTTATCTCTGCTGACCGTAAGCAGACAATGTTTATCATCGAACTCCATCAAGGCATTCACCTAATGAACGTCTACACCAAGTATGAACATTCTACCTCAATTAGAAGGAGCGTTGTGTTCCAAAGTCTCGACCAATCAAATTGCTTATCGCTCTGCTTACCCATAAGCAGAAAATGCTATTATCGAACTTAGTCAAGGTATTGTTGTAATAAAACTATACACCAAATTTCGTCACTCTCACTTAATTAGAACCAAAGTTATCGTGTCCCAAAGCATCAACCAAGCAAATTGCTTATCTTTGCTTACCCTAAGCCGAAAATGCTCAATTAGAAAGAGAGTTATTGTGTCCCAAAAAGTGTGACGGACAGACGGACGGACAGACAGACGGACCCACCCATTTTAATAGTCCCCTGCTTTCTTCGAAAGGCGGGGGACAATAACTGTATAATGTGACCGGTACCGACAGTCATAGGTGATGGCAATATGTCCACATTAAATCTCAGCATATGTAAAGGGAATGGAACAGTCAACAAAGCAGAACAAAATAATTTTATGGATTTTGAAGAAGCTTCTATTCACTTCATTCTATCGTCCTGATTTCATATATTGTTTGTCAAATATAACAATAAAATTGATACAACTTACCTCTTCGAAGTAGGCTTCTTTTAAAGGATGTCTATTGTCAGAGTCATAAATTGAATAGAACTCTCTTAAAAATTTCACAATCAATGCCTTTAGAGTCTCATCAGAAAAAAAGCTTCCCTAAAATACAAACGCAGAAATTTATTATTATTGTTATCAATTTCTTATGAATTTACAGTTGGTCATATTAAATTAAATTCAGTTAGAATAACACAGACATGAGGTTTATATCATAATAATACATCTCTTGATATTGAGGATTAATAGAAAGCAAGTAAACCGTTATATAATTGTGATTTATCATTTCTTTATCTAATAATTCTATTTTAATCCAATTTTTGGACTAAGAAAATAATTACAATTTACATGCCAATTTTAACATACATTAAAGATACATTATGGGAGATTTTTATAGAGAGTTGGCCATTCTTGCTATAACAATTCAAAAGTAGATGATGAAAGAAGAATATATTGAAAAATTCAGTCAAATTACTTTATTCTGAACATAGTTATCATCGTTGTAATATTTGCCTAGAAATGGTAGCGAAATGTGTCGTCACCTTCGCTGATCATTTGATTGATAGGCGTTAACTCCACCTACATATCTCGATTATCAAGTAAAGTTTTCAATGGCATACGGAAACGCTTTACAGCGGCCTCGCCTCGATCTAACTGACGTATTTTCATCAGGTTACCCCTTATTTGATTTAATCAATTAGTGAAATCCTATTTAAATCCGAGCTGTAGCCGAGCCATCCGTGGGTCTACAGAGTTGATTTTGGTCTTGTTGTTTAAATAAAGATCTAATTTATAATTTCTATAACATCTGAAGCCCAAATTAAGACTTGCAATAATCAGATTTAGCTCTTGCATAATGCATGTTTAATTAGGAAAATTCCATTTAATATTTGAATTAAAAGAAAGTAATTTAACTAACCTTTGTTGGAAGAAGGGTTGTGTTTGTTTCTAGATCAAATTTTATAGTTGGTGGTAAAACATTACCATCCTAAAATTATAGAAAATAGTGTGTAATAATTCATTATCTTATTAGATCAAAATATAGCACAGACACAAATTGTATTTTCTCTTTATTACAAATAAATGAAATATCCTTAGCAAGCAGATTCTAATTCATTTAAATATTTTCATGAGGCAATTGCAATCAACAACATACCAGGTTTACAATGTCGCTAAATCTTTTTCTCACTGCACTGAAAAAAAATATATACTGAAGTGAACAATTATAATTTGTGTTAGTTATCTTCCAATTCTGATACTTTAGAATTGGTATTATATAAAAAGTTATCCTATCTTTGATTTACAATCATAACAGTGCATATCTGGGGAAAAACATATTTTAACCAAAACAGTTACGATATTTTCATTAGTCTGTTTTTTATTAACATGAATGTTACTGAAATAACACAATAATTAAGTTCAATTTCTCAAATGTTTGTACAAAATCTGCATATCAAAGACAATTTAATGAACAATGAATAACAGAAAGGTCCAATCAGAGATGTTCTGCGATTCAGAGATATAATTAGACAGACATATATGAGGATGGAATTTGTCTAAAAATATCAGAGTATCATCTTTATTACTGCACAAATCATATCGATATAGCTCTAAATAAGCCTTGAGATTTTTTTTTTTTTATCAAAAATCCATTGCATTCTATCAGAACAATTCCACCAGTCCACAATATTAAGAGAAAATCAGTAAGATCATCATTGTGTCTACATAACTCAAGCCCCGACAGCACCTGTCTTAGGTTGTCCCTCCTTCTGAGAGATCTTACCCGTCATTGGTTAACTGTCGCGTTGCTTGAAGACACTACCGATAGTTAATTTGGAACAATTACAGATTTATTTTTTATCTGTCATGGTGCCAAATTATATCAAGACACTCAGATCATAGGCTTCTTCACAGGGATTCTTCTACCATCATTCTCTCTCGTCCTCCACAAAAATTATTCATAATCTGTTGCAGTAAATCAATGTTCCCATCAACAGATTCCTCCTTTGTATACAGTATTCTAGAATTGTGTGGTTAAAAAAAAACATTTCTATGATCATAAAGATATTGTACTCTATAGTAAAGGCATGAACTTCAGTTTGAAGACATGGATCTCACTAAATTACTTGTTTATATTTCCATCCCAAAAATGTCTGTATTTTTTAGTTACAGTGGAGAAAATGTACTTAATTATGTGATATGTTAGTAAAACAAGGTAGTTTACTTGTTTAATATTCCATAATATTTTTTCTCCAGTTTATAATAAATAATTTCATACACACTCTTATGATAGTAAAATATAAGTTCAAAATATGATAGGATTTCTTATAATCATGCTATGACGAAGTCAAAGACAGCCTTTACCATAACACTTTTCAGGTGCCCAAGCTTTAAACTATAGTAAATATGGCAATGTATTCATTTGAATGACATATTCTAAAGTTTATTTGTAATCTAAAATTCATTGTTAATGGATAAAATGTGATCAACACAACGATACCACAACTCCAATAACTTCCTCCACTCATAACACATGGCATGGTAACAATACCATCAGTCAACATGCCTACTTATTACCTAATATATGATGTTTTATCTTTAAATGAATCACACAAAACATTATGGTCCAACTTGAGGCTTTCTAAGTTCCATGTCTTGATTTTGTCCAACTCTTCAATAGTTTTTAACTGTGAACAACAATACATGTGAAGTAAAAGATTTATTAGGCAGCAACATAATCATACGAAGACAATTCAAAACGTAAAAGCAAGTAGCAGAACTCATTAAATCTTAATGTACACAAATGAAATGGAGTTTGATGAAACATCAGCTCCAACCGGACAATATTATGGCAAACACATAATTATTGCAAAGAATGGTACAGAAAAGACCACTTTTCATTTGTAAACAACAACAGCCATAATCAACTTTTAAAGTTCAACCATTTGGTTTCCTATAGCTATCCCACAAACAAATTTTCTCTTATACACAGTTACTTACTTCATTATCTGATAAATCTAGGCTTGTTAAATGTGGTGTAACAGAAACAAGCCCTTGTAATCCATTCAAACTATGAATTTTATTTGATCTGAGGTTTAAACACACTAACTGAAAATATGATAGTATATACAAAAAATTCATTAATTGTAATTGGCTTTAACTTTTCCTTTAAATTTATATCACTAAATTCTTGCAAGGAAAATCCAGTACATGAATGTTAAAAACTGTAGTTATAAATTTTATACCCAAACTCAAATATGTTAAGGATTCATTATATGTAAGTTTTAGATAAAGAAATGACCTTTCTTGCTATGATAGTTCAAAATAGATTTAGAAGATAGTTTGCCAGGCAACGAAACATACGCCCACAGTTACAGTAGCTAAATCGTCAAGGCAGTGTCAACATTTTTTCTATTGTCGGTAATGAAACATTTATAATACACTAAGATCTGATTAAGAGTAACAACTCATTAAGTAATTATCAGAAAATCATTGGAATTTGTTTGGCCCATGGTAACATTTTATATACAAAATATTTAATATCACAGATTTATGTGTTAAAGTTATCAACCAGTAGCTGCCAAGCAGGATACGCCCAGATTTTGCTAGAGATAGATAGAGAACAAGCTAAAAACAAAAACAATTTTTTGTACAATCAGGGGCCATAATCCAGAAAGTTATGGTCTGAAATATCAAAAGGGACCAAGATTTTTGGAATATAAAGATGTTTTAAGTTTCAACAAAATCGGATAAAAAATTGTGACGTCTAGAGGGTCCATAACTACTGTATTACATAATTATACACAATTTGCGTACAAAGAGCCGTGATTTTTTCGGGCAGTTTTATTTTGATTTTCCCGAAATTCGAATTCAATCTTCATTATGGTGGAATGGTGAAATATCTAAACGGTTTTTAAAATTGGAAAATAAATTGTGACCTCTAGAGAATCCACAAGCTAAAAATGCGATTTTTCGACCAATCAGGGGTCATAATCCAGGAAGTTACGTTCGGATATGTGTGATAATCAAAATGAACCAAGATCTTTATGAGAAAAACATATAAAGTTTCATCCAACTTGGATATAAACTGTGGCCTCTAGAGGATCCACAACTTTGATATACTATATTTTTATACTATTTGCGTACAAGGGGTGGCCATTATTATGTCCTTCAATTTTAGTCTGATTTTCACAGATAAAAATTGTGACCTCTATATGGACCACAGACTCAAAAGTGCGATTTTTTGTACAAACAAGGGCCATAATTCCGGAAGTTATGATTCGATATGCACGAATATCGAACGGAACCAAGATCTTTGGGTTATAAACACGCATTTCAAGTGTCATCAAATTCGGATTAAAATTATGACCTCTAGGAGGTCCACAACCTTGATATACCAGATGTTTACACTATTTGCATACAAGGGACGGCCATTTTGTGCGACAGTTTTAGTCCGATTTCCACGAAATTCAAACTCAACCATCATTAGGGTGTAACGGTGATATACTTAAAGATTTTTTTAAATCAGATAAAAATTGTGACCTCTAGAGGGACCACAAGCTAAAAGCGTGATTTTTCGTACAATCAGGGGTTATAATTCAGGAAGGTCTGATCTGATATGCACGAATATCTAAAGGAGCCAAGATCTTTTGGATATAAACTTGCATTCCAAGTTTCATCAAAATCAGATGAAAAATGTGACCTTTAGAAGGTCCACAACCTTGATATACCATATTTTTACACTATTTGCGTATAAGGGGTGGCCATTTTACGAAATTTGAACTAAAAAATCATTAGGGTGTAACGGTTATATACTAACAAAACAATTTTTTTTTAATCAGATAAAAATTGTGACCTCTAGAGAGGGACCACTAGCTAAAAACGTGATTTTTTGTTACTTTTAGGGGCCATGATTCAGGAAGTTACCATCCGATATGCACGAATATCAAAAGGAACCAAGATCTTTGGCTTACAAACATGCATTTCAAGTTTCATCAAAATCGGATCAAAATTGTAACCTTTAAAGTGTCCACAAGCTAAAAACGTGATTTTGGACGGCTGGACAGGGGCGACGACAATATATGTCCACATGAAAATGTGGGAGTATAAAAATCATTGAAAATCAATATACTTGTTCGTCTCAAGACCTTATACTCTGTGTATCAATCTAAAGTCAATCGAAACGATTATATATAGGCGTTAACATGGTGTATAAATATAAAATCAATCAGATGATAACTACATGTATGGCCTCTAGAGCGTCCACAAGTGATCAAGGGCCATAAATTCGGCAGTAATTATCGGAAATCATTGAAAATCATTGAAAATCAATAGGCTTCTTCATCTCATGACCTTAAACACGGTGTATAAATTTAAAAACAATCAGATATTAAATTTTGCCTCTAGAGCGACAACAAATGCAGGATGGACCGATGGACAGGGACAACGAAAAAATGAATATACTGCAAATTTCATTCAAATTACTTTATTCTGAGCAAAATTATGAGTGTTGGATGATGTAGCGTAGATTGTTTATTTTCATAGCAACAGTACTGGACAAACAAGACAAAGTCTTGATTATCCATTTTATCGTTAAATTTTTAATCTCACCGCAGGTGTTCTCATCCATATAAATGGCCTTCCATGTTAATAAAGACCTGCAATAGCTCACATAATACATCTTTAGTCTATTATCAACTTACTTCTGGAATATTATCTCTAATGATATTAATGACTTCTGACATCACATTGATTTTATTTAAAGACATATACAGTCCATCTGCTTGTAGGCCTTAAAATAAAACAGACAGGAAATAAAAATTAGTAAACAAGAGGTCCATGGGTTTTAATCGACTTTCGGTTAAGAGAGTGTGTGTTATGTATTTGCTCTGTGAGAATATGAATCACCACAACACACAACCATCATATCATTGTTATTTTCATGATTAAATCAAATCAAAGCGAAAATCTCAACAAATTGTGTTCAGGTACTTATTTTGTGTTGTAAAGTGCTAGTCAAGTGTTATACTAACTCATATCTTTGTGTAAATAGCAGTAAGTACTAATAAACTGTTGCTCTTCCTTGTATCTTACTTGGTGCCAGTCATTATCACATATGTGATAGAGCTGGTTAAATAGACCGGAGGCTCAGCGCGGGGGGGGTTCCATCAAATGGGCACAAAACCAGACCCAACTTTTCTAGAGTAAAATTTTGCGTAGAATACGATGCCGAGTGGTAATCAGTCCGCCGTTGGGGCATTTTCGAGATATTCGGGGTCAAAGGTCAATTGAGTTCATTTGCACTGAAAGTGAATGCGCAGTCATTCTTGTATTAGGAAAAGAAGCTGAAAATGATCAAAAGTAATCACACTTTCAATAAAAATGTAAACTTGCTTAATTCACCTTTAGTCTTAGTTACCCTGGAGGTCAAAAGGTGAAATTTACCGTTTTTGCACTAGGAAGATTTAAAGCAATAAAATGTCAACGTAAAATATAAAAATTAAAGCGAAACCTGTTCTAATTAATAGTAGGAACATTTCAAATTTATCTTTAGGTGGTCTTAGCACCAAACTTTTACTTTGGAACGTCAAAAATGATCTTGCATAACAGAACCAACAAACTTTGAAATCTGTTTCAAAAATACGTAAAAACTGTCAAATCAAAATCTCTCCGATTTATTTTCACAACGATTGTTATACATAATGATACTAGTTATCTGAAAAACAATTGAATAGTTTCAGTGTTGGACTCCAGCCTGCGGGCCGCGTGGATTTCCGAGAATCCCAGTCTAGGAAAACCGACGTTAATCTGTGACGGAAAAACCGACGAATATCACATATGTGATAATGACTGGCACCAATATTGTCCTTTAAAGTGCAGTAATAACTAGCAAAGCGCTGTTCTTCCTTGTATCTTATTTAATATGTTGTTAAGTGCTAGTCAAGTATCATTAACCAATATTGTCCTCTAAAGTGCAGTAATTACTAGCAAAGCGCTGTTCTTCCTTGTATCTTATTTAATATGTTGTTAAGTGCTAGTCAAGTATCATTACTAATTCATATCTTTATGTTAAGTGCAGTAAAGTGCTGTTCTTAATTGTATCTTAATTAGAGTGTTGTAAGTACTAGTAAAATGCTGTTCTTTACTAGTAGTAGTAAAGTGATGCTCTTCCTTGGATTTTATGTCAAGATACATTATGTAAGATTTAGATAAAGAGCTGACCATTCTTGTTTAAATAGCTCTAAAATAGATAATGTAAAATGAAAATATTGAAAATTTTATTCAAATTACTTCATTCTGAGCTAAGTTATCACTGTTGGTAGTTTTGACAAGACTTAGCCTTACTTTTCCATTTTTAAATTAAATGTTTAAATGGCGAACCCTTTTATTAATCTAGTTAAAATCTTGAGCATCCGATGCCATCGAGAGTTGATTATGGTCTTGTTTTGTTAATAAAGGTCTACTTAATAGTTTATATAACATTTCACTAATTTCAGGCCTAAAGAAAGACCTGCAATAGGCAGATTTAGCTCTTACATAAAGTATGTTTAATTATTATTATCATTACAGCATATTTATAGTGCACCCTTTCATAAAACATTTTGCAGGGGCACTAAGTGACAATGTAATCATAAATAAACAACAAGATTATGGACATGTTAACGATTGTGTACAGAGTCAGTTAAAAGCCTGATTAAATATATGTTTCAAGTTGTTTTTTTAAAGAATATAGAGATGTACAACATCTTTAACTAAATGGTAGATTATTCCACAAAACAGGTGCTTGATAAATAAAAGAGTGCTGACCATAAGAGACTAGTTGAACAATATTGAGTTGTTTGGACATGAACGTCAAAACTCCTTATTCACAGACACGTAACCCTTTTTTAAGATTTTGGGTCAACTTTTTCGTTGGGTGACCTGATGATCGATTCCCGTTCATTGAGAGATCTATACAGTGAATGACCCATGTCCTGTACTTGATAACGAAATGTAAATTTCACCTACACATTATTTTTATAAAAAAAAATGTCTGGTTTTATCAAGACACCGCATAATACACCTTGGGTCACCGGTCTTCATTTCAAGATGAAGACTGACGGCTTTAAGTTGTTTGAAAACATATCACAAATATTGAGTTAGTTGCTCGGCCCTTAGGTAGAGTATTTTAAGGAATTTTAACACAAAATTAAGCAGTTTTATTCTCCAAAAAATTATCGGGATTAGCTCTTTAAAGTGTCGTATTTACTAGTAAAGTGCTGTATCTTTATGTAAAAAGTAGTAAAGTTCTAGTCAAGTCGTATACTTACTTGTATCTTTATTAAAAGTGTAGTAAAGGGTTAGCCAAGTGTTATACTTACTTGTATCTTTGTGTAAAGTATTGAGATCTAAGACTTTAGTAGTAGGGTCATAACGAGTACTCATAGCTTCTTTTAACTTAACTTTAGACTCATCTGTTAGTACAAATGATGGACGGGATGTTGGCGAGACAACTACAATCATCTGGTAAATAACAATTAATCATAGTTATATTTTCATTAATCACACAGTAGTGAGTAAACAGAGAGAGAGAGAGGTCATTTCGGGACTAACACATGGTTCAATTTTATTTTGATAATTCTCAGGTCAATGATTCCTTTGGAAGACCAAAGCATCTGTATAAACAATTCGTCAAAAAATTGAATAGAAGCAGGGATAATTCTAACGATATTGGTTGGGTGGAAAAAGGCTCTTTATCGGCATTTGCCAACTTCATGGATTGAACACTCGAGAGTTTATAACAGTATTTATTGCTATTTATTCATCATTAAGCAATGAAATATCATAAATAAAATAAAAGCGAAGACATTTTTTTTATTATTTATGTTAAATATTATCTAGAAAAATCAAAACCGCGGTATGTGCGGTTTTTCAATATATTATATCTGTGACGGTTTTATATCGAAAAACCAAAATATCACCCAGTTCTATGTCTTATTACTATACTATAGTAACTACATTAATCGGTGTAGATTTTAAATCCAGGTAAAAAGCAATATTTTTACTAGTCTACCTTTTCAATATATAATATAAAGGTAACAAATTATTTTGGAAGTACTCCTAAAAAATCTGTCTGTGATCAGTAGAATAAACACTCTCACGATAACTTACCTTAAAACCATTTGGTAAAGTTGCTTTATTTGTGGTAGCTCTAACTGCTTTAGCAACATTACTATCATCCAAGTAGAAAACAGCATTTTTATTCTCATAATGAAACTGGAAGAACAACACAAAGATGGTTGACTTATTAAGAAAATTAAGGAAAAAATAAGAGAGCTTTTTCCTTTAATTATAATATCAATAATTAGCCCTTCCTGTTTATCTTTTACACATCAAGCCATTTTTAATATTATGCAATAGTAATGTACAAATACAAATCTAACAATTGGTGACTTTATGAAGGAATAAAATATGCTATTACGGTATTTCACAGGATATAAATTCAGCTTAGACAATAAATTGTATAATTTTACAGTATTTCTGATCTTTTTTATCCAAGATACATAATTTGAATTAATGTGTTCAGTCTATGTAATAATACTGGGTTCAAAGTCCTAGGAATACATATTCTCTTCTCATAAAGGATGTTCAAGAAAAGAAAGATAGGTTGCCAGGCAACAAAACATACACCCACAGCAGCTAAATCGTCCGAGCGGTCAACAAGGGTTGTCGCATATTTATTCTTTTGTAAGTAATTAAGGGCATTTAATTGACAATTTCATACAATTTCATTGTTTGAGGGTTCACAAGGTTCTAAAAACTAAAACAAAGGCCGTAACTCAGGAAGTAATCTACAGAAATTGTTGAAATTCAACAGGCTTTTTCGTTTTACTAATTCAAATAATGCTTATAAATTTCATACAGATCGGATAACTTTTGTTGTTCGAATGTTCACAATGTTCAACAAAGTGAAACAAGGGCCTTAACTCTAGATGTAATTGCTGGAAATTGGTGAATTTCAACACGCTTCTTTGTTTTACTAATTCAAATGATGCATTTGAATTTCATACAGATTGGGTGATAACGTTTGTCGTTCGAGCATTCACAAGGTGCAACAAAGTGAAACCAGGGCCATAACTCCAGAAGAAATTAACGGAAGTTACTGAAATTAAACAGACTTCTACATCTCACTAATGCAAACAACATATATCAATTTCAAAACAATCAGATGATAAATGTAGTCTGTAGAGTTTTCATAAGAAATTGTGGACGGACGGGGGCGTATAAAAATTACCATTACTTACTTGTACAGGAGTGAATGAACCACAACTTATTAGTGACTGAATCGTTTTAATAAGAAAATCTTTCTCACATTTTTTACCATGAGGTATCTGTAACACAAACAGGTAGGTTTTAACTGATAATTATTTCTATCAATTATATAACCTACTACAAAGTTCAATATGTTGAGTTCAAGATTTAGCAGGACTTTTCTTTTGATAAATGGGATTTTTTTTTTTTTTTTTTTGTGAAGGGAGGATCCATTACAGAAAATGAAATGAATCCCCTTCATTTTGTTTTAAAGAAATTTGTAAAAACATTTCATTCTTTTTTCAGTCATTTCGTCTATTAGTATCAAGGTGAGTATTGAACTGACACATTTACAGAAAGTATAGGAGATATGATGCAACAACCAAATTTACCAATGAGTCGATATGAATATTGACATTTGCTTTTAATAGAAATACATACACAAATAAAATTTTACCGGAAACCTGATATCAGTACTAATGTTTAAGCAGGTAAGAACAAGAAAGAATGATAAAACTTGTCAGAGTTCGGTAAAATGTAAAATGTGAAACAGAAGAAAACAAACATTTGAGTTTAATCAGACTGCCATGTTTCAACTATATATACATGTATTAATATTTTATCAAACTTACTGTTACTTTCCACCATGTACTGTGATCACCACCTTGTCCTGAAGAATTACCTCCTAAAACAAATAATTAGCACTTTTTAAAGTTTACAATCTAAGTGTTAATATAATTTATATATGTTTAAAAATTTAATTCAAAATGGGTATCATCATGATCATTAGTCCTGAAAGATATCATAAAATCAATTCAAATACGCAACAGCACTACAATAAAACTCACTATCTCTATCTCTATCTGAAGGATATCGTCGTCCACCTCGTCTACTAGGTGGTCTTGCTGAGTATGGATTACTGAAAGATAATGTAAATACTTAAAGAATAAAAATATTAAGTTGATCAAAAAATTGTTTGAAATACTACATGAAGCTATGAAAGTTGTGTGTATATAATGTTTATGTTTTGTAGAAAAAAAATTGGGCATGCTCTGGTGATCTATTAATTCATGACAATTTTAAAATAAACACCACAAAATGTAAACTAATAACAAAGCATGTCACGATTTTCACTAACAACTACCCTTGGAAAATTTATAAGACTAAGTTTACTGAATTCAATCAGATTCTAATAGATGAGCTTTAATACTTACAAGCGCTGTCTACCAGACCCTCTATCCTCTGATCCCATTGCATCATCCCCATCAACGTCTAATCTAGATCGGGGATTAAAGGTAACACTCTTACCTCGACCTCGTTTACTTATACCTCTTGGTCCTCGACCATAACTAGGTGGTCTATATATCTCCCTACTACCTCTTCCTGAAAATCAATATATACAAAATAGTATATCAAAACCAATATCATAACAATAAGAGGAAAATAATGTTACAAAAAGAGTGTTTCTGTAGCTAATTTATTTGTTATTGGTAACGTGTTGTCAATGCACAAGCACTGTTTCAAGTGTTTGCAAGACAGTCAACATTGATAATGATTAGTTCTTAATGATTTTATTGTTTTGTTTAAAGATGCATTATGTAAGAGCTAAATCCATTTTTTAAACTATAATGGCGAAAACTCTAAATCTTACATAATGCATCTTTAAGTACATTTTTATATCTTAATAAAAATCCATTAAATAATAAAACTATTATGTTTCAAAATTGAAATAAATTTGAATATGCTGCTTAACATTTATTAAATTTCCACGGTTCGGTAGCATTGTGAATGTGATGTGGGATACATTGTTTCCATAGTGTTGCTGAAATCTCAATTGTGTGTTGATGTTAATTGTGGTGATGACCGATACATTTAAAGATAGGAAAGGTGCCAGGCAACGAAACATACGCCCACAGCAGCTAAGTCATCTGGGCTGTCAACAAGAGTTGTCGAATATTTTTTCTATTGTCAGTAATAAAACATTTATATACACTAAAGTAATTATCATGATTATGGGCTATAACTCTGGTAGTAATTATCAGAAATCATTGAAAATCACTGGGCTTCTTCGTCTCACGACCTTAACACTGTGTTTAAATTTAATCGGATATTAACTTTAGCCTCTAGAGCATCCAAAAGATTTTTCAAAGTGTTCAAGGGCCATAACTCTCACAATTATTATCGGATATCGTTGAAAATTGATAGGCTTCTTCGTATCATGACCTCAAACACTGTCTATAAATCGAATATTAACTTTAGTCTCTAGAGCGTCCACAACATTTTTCAAAGTGATCAAGGGCCATAACTCTCACAATTATTATCGGATATCATTGAAAATCGATAGGCTTCTTCATATCATGGCCTTAAACACTGTGTATAAATTTAAAGTGAATTGGATATTAACTTTAGCCTCCAGATCCTCCACAAGATTTTTCAAAGTGATCAAGGGCCATAACTCTGGCAGTAATTATAGGAAATCGCTGAAAATCAATAGACTTCTTCGTCTCATATTCATAACCTTAAACACTGTGTATAAATTTAAAGTTTAAAGTCAATCGGACATTAACTTTAGCCTCTAGAACGTCCACAAGCAATTGTCGATGCCGGACCGCCGGCCGGACAGGGGCAACGACAATATACGACCACATTTCATAGTACAGATCAACCATAGCAAAGATCTCTTTGACGCTCCGTCCGTTTGAATTCCCGGTACCGGTAGATATTAAGATAATAACCGGATAATACATTGATTGATTCACTGACCATTTGTTAGGTAAATTTAAATCTTCATTGAATATAATCCCCTGATAGGGTGACCCATGTACTCACAGAAATACAGTCCACCGCTGATAGTTCAAGACTACCACTGAAGCGTGCACATTCGCCGCGCCGAGACCAACTGTCTGACAGTATGATACTATAAATAGCCATGGCACGTGCAATTCTCTACAAATCTATCAACTATTACAGCCGTAAAAAATTTATTGTTGACGATTTTGAATAGCAGTAAAATTAAGCTTCTTGGTTATTACAGCAGATTTAGAAATTACGTTCGTTTCATTTTTTAAATCGCTTTATCATTAACTGTACTGTTAAGAGCGGCATCTTTTGGTTTAGTACAAATAATATCTCTGAATCACTCGGGTTAGTCAGGAACATGATACTAGCAGTAGTTTCATTTTACTTTTACAAGCTTCTTAAAACGATTGTTGAGCTACCTAACTTGCTTATTTCTAAATTCAATTTCTTGTTCTAGCTTTCTGTTATGTTTCGTAGAATGGTCGATAGACTGGTTAAGCGAGACTAATTTCAAAACAAGGGCACGTAACCTATCTTTTACTCAAAAGTGTCTGGATGTTATGGACGACTCTTGGAACCAGTTTTCAGTCTATTATTTATACATGATTAACGGTCATAGCTTATTAAGTACAACATGATCGTTTATTTAGTGACTATAATTGTGTGAAACTGATTTAAGGCTTGGCATATATATAAATATTGTGGCGTTATTGTCGAGATATATGGAGATATTTATTTATGGTGGGTCACCCTACCCCTGATAGAACACCGAATACACGGAGAGAGAAACAGTGTCAGTGGATATTTTCCTGACAGAATCTCCAATGCCGAATTCCAATGACACATGACATATCAGTTGGAATTAGGTCAATAAACCAGTTCTAAATAGCATTTACGGTTATGATTTTTTATTTTATACACATGCTGACAGAGGCTTAAGTTTGAAAATGTTATTGAAGGCTATATATTTCATTTTATAGCAATTTTAGTTATGGTTGTCATGTGATCATCGTGCCATTTGCCTATGATCGACGAATGAATAAAAACTTTTGCAAGTTACGTGACTGTTACGTGATGGACTAAAAATTGTGTTATGAAGACATGCCATGGTGGCGTATAAGCTTATTTTGGCTACGGCATTTTCTAATACTGGCAATAAACAATAAACACAATTTTGTTTTTTAGACAATGTTATTATTAATTAAGATTCTAAGGATTCGCGTAGATTGCATATGAGAATCCTCTTAGATTCTAGCAATGAAATGACGCATTTCTAGACCTGGTTTTTAACCAACGTTACACTGATCTTCAGATGATGGAAAACTCAGGATTAACATATGTAAGACTGAAGGAAAAAGTAAACACAGAAAATTGAATGTATGTCTTTACCAGAATTATTTCTTCCATATCCTCCACCACCTCTAATTTTCCCCCCTCCACCTCCCCCTCCACCACTGCCTCCACGATGTCTCTGTGACCTTGGTCCCCATCGGTCATCATGCTCTGAAACAACAAGCAAAAAGAAATGAAGTCTAATTATGTGCCACTTTTCATCAATCTGCATGCAGTAAGTCAGAAATGGCTGGGTCAAAATTATCATGAAGTAGACTATATTATTACACAAGGTGTTGACAGTTTTTATTTGACGATACGCTATCGATACATTTAACAGCACCATACATAAAAACATAGACATGGTACATGTACCTCATCTGTCAGCCCTGCATATCTCCAGATGAGGTGGGTGCCGGTTACTATAAGCTTTGGTACCGTACTATAAGATTATAGTTCTATCTAGCAGCGCATTGCTCTGTGCTTAAGCGTAATAAATCATAACTGATATTACTGAAATGTCTAAAGTCTGTGAAAAACATCACTTGAACAATTTAACCGATAATTTTTGTACAAAATACCACCACATACTACCTCATTATTGTGGTTGAATTATACAGTTAATGCGTGGAATTAGCAAAATGTTTACGATAAACTGAACAAGCGGTTGCCATGCAAGATACGCTGACATTTTGCAGGGTCTATAAACTTCATACATATTTCACATTTTGTGTAAAAGGCAGTGGCTATAATTCTATAATTATTGACCTTTAAACTTTAACACAAATTTTAAGTTCCATTTACATGTACATTGGACAAAAATTGTTACATCTAGCAGGTCCACAAACTTTGCAGATATTTCATATTTTGTGTAAAAGGCAAGGGGCATAACTCCAGAACAGAAGGTCGACGTTTCATGGCCAGCCATGAGTCCTGACCTTTCTCCTATAGAGCACGTCTGGGACAACACTGCAAGAATTGGCAGTGGCACTGCAAGAGAAGTGGGTAAGATTGTCCCAAATCGTGATTGGACGGTTGATTAGGAGCATGCCACGACAAATTGCTGAGTGTCTGAGGATTGGTGGAGCAATTATTCATTATTAAGACAAAAATCAAAAACGTCCATTTTCACTTTTGACAGTGTATCTCTTTGTGAGTGAAATGGGGCCGTCAGATAAGCCGCCAATATGAACTGTTTATGTTAATGTGTTGGCACACTGGTTACCTCTAATAAAAACAGCAGTGCATTTCCGCAGTTTTGTATTGTTTCTGAATATCCCCTACTTTTTTTGAAGAGTACATTTGAATTTCATCTAAATCGGACAAAAATTGTTGCCTCTGGATTATGGTGTAATGGTGAGGGGCCATAATCCATGAATTTACGGTCCGATACATGCCAACATAGAAAGGAAACTGGGATCTTTGGGGTATAAACCTACAATTAAAGCATCATCAAAATTGTGACCTGTAGATAAGTGTCAACAGACATATGTGAATGGACATCCAGAAGGACAGGGGCGATAACATAATATATCCACATGAAAATGTGGGCTTACATATTATTATATTAAAGATAGTTTGCCAGGCAACGAAAAATACGCCCAAAGCAGCTAAATTGTCCAGGTACTCAATAAGAGTTGTCACATTTTTACTGGTAATGAAACATTTATAATACACTAAAATCTGATTAAGAGGAAAACAACTCATTAAAGATACATTATGGGAGATTAGATAAAGAGCTGACAGTTCTCAATAGAATAGTTAAAAACAAGATAATGTAAAGTTAATTTGCTGAAAATTTCAGTCAAAATGATCCACTCTGAACCGAGAATTGAGCGATTGAATTTTAAGCCTAGCCTCAATCATCAATACTAAAGTATAAAGTCGGTATGATAAAAAACATATCGATTATTCATTATTTGATATAATCATCAATGAAAGTTGAGCAACAGATCTGATTCCAATCCAGTAAATATTGCAGGCATCAAGAGTTGATTATGGTCTGGATAAGTTAATTAATGTCTGATTAATAACTTAGTTAACATTTCAGACCTAAAGAAAGACCTGCAGTAGGCAGATTTAGCTCTTGCATATTGTATGTTTAGGTAATTATCAGAAAATCATTAGAATTCATTTGGCCCCTGCTAACGTTTAGCATATGGTACAAAACATTAAATATCATGGATTTAGCTGTTCAAATTATCAAAAATCATTGAAAATCAATACACTTGTTCGTCTCCAGACCTTAACCTCTGTGTATCAATCTAAAGTCAATCAAAATGATTATTATAATTATATACAGGCGTAAACACAGTGTATAAAAATAAAATACATTGGATATTAACATTAGCCTCCAAGAATGTCCACAAGATTTTTCAAAGTGATTAAGGGTCATAACTCTGGCAATAATTATCAGAAATCTTTGTCTCATGACCTTAAATACTGTGTATAAATTTAATGTCAATCGGATATTAACATTCGCTTCTCTGTGGACGCCGGACCGACTGAGGCGCAATGACAATATACGACCACATTTCAATGTGGCCGTATAAAAAGTCTATTTATAACGCAGAGAGAGAGAGAAATGAAGTTTAAAGTCCAATCAGCACAAACTAGGTCATTTCGGGACTAATATATACTTCAATTTTATTTCAATTGGAAGAAAAACCACTCCCCGTAACAATTTTAATGGAAGATGTCAAACTTCAATATACCCTCCGAAATGTACTCTTTCCCCTCAGAATACGTCATATAAGATTCATGAAGCAATCTCAAAATTCATAGCTGAATCGAGAATAAACTATTAAGTTAGTTACGCAAAATAGAGCACTCAATGACTAGTCATGGAAGAATAACTGGCTGTGTTGACCAGGTTTGGCGGCTAGGCAAATGGATGCTTTAACAATATCAGAATAAATTAACATTAAAGTAGGGAACTACATTTACAAAGAACTATTGTTGTAGGACAGTATGGTGGTTCATGGAAGAATAACTGGTTGTGTAGACCAGGTTTGGCGGCTAGGCACCTGGATGCATTAACAATATCAAATAAATTAACGTTAAGGTAGGGAACTACATTTACAAAGAACTATTGTTGTAGGACAGTATGGTGGTTCATGGAGGAATAACTGGTTGTGTAGACCAGGTTTGGCGGCTAGGCACCTGGATGCTTTAACAATATCAAATAAATTAACGTTAAGGTAGGGAACTACCTATAGTTAAAAAGGAAGGAGCTATTGTTGTAGGCAGAGGTCGCAGTCTCGCAAAAATTCGATTTTTTTCACACATTTACACGCAGAAAATTTCCCCGGCGTGAGAATAATTAGATTATTCTATTTCGTAGTTTGTACACTACATCATCAATTTCCATGCATCATGCGGCATTTCATACACGACTTTGGATTGGCTAGAACATGATAAATTGTTTACATTCAGCCAATGACATGTTTTGTTAGTTGGGGTGATAACTACATAGATACATTGTAGACTACTAATTGCCCAAAAAATACAGTTTTTATTTATCAACTATGTTCCAAACTTGGCCCAAAAGCATGATAACAAAAAGTGCTGATGTCAAATAAGTTAAGTCGAATTTTCTCAGTTATGCTGCATCACTGATCATTCACATTGCATTGATTTTCATCAAATTTGGCATGGATTTTCAAACACACTGGCTGGTAAGTTTATAAATAAACCAAAGTTCACTAGTTTGTTCATAATCGAAGAAATCCAATTAAAATTTCGGACGCTTCAGACAGTAGGCCTATTTTATAAAATTGAAAAAAGTAGAGTCTATACCACAACAACACGAAAAGAATTAGATCTAGGCTACAAAAATGAAAAATGAGTGATAATATTAAAATTGAATTGTTTTCTATTAGGCCTATGTGACCTGCAAGGTAAAATGACATTTTCAAAATATATATTACCAATAAATGATCGATGCCCATCTCTACCCGTTGTTACTGTGAATTCGTTGTCACTACGAAATCGACTCATTTTTGCAAAATATTGTTATTTTTCAGATAGTACGCAATCCAACGCACAACCTTGCCTGGCTTAGTCGGCCATATTATGCTGTGTTAAACGTCATCAATTTTGATCACAAGAATGAGCATCGTCATTAATATTAAGTGTTATTCCCCCTGAAGTCGCTGAGTGGATACAGACCACTGAGTTGATTTTTCTTAAACGTTTACTCCCACACTGATCCGCGCGGTGAATATTCGCCAGCCCGCGACAATCACTGATTATAATAAAGATGACATCGATGTGACCTAATGAGCAACAAATAATATGTAACAGGCATTGCCTGAGTAGAGCGAAGCTGATTATTGTCAAATATAAAACCTTCATAATTAATTTTCTCAAGTGATACAAAAAATGTTAAATAATTTAGTTTTTCCAAATTGATTTTCATTTAGATCAAAATTGTATACATTAATTTTGTTTTTTAAAAAAGAACAAAAAAGTGTGAGAATTATTTTCATTGACGTCAAAAATATGTGACGTCATTGATTAGACGCGTCATAGAAATAGTTCTATGAGGCGCGTAATCTCGCTTGGGCGAGATTTGGTAAGTTGACATGCGCATTGCCTGTTTTGCCCAGTGTATCCGGTTCCGGTCTGAATTTTTTTTTAATCAACAGTCTGTGGGTGACAATTTCAGTTACGCTCCTGTGTTACCGGAAAAGAGCTTTGCTCAACCACCGCGCTTCGCGCGATGCTGTAGAGCTTTGCTCTATATTAACTTTTTTCCTCCGACAAATTAAATTTTTTTATGTATTAGAAAAATAAATAAACACGTTTGAAGTATTTGTAGGTAAAAATTATTTCCTATTTTAGTGTAAATGGGTATTAATATGAGTAAAAGGCGTCATTCTGCTCGAATCAGTAACGTCTTATGTAAACAATGCACGCGCCATTGAGCCAATGATTGACGCCGCGTGATATGACGTCATATGTTGAAGGCAGTCATCTTTTACAGAGATATTAGAAGACTTTCGTAATACTCTGTGAAACAGATTGGTTTACTCCATGCCACTTTTTTGGTCTAGAGCAGTTTTTCGAACAGTTATGTAGCCATAAAGAGTTAATAAAGTGGGTTGATCATCATGTTATACTTAAAGATGTATTATATACTATATGTAAAATTTCGATAAAGAGCTGGTTGTTCTTGCTATAATAGTTCGAAAATAGATAATGCAAAATTTCATTCAAATGTGAAAATATTGTCGACCATATAAACAATCGATATGCATTGTCCATCAATTTACAGCACCCCCTGAGAACACTTCCCACCCCCTCGTTGATCTGAGCTAGTTACGTCCCTGGTTTGAGCGAATAAACACTGTTTGAAGTTTTGACAGGATGTGGCATAGATTGTTTATTATCGTAACAATGGTACTTGTTAATCGAGACTTAGCCTCGACTCGCCATATTTAAACTGAATCATTAAATGTCGATCGTATTTCAATCCGTTTAATTCTCCACCATCCGTTGATTATAGGCTTGCCGTGTGAATAAATGTCTAAACAATCAATAGACAGATTTAGCTCTTACATATAATGCATCTTTAAAGGAATCTCTAAGATAAGATAAGATAAGATTTTATTGTATCAAGACATCCATTAAGGACAGCATACAATATGAACATGTATATAAAGAAATCTATGATAACGGTCTGTGACTATGTTTTCATAGCCGATTTCCCCATTGACATGTTGTTTACCACCTGATAGGCTACCTCCACCTCAAAATCATGACGATTGGAGAGGGTGTGGTCTTTACGTATACAATTTGTCAATTTTACATAAACGTTCAAAATCCCTATTCAGATTCTTCATTTATTTATATACGGTACATGCCTTTAGGATCCTTTTAATACGGTTACTACAATTCCCTAAGCTATTCTTGGCAGTCGGGCTGTTGTTGGTAGGAGGGGAGGGGGGGTGGTGGTCTTGTTTGGAAGGCATTACATCGGGCGTTTGGGTTGGCCTTGTGGGATAGAGTGTCGCGCTTCGAGCTCTAGCTTGCCGGTCACCTCTGACTCGCTATCGTGGTTTTGATCCCTAGTGTGAGCGTATTGGCCTATGTTGTTTGTATATAGATGGGCGCTATCTGAAACTCGTGGGTTTTGCCTACTCTGGGTAGACCCCTACTCCGATTTCCTCAAACAGGAAAGATCCCTACGTGTGCTGCTAAGCATAATAAAAAAAAAATAAGACAACTTGTCTGCGATATCACCATCGCTGGAAGCAGACGCTAAACCTCTTACTGATGAGACGAATATTTAATGTTTTGATGGATATGGGTGCCCCATTAGTTGATAAACATCGTGGATTAGTGTACAAGAACGAAACTTCCATATTAATCTGAACAGATCAACAAATATAGACAGAGGTTTGGTGGTCCATTTTGTACACGCAGTTGGGTAAAATGGTCCACCCCGTTGGGGTAAAATGGTCCACCCCGTTGGGGTAAAATGGTTCAGCATTGAAATAAACGAGAATTTCTCAATTCAAAAGTCCAAAGCCATAGAAGCCATAGGCGTGCGAGGCGGGGGGGGGGGGGGGAGGGGGGGCAGCTGTCCCCCTAACTTTCGGGCAAACAGACTTTTCGGGCAGACGGGTAAAGTGAAAACAAAAATTATTATTTCATCTTGTTGGCAAAATGTAGCTGCCCGAAATCAAATAAAACACTAATTTTACTTTTCTTTTAATTGAATACCACGAATCTGTACTGAATTGACTATAGATTAAAACATTTTGTATGGAGTCACTCTGTGCGTGATTTTCGGGCATCGATTATTATGTGAATGTAGCTGCAACAGTCTGATTGGATGGTTGGAATTCAGGTCGGCACTGAGTGTGATTTCATAGTTAAATTAGTGCTCTGCGTAAGATGCTATGTAGAAATCAAATGAAATGCGGCAGAACGCAAATGTAAATGTAATGAGGGAAATGTAAAATGTAGGTTTTAGGACATTGTACTTTTTATATATAATCAATGGAAAAGACATTTTAGCAGAGCATTTAATATTGGCAGCGATACCCTTCCATAAAAGAAAAGCTCTTTGGCGTTTTACATGACTGATATCCATACTTGTTCACTGAAAAGTGGAAAAAAACAACAGACAGATACCAGTACTAAAAACAAGTCAACCAGATCTAGTTGATGAAAATAAAAGAACAAAACAAGTGTACCTCGAGCTGACAACCAGAAGTCGTATGTGAAGATCTCGACATCCCCGGCAACTCCTGCACGGCCATGATCATGCTCCCAGCGAGGACGTTAATGTAGTGCAAAGAAACCCTGATTCATTTGAACTGGAAATTCCGTACGGGACAAAATGGCATAGGGACCCATTTAGTATGAAAGGGTCCATTTAGTCCCACTTCAGTCGAAAATAAATATGATCTGCTCTAGCCTAACCGAACGAACGGCACTAGAATTGTCCAGGCAGAATAAAAGTAGTTTATTTATAAAGCTTCATCGTATGAAAAAACGGTTCCTGAACGAATTTTTTACACAAAGGCACGCTATCAGATAGACCAGGAAACGGCAAACCTTTCACATGACGGGTGCTTCCCTGCAGCGTTGATATGCCCAGTTCGCCATGTTAACGTTAAAAGACGTTATGTTCTCGACTACTTAGGCTTTATTTTCCAGCTATCTTATCTCCGGAAAGTATAGGGTTGAGCGATCCATTTGACCCGAGGGGTCCATATTTTGTCCCACTTTACCCTAGGGTGATTAAAATTAACCATTGTTTATTTTTAAGAATCTCAGCGGGTCCTATACGCCTTTACACCTAAAACGTTTCTATAGCTGCAAGCATCATGCTTTATTGCTATTTACATTTTTTTTTATTTAACTTGACGTGGGGGGGGGGGGGGGGCTAGCAAAATTGCCTGACAAAACCAAAAATTATCAAATTCGAAGCCGACTGCCCACTAGGCGTCCCTCCAGAGTGGGAGGGTGGGGTATCTTACAGTCATCACCCAGAAAATTCGACGGCTGTTAACGCATTTTACTGAACGTCCGACCTGTGAGTACTGAGTAGGCCTGCAGCAACTAAACGGTGGTCCAACCGAAATCCCACCATGGCCAACCCGAATTCCAGACAATCAATCAGACTGTTGCAGCTGTATTCACCGGCGGGGCTAACGCGATTTTCTTAATAAATGACCATAAACGATTGTAACAGCTATCTTCCTCACAAAATATAGGTATATTTTTTTAAAAATTTGGTTGTCCTCGTTATGAAAATTAACGCAAGTTAACATTATCTGTATAACCTTCGTGAAAAATCGTCATGTTACAAGGTAATTGATGTTACATTTCTGGTCTATATTTGATACCATCTATTCCCTATTCCAACTGTCAGGGGTGTCTTTTACATGCGCCCCAATGAATACACTAAACGGGTGGACCTCCGTTTTTAGTCACATCCGGTCGATAAGAATGAAGAGAAATCTCAATTGCTAGAAAGAGTAATAAAATGGCGTTGTCATATTTATAATCCTTTTCACGTATTTATTTGTATACCATAACCAGATATTTATTCTGGTTGGTGATGACCTGAATTCACGATGCTTCCATAATAAAGATATAAAAGAAAATACGAACATTATTGTTGCTATGTGATTTTCTCCCTAGAGAGACACGAAAACAGCCATTCATTAATGATACTTAATTGATATTTTTACATTCCAGTTTGTTGATGAGATATAGTCAACATGATTGATATGACGAATATCGACAAAGGCCATTTAGAAGTACTATATACTATAACCATACAAGAAAGATAAGCAGACATCTAGGTATTAATGATAATTGAAAATCGAAAATCCATTTTCAAAAGGAAATGTTGTTGTATTTTACAAAGGTATATTTTTATCCTAATATTTATGTTCATAGTTTAGTGTGGTATTTCAAATATCCATTTTTATACGCCCACATTTTCATGTGGACGTATATTGTCGTCACTCCTGCCCGTCCGTCCGTCCACAATTGTTTGTGAACACTCTAGAGGTCACAATTCTTATCCAATTTCAACGAAACTTGAAATATAGGTTTATCACCCCAACATCT